GGATAGATATGGGTCGCAAATGGACTTTTATCTTACCAGTAAAATTTTTCTCGTTTTTCCTTTTACAATGTATATTTAGTTCAATGTCTGGCATAATCTTCGAAAGAATTCATAGATGAAATGATATTCTGTCATTTATTTATGACCTTCTAGGAGGAGGTGAATCCCACTGTGAGACTTGGAGATCGATCCTTCGGATGAGACCATATAAACCGATGATCCATGTCCAAGTAGGTGCTGGCACGAAAAAGATACCTCACTGCTAAATGACCCCGAGTGCCGAGTATACGACAAAATTTGCAGCTCTCCACCAGCAAGTGGTGGCGTCGCCATATGAGTGAAAAAATTCTTGAGAGGGACATTAAACAACATACAATCATCTAGGACTAAGACCTAAGGTCTTTATTTCGAAATCTATTAATATCACCAGTACTGACATTTCCAGTGGGACTTAGTCGAAAAACGAAGAACAAAAAACACTGAGGATTGTTTATAATTGAAAAGATTTGGGAAAACAGATTGGGATATCTATATAAAATACAGAGCGTAGACCAACTTTTAATGTGAAATTGATTAAATTAATTAAAATTTAGAATGTAAATAATTTTTACAGATGCTCATTTCTTTATTCCATTAATTCGGTTTGAGTCAGAATTATCTACTGACACACGTGGTCGGATAAAGATCTGGTGATGGACAACATCCAAAATCACAAACACTACATGTAGCTTGTATTCTGCAGGAGAAATATCTCAGGGTGGGCTTTTCTTTACTTTTTCAACTAGTTCATCCAAACATTTCAAGAAAACAGAGTAAAATAGGTGTGAAAATGAAAAAAAGACCTAATTGTTTATTGACCTACGGCGAAAGTGAATCAAAAAGAGACATCATGTGCATGCATATTTGGTTTCCTAAAAAGCTTGTCTGACGTGGTTTGCATAAATTTATGAAGCGGAAAGAAATAAAACATTATGTTTATTTCCTACGTCTGCATAATATATCTTAAAGAGACCATGCGTAAACAATACTGTACACAATAATGTACAAAGAACAATAAATTTAAGGTTCTGGCTACTGGAAATCAAAGAAAAAAACTAAGACTTAAGTCATATTTTTAATTCATCAGATAAAATATTTATTAATTATTGTTGGAATTTATTTCTTTATTTGCATATAAAACATCTCTGTGTAACAATATATATTGTTTGATTCATAAACAAACATGTTAGGAGATGAAATTTAACATTGTCTTATGCAGTTTTTATATTAAGCATTTTACATTTTCATAATCTGTCAAAAGATCAATAAATTTTGCATACATGAAAATGCAAGAAAATATTTCTCCGTTTCTTTATAAAAAAAACAAATATATACAAATTAAATGACAAAAATTGAGTCAAAACTGCAATGTATTTAAAAAAAAATATATAAAAATATTTCCTTTTCCATCGCCTTATAGGAGTCTATAAGAGGTCTATTTTCGTATAAATTACCTTTGAAAATGCGTTTGCGGGATTGTCGACGAGTTTTCGACCAAATTAAGACTATAAATATAGCATTTGCTGTAAAATGTTAATGACTGTAAAATGCTATTGTGATCATTTTTAAAAATAAATTCATTCCGTGTTTACGAGTGTTACAAATTGAAGATTGGCTGTTACTAACTGCTTCAATTTTAACAAGAGGCCCAGGGGCCACAGCGCTCACCTAAGCACATCAGGCTTGAATTTACTACCCCCCTTCCAGGCGTTCATCATTTGAACAAACTAAAATCCACACTATCAGAGGATGATTCCACATAAATATCACTAATCATAGCTTTGAAGTACTTGAAAAGAAGATTTTAAAAGGTTTCCCTATATATCCCTATGTAAAACTTGGGTCTACACTACCTAAGGATGATTCCACATGAGTTTCATCTTTCCTGGCCCAGTGGTTCTGGAGAAGAGGAGTTTTAAAGATTTTTCCTATATATTCCTATGTAAAACTTAATGGCCATTTTGGCCCCACTAATGCCCCGGAGGTTAACATGATTTGAACAAACTTGAATCTACACTACCTAAGGATTTTTTGATTCCACATGAGTTTCATCTTTCCAAAGCCAAGTGGTTCTTGAGAAGAAGATTTTTAAAGATTCTTCCTATATATTCCTATGTAAAACTTGGGTCGGCCATTTTGGCCCCACCCTTGCCCCAGGGGTCATGAGAACAAATTTGAATCTACTCTTCCTGAGGATGATTCCACATGAGTTTCATTTTCCTGGCCCAGTGGTTCAAATGGAGAAGAGGAGTGTAAAAGATTTTTTATATATTCCTATGGGAACTTGGGTAAGGCCATTTTGGCCCCACCCTTGCCCAGAGGGTTCATGATTTGAAACAAACTTGAATCTACACTACCTAAGGATGATTCCACATGAGTTTCATCTTTCCTGGCCCAGTGGTTCTTGAGAAGAAGATTTTTAAAGATTTTCCTATATATTCCTATGTAAAACTTGGGTCGGCCATTTTGGCCCCACCCTTGCCCCAGGGGTCATGATTTGAACAAACTTGAATCTACTCTTCCTGAGGATGATTCCACATGAGTTTCATCTTTCCTGGCCCAGTGGTTCTGGAGAAGAAGATTTTTAAAGATTTTTCCTAAATATTCCAATGTAAAATCGGCCATTTTGGCCCCACCCTTGCCCCGGGGGTCATGATTTGAACAAAATTGAATCTACATTTACCTGAGGATGATTTCACATGATTTCAGTGTGTGTTCCTGGCCCACGGTTCTGGAGAAGAAGATTTTTTTTAAAATGCCATTAATTTTTCTCTAATTCATAATTATCTTCCCTTGGAAAAGGGCGTGGCCCTTCTTCAAACTTGAATCCCCTTTACCCAAGGATACTTTGTGCCAAGTTTGGTTGAAATTGGCCCAGTGGTTCTTGAGAAGAAGATGAAAATGTTAAAAGTATACGACTACGACGACGACGACGACAACGACAACAACGACAGACGACGGACAAATTTTGATCAGAAAAGCTCACTTGAGCCTTCGGCTCAGGTGAGCTAAAAACTACACTTGAAAAATGAAGATGTTATTTGTTTATTGTATCGATGAAAAATTCCTTATTGATAACATTATTATTTATTAGAATTGTTAATAAAACATCTCAAAAATATCGAATACTACTATTCTTACTAACTTGTTTTTAGTAATTAAGGTCTTTCGTTTCCAACGGAAGACCTTCTACTGATTCTGTTGGTAAAGATTATTATTCTTTTTTTTTTTCTTCTACTTCCTAGACGCCAACTTTGAAAGCTCATATCTCACTCATTTCTTAATTGATTTCGCTCAAATTTTCAGAGGTACTAGAAGTTAATAAACTCTATCAGAATGCTGTCGAAATTTTCAAAAAGTCACTTCCGGTTTTGAGTTATTTCCCTTTAAACGAAAATTTATAGGCTTTCGTTTCCAGATAAAGGCTCGGAGACGGCTAAAGCTGGAGCAGAAATTCTACTGATTTTAGATAATAGAGGGATTGAAGTTGTGCACATCGGTTTTTGTTTTTCGATTTCTCTATTCAAAATGGCGCTATATAGGGTCAGAAATTAGAACGCTTAAAAGAGCCAAAAATTACTCATATTTTGCTTTTTATCTTCTAAACTAAAAATATTTTGTTAAACTATATAGAACATAATTTGTGCAGAATTAAATGATCTTTCAAATGATATCTCGTTTTAAAAGGGCTGGCCCCTAACATTAAGGGCCAAGAGGGGCCAAAAGTTTTTCCTTTATATCTCAAAAAGTATTGAGAATTTGTAATACGTCAAAGAAGCAAAGTTGTTTGAAATGTCAAGTTTAATCTATAGAGGTCGTCAAAGTACGTCCGGCGACGTCACTTCCGGCCAAACCGGAAGTAGTCGGAAAACGCATATTTTGCCATTCTTGACAAGTTTTTGGGTAACATCTGTCACTGGGAGCATAAAAATTAATTTTCCGTCCGGTGTCGTCACTTCCGGTCAGTGTGGAAGTAGCAAAAAATGGCTGATTTTTGCATTAAATAACATAGATTTAGAGGATTTAAACAATTTTAGGACGTTATTACCCATTTTTGTAAAAATAAAAGTTACTTCCGGTCAAACAGGACGGAAGACCTTCTCGTTGCTTTGCAACGAGCTTTGCTCTAGTTCTCTCTCTCATTCCAGTCTGTTATTAATTGATGCTGGGATGCGAAAATCAACTTCATTAATAGCTCTCTGCATGGTGCAAGGGAGAAAACAGAAAGTTGTTTTTAGAACTTTGCATTGCCTGAAATTAGGGTCTACACATAGAAGAAGAAACAATAGTTTATATGGATATACGTTTATAGAACGTACATATGCACCTTGTAAATCAATTTTATGATTGCTACTAAATAATTCAATTCCAGTTCGAAGATTTAAATACTTGTCAAAATTCATCTTAGATTTAAAAATATGCATACTTATTAGATCACTACATAAATGCGCATAACATACAATATATCGTTTCAATTCAATATTTGTGCCATAAATGCAGCAACTGTTAACAACATGGTACACATGTGATGAGTGCCGATACGAATGAGCTACAATGTATAGAGATAAGACTGACAAGAATCGCCCTTATCTACTAACAGTGGATTTTCGTACAATGTGCATCAGATCTTTACCTACTAATTGACTCCTATTATTAGAACTGCACGTAACTCAGTATTACACAGATATAGTTGAAAGAGAGTCGGGGATTTCCAGTTACATATTTTTAGAAACACCAGTGGAGTTATCTTACTTGCTTAGTGGCGCTGGATCGCGAACGGAAGTAGATTTACGGCGACAGAAAGCGCTCTGCGCTGCGCTTAGCGCTTAAAAATGATGAATACAACATTTGATTATTTATCTCGATGTCTTATCTTTATTTCAGTGTGTGTTATCTCTAGAGTACACGTTTACTGAGATATGACGAGACAAGATAAGGAATGGTCTCTTCTAAAGGGTTACATACACAGATAAGGCATAGAAAATGTGGGATCTTTATATGAATAAGTCACCAAGACACAAACAGATCTGAAGAGGTACTGTTAATTACATGGCTCTTTTTTAATGCACTGGCACCGTGACACGGAATAAAAATTGGAATACTGTATATTCTTTTCGTATCTTCAGCAACGTGGTAATGGAGGGCGTAGCAGACGTACAGAACGTCGACAATGTTACTGTATTTAGTAACACTACAGGGATGATAAGTCCACCTGGTCCGTCAACTCTTAAAACCGTTTTCGACATCGTCATTAAAATCACACTTATTATCATAATGTTTGGGATGGGAAGTGCCACAGAATTAGAACCACTTTTGAAGCATATCAAACGACCAGTCGGAATACTTATTGGGATGTTGTCACAGTTTGCTGTCTTGCCATTGGTTACTTTCGGATTGGCACATGCGCTGATGCTGCCAAATGTCCCCGCACTAGGAATGCTGGTGATGGGTTGTTGTCCGAGCGGCTCCACATCAAACGTGTTCACGTATTGGGTAGATGGTGATGTCCCCCTCAGGTAACACTGAAAATCCTAAGTAAATTAAATAATAGTCCGAATTATGGAAATTTATCGCAGAGGATTATACCTAAGGAACATGTCAAATTATTGAAATCTCTCCAAAGTGTTTGTCCTGTATTTAGATATAGTTTTTTTTTAACTTTTATAATTTTGTGAAGTATATCAATGACCACTGTCTCCACTACCCTCGCCTTTGGTCTGATGCCTCTTAATCTGCTGATCTACAGTGGGAGCTGGACTAGTGACGACCTCGTTATACCGTACATCAACATACTCATCTCATTTGCCATGACCATCACGCCAGTCATTCTAGGCATTTTACTGCGCTGGAAGTTTCCAAAAATCGCCCTTGTTGTTGTAAAGGTAACAAACTTTTGCATAATATAACTTACTCATGGAAAGTTGTCTTATTCTCTTATAAATATGCTTGTCTCATGTAAATTTGCTTCATTTTTTCAAACAATGGGTCCAGTACTGATGTAAATGTTATATCAACCATAGTATGTCACTGTTTTAAAAGCAAACTATTATTTTCTCTGCAGGTGGGCAGTATAGCTGGTGCTTTTTCTGTAGTCCTTACCCTAACACTGTTGAGTTTACTCTACCCCTTCATGTATAGCGCCTCCTGGAAAATATACCTCGGAGCAATTCTTTTGCCCTTTGTTGGCTTTCTGTTTGGTTACATAGTGGCCTCAATATTTCGGATGGAGCACTTCCAGCGGAGAACGGTAGCACTGGAAACGGGAATTCAGAACTTCCCCTTGTGTATGACTTTGTTGTCGCTCTCGTTTTCTCGGGACAGGTTCGCCGAAATCTCGCTGTTTCCGTTACTTTACGGGGTGACTTGTATCCTGGCCAGTGTGGTGTTCGCCGGGATATTCCGAATCGTGAAGGTTTTTGCCACGAAATCTAGTGAACGAAAGGAAAATGGTTGTACAGAAAATCTACAAGAAACGATTGAAACAACAAAAAGGTTTCTAGATGACTAAGATTTTGATGAATAATTTTGAAAAAATAATGTAGGTGTGTATGAGATTTAAAAAAAAATCCTTTATTTATTCATCTGTCAATTTCGTTTTTTTTTCTTATTTCGATTTATCTTTTTATGCAGTATTCAATTACATAAATCTCAATGAGAGTACAGATTGTCGTATTTTTTTATTTCCTATGTCAGCGCCTTAGAGTAGCGAACCTATCAATCCAATGGTCCAATTTTCGACATACTAAAATCTGGTTAGTGTTCCCTAAAAACGAAAAAATGTTGTTTGTTCCGTTTCAGAGGTGGACAACATGTAGGAAAGGCAAACGTCTTTTTTCTCTCAGCAGGTTGTAAGAATGAAAATCCTGACATAAGATTCCCTATATTCACAGAGTGATGTGTATTTACTCGTGGTATTTCTTCAAGGTTCATCATTAAAGGCACCTGTTGCCAATTGAAGGAGGAAGAAAAATAGACGATGGAGAGAGTACAGGTATACAAAGAAACAAGGACAATGCTGCTGAAGCAAGTGCAAAAACTGTAGAAAATAGTCAAGGTTCTAATAGAGAGTTGAAACACACGAAAGAGATTCACCGCCAGGCATATTTCGTAGGGAAAAAAGTAACACCATCAATTTTGACATCTCCATGGATGGATTTCAAGATTCATTTAAAGGTGCTTAGACACAGATTTGATGTTAATATTTTCTCAATTTTTCTGTATAATTTCATGACTTAAAACATTAAGATTTTTATAATATTTTCGTATAAAATGCCACAGCAAAATATAATTTAAGAAATAAAACAAAAAAATTGAGAAAATATAAACATTACATCTGTGTCTAGGTATCTTTAAAGAAATGGACAGAATTAAACGAATAGGAGAAAGAGGTGTTTTTTGGTGGCAGTAAGTCTGGGAGGCACAGTACAAAAAAATCTTATTAAATCTGAACACAATTCGTAAAAGGAATCTGTCCGCTATATTCGATCGGACTCTCGCTATATCGAGGGCTCTGTATATAGAGTCAACTAGGTCACTGTTCAGTGTAATCAGTCGTCACCGTTGTGGAAGGACGTATGCTATACAGCATTCTGTAGCGACAAAAAATTACTGTGTACTTTTTCTAATGCAGGAAAGGAAAAAAACCAAAAAAAAAAAAAATCAACAGTTGCACTGATCAGTGCAGTACACAAACAAACACAAATACACATAACGGCAATAAAATGTAAACAATGGTAATGCAGGATATCCAGCACGAAAACGGGTCGTCATTCCACGCTGATACCCGTGACAATAAAGCAGTCAGGTGTAACGAATTCGAAGAGTATGCCCCGATGCTGATATCGTATATTATAATATCGAAAATGGCGTATGCGTTTAAGAGAGGAAACCAGGGGAATCACTGTTGAAGCTGGGGCAAGAAACTAGACGACTAGTTACCTTGGCTTACCCAAAGGCATCACAAGAGGTGTGAAATACCTTGACAAAAGTCAGCTTTTAAAATCGCTAACATAGTGTGAAGCTAGATTCCGTGTACACAGCTTGCGGTCTTTGATGAAACATTACAAATTGCTGTGGAACTTGATGCATATATAAGAGCAGAAGAAAAGAGAACCGGAAAATGGAACAAGATAGTAAGAGAAGTAGATACAGAAGCCTCTTCTAGCAAAACGATGACAAAGACACAAAACTAAATACAAATCGGAGCTCCACAAAGGAAGCAGCTTATGCAACTACAGCGGATGCAATGGAGGATTAAAGTTCAACGTAGTAAGAGTGGCAAACGAACATTAAAAAAATGGAATCGTTTGTTTACTTGCAACTAAAAAGGGTAATATAAGCCGCAAGTGTCCACAGAGAAATTCAGACAACAATCTGCCAGGTAGAATGAGTGAGAAAGATATAGAAAGACTATAATGAGCAAGAGTCAATACAGACGAAGTCTGACCAGTCGTCACTACCGACCTGTTAGATAAGGTGCGGTTGCTTGACATCAATAGACTCTGGACTCTATATCTCTACCAACGCTAATTCCATAGTGAACTCAGGAGCTTCCTTTACAATAGTATCTTATGAGACAAATGATGCTTTTCCCTTGGCGAGTCAACCAGCATTGCGAGCAACACGTCACGCTCTCACTTAAGCAGATGGCAAGATATAAGAAACGAAAGTGTAGACAGTTTTATAAATAATTTAGAGTAGGAGAAAGATAACTAGTATAAAACACGAAGCAGTATTGGCAGCAATTAGAGGAAATGGTATTGTGGAACGTTAACACAAGCTACGAATTTACTAGTACCTGGCCACATTCAAACCTTGCTGGATGATGCAGAGAATCTTTCATCAAACAAAAGAAAACACCCAATCTTTCTTGCTAAGGCATGGTAAGCAGTTTGCTGAAAAAGGCGCTGATCAAGGACACACAAGCTTGATCATTCAAAAATGAAAAGCCTTTGTCATCAGCCAAGACACGTTCCAATCCATCTAAAGAAAGAAATTGACAACCAAATCAATAACATTCTTAAACAATATTATCAGACTGTCTTTAAGTCCTTTAGGCTGGGGCTGCACGGCTAGGAGGCGCATCCCCCGGGTGGCAGATAAGGGATCCCTCACTAAGTGAGGGGTGCACCGGAGAGACTGAAGAAGGTGCCGTGGACCAACACAACATAAGGGAAGGACACCCTGACAGAAAACAACTGGCCCTCCAAGCTTGAGGGTTGGGCTGGAGGTCGACTACCTCCTCCTGGAAAAAAATCAACAATTACAGAAACAATGGACATAAAAGAGCAAAGAAGACCGGGTGAAGCGGGGACCGCCAATAGTGGCAGCAAGACGACGAGGGGTGAGAGCCTTAGGGAAGCCCAGCGTCCGACTAGATCCCTTGTGACACCCAAACAAACATTCACCATCGGGCACTGGAATGTGAGAACATTGTATAGAGGAGGAGCTTCAGCACAGAATGCGAGAAAAAAGGAAGGACACCAACTGGAAATTTTGGGAATCAGTGAGTGCAGATGGGCAGGAGCTGGGAAGATGAGACTGGCCTCGGGCCAGACCGTCATATGCAGCAGGGATGAAGAACTGCATGAGGGAGGAGTTGCCATAATGATCAGCCAGCAAGCAATGAAGTCACTCATGGAATGGACACCTGTCAGTAAGAGAATCATGACAGCACGATTCTATTCAAGATACAGAAGAGTGTCAGTGATCCGAGCATATGCGCCACATAATGAAGAGGAAGGGGAGGAAAAAAGACCAATTCTATCAGGAGTTACAAGAGACCTTGGATGGATGTAATAAGAACATCATTATTATTATGGGGGACCTCAACGCCAAGGTGGGGAGTGACAATAACTGATATGAAAGAACTATGGGTATCCATGGACTGGGAACACAGAACGAAAATGGAGAAAGGCTGTGTGAATTTAGTCAGATCAACGGACTTGTAATAACAGGAACATTGTTTCCCCACAAAGACTTACACAAAGCAACATGGGTGTCTGCTACTGGAACAGCAAGAAACCAGATTGACCATCTTCTCATCAGTGGACAGTGGAGATCTTCTGTTCTTGACAACAATGTTCAGAGGGGAGCGGATGCCAACAGGGACCACTACCTGGTGAAGATCCAAATCAGGCTACAACTAAGCACACACAAGAAAAGAACAAGTTAAAACCAAGATTGGATGTAGAACGCCTCACAAACAATGAAGTAAAAGCAAAGTTCAATGATTGTGTGAGAAAGAAATTAGAAGAGCACAGGGAAAAGACTGAAGATATCTAGAAAATTTGGGAACAGCAGAAGATGGCATATGTGAATTCAGCAGAGGAAGTACTTGGCTACAGGAAAGGCAAAAGTAAACCTTGGATCAATGAAAACACCTGGAAGTTGATAGATGAAAGAAAAGACGTCAAGAGCACAAGATCAGAAAGAGTCAAGACAAGGATGAAAGAAAACTACAGACAGAAAGAAAAAGCAGTTAAGAAAAAAGCTAGAGTGGACAAGAGGAGATGGATGGCAGAGAAAGCTAAGCAAGCACAGAAAGCAGCCGAGAACGGGAGGTAGAAGGAACATTTACTGTACAGCATGATTAAACAGCTGACAAGAAGAGTAATAAGCAAACAGCAGAGGTGAAGAGCAAAGATTGACCGGAGAGCTTCTGAAAAGTAAAGAAGCGAGGCTTGCCAGATGGAACATTTTGAGGAAGTACCCAACAGAGACACTCCAGAGTCACCACCAAAAGATAAACATGACGAGGGAGAAGAGGTAGACATCTCGGTTGAGCCAGCCACCACGCAGGAAATAAGGACTGCACTGAAGACGCTTCGGAAAGGAAAGTCCCCTGCAGCAGATCAAATAACTGCAGAAATGTTAAAGGCAGACCTTGATAAGTCCAGCTCGAAATTGAAGCACACCTTTGACCAGATATGAAAGGAGGAAAAGGTGTCCAAAGAATGGACCAGCGGGCTGATCTGTAAAATCAACACATGAGAGGCAACTTACAGGACTGCAGCAACTGGAGTGGAGTCACATTGCTAGCCCTAGCCAGCATAGCACTAAGCAGGATCATCATTAACAGAATACAGGCTGGAGTTGACCGCAACCTGAGGAAAGAGGCAGGGTTCCGGAGAGAGAGAGAGGGACTGTAAACCAGATCTTCATCCTCAGGAACATTCTAAAGCAAGTCAACGAGTGGAATGCTACACTCTACATCCATTGTGTCGACTTTGAGAAAGCCTTCGACTCGGTGCACAGAGACAGCCTTTGGGTCATCATGAAGAAATATGGAATACCCAGAAAACGGATTATGATGGTCAAAGCCCTGTATGACAATTTTCAGTGCTCTGTGATTGATGACAACGAGACCACAGACCCTTTTCCTGTGATTACTGGTGTCAAACAAGGATGCTGCATGTCAGGCTTCTTGTTCCTCCTAGTGATAGACTGGGTGATGCAACAGACTCTCAGAGGAAAGAGAACAGGAATTAGATGGGACTTCACCACTTTGCTAGAAGACCTCGACTTCGCGGACGACATTGCCCTATGGTCATCAGCAACGAACCATCTTCAGTCCAAGACAACAAAACTGGAAGAAAACTCCGCAAAAGTTAGAAGTTAGAAAAGGGTTGAAGCTGAATGCCAAGAAATGCAAAATGACGAAGATAAATAGCAAGAGTGAAATCCGCCTGACAGTTGGAAACAACTAGACATCATCTGAAATGCTACAGATATCAGTAGAAAGATAAAAGTCTCCCTCTTTAAGAGCCTGGTCCTCTCTGTATTATTATACGGATGTGAGACCTGGAAACTTACCAAGACAGAGAAAAAGAAGATTGACATCTTTCAGACCAAGTGCGTCAGATGGATCCTTAAGGTCAGATAGCAGGGCATATCCTAAACAAGACAGTTCTAGAGATGGCAGACGCAAAAAGCATCAGTGGCGAGGTGAGGAGGAGGATATGGAATTGGATCGGCCACGTGCTTAGAAAGGATACCACGGATGACTGTATTGTGGCCCTCGGGTGGACGCATGAAGAGAGAAGGAAGCGAGGTCGCCCCAAGACAACATAGTGACGGATGGTGGAGGTGGAGCAAAACAATGCTGGTTGGAACTCCTGACCACAGCACGCCGTGAACCCTCAGACCGACCCCATTGGAAAAGAGATGTCTAGGCCTTGTGTGCCTCCTGGCATGGAGGGAATTAAGGTTAAGGTAAGGTTCAAGTCCTTAAGTAAGTCCATCACCCATTATATATCACCAATTCAAATCAAATAGGTCATAACAGATATCACCTATCTGAAAGGTGATGTCACTTATTCGAATAGGTGATATCACTTATTCAAAAAGGTAATATCACCAATTGAATATTCAAATACATGTAGGTGATTTCACTTTTTGGCAGTAAATATCAAAACGGCGCCTCATAATGTCGACTCCAATCAGAAAAAAAAATGGGATGATCATCCGCAATTGTATGCGAGACATATAGGGCTGCAGAATACGAAAGTTCTGGATTTACACCCATACATTATTTTACGTTTGGACGAGAAATTGTGCATCCCCTAGATCTATTGGCGGCTAAACTGCTAGCTCAAAAGAAATCCACAGAGCAATATATATCAGTCGGATTATTGACCTTGGTACTTGAAATAGCTATGAAGAATTTGGGTGAAAGTTTAAAACGACAAAAGTTTCGAAAGATCAAAAGATACACCGCAAAACGACCGCCCGATTCTTGAAGGGGTTGCCGACAGCCAAGGCACTTTGAAGAAATTTCAGCTGTATCATTAAACGGAAATAGACAAAATATCAAAAAGAAAACAGTCCGCTCTTTCTCATTTGCAATCTTGCAATCCAATGCAATGGCAAGGACGAAAATATAAATGTAGTAAGGAAAGAAACCGCTATGCATAATTGTCCATTTGGTATCGAGATGTTCCAGAGTCCTGAAGAAGTTTCAGAGCATTTTGGCCAAAAGCACGACAAAAGAATCAAATGTGACCACAGTGAGTATACTTCAGAGAGAACTGCCGTTAGAAGAGACATTGCAAACGCCGACATTCTGCATACCTAGACCATGATTGATTGTGTGTTGTTTAACGTCCCTCATATAAAGACGCCAACAATTGCCTGTGGAGAGCTACAAATTTTGTTCTATACTCGGCACTCAGGGCCATTGAGCAGTGAGGGATCTTTTTCGTGCCAGCACCTACTGCGACAGGGGACCTCGGTTTATATAGTCTCATCCGAAAGACCAGTCTCCACATCCAACAGTGGGATTCAAACCCGCGACGTAAGGACAGATTCCTTACTTTGCGACTCTAGAGCAAACATTCTAGCCACTGCGCCATGCCTGCGACTCCTAGACTTGAAGAAACCGAATCAAAACCCTGAGGAAGACTGAACAATTCAGCGCCGCACTCAGCCAATGTCTGTCTGATCCTAAGAGAGACAAACCAGCGACACAAAGCCATTAACTGACATCTGTCAGTTGTCAGGCGGGGACATATTTCCGCCATAAGGATGCTGCTGTACAATGCTGTCGAGAGAAAAAGAACCTGTATGATGCGTTTACCCATTGCAATAGAGTTGTCGTAAGGAAAAGACGAGTTTGGGAGACGGAATAAACTGAATTGAATTAACATTATTATGGAGCGTTCAGTGATACTATCAATTTCAGTTCAGTGTGAAGTTTTGCATTACGTCACGATCTTTTTCGACAGATGCATCCAGCGTAAACAATTCACGTGATTGGTCAACTCATTATCAACATTGACACAGAAATAGTCTGTTGTACGAGCAACCAATCAGCGATTAGAAGAAAGTTCCAGTCGTAAAGCTTGCAGTTAGGAGGCTTGTACTATTTACCTTGAGCGTAGCTGTCAAACTAGATCGTGACTTAACGTAAAACATCACACTTAACTGCAATCTACAGTAATGTGAACATTTCATTAACTTTTAAATTGTGCCAGTATGATCATAATTACTTACTTACTTACTTATCCTCTCCGTGCCCCGGAGGACGCATGAGGCCGTTATGATCATAATTACATGTACATTATATAATGTACCATAGTTAGGTGTAATTTCTTTTGTTAAAAGTGTGGGTTTTCTGTACATAACCCACACTTTTCTATAACTCCGCCCATCGAGCCGGGACAAAAGAACTACACAATCATGCACAATTTTTTAAAAATGAAACAATCACCTGGGCTTGTTATGCTAAATTCAGGAGAGTAAAAAATATCCATTGTGGAGAGTATTGTGTAATAATTAACAATTAAAAACGGGCATCAATACTTTAACTTTAGTTTTGAAAAAAAAAACCCTTCAGAAATCGCTTGATTTTTTAAAATTATTTTTTTAAGTGTCATGACCAGGGTGACGTTAGCTTAGTAGATTCCAATATCGTTCTTTTGATAACCAACAAAGGAAACACGATACAAACATGAAGTAAAAACAAAATTGTACACTACTGTACTTAAATACAGTTTTCGATTGTGGATCTAGCCGATCAAAGATCTAATTTTCATTAAATTGAAATATACATCACCTCTAACAAACATTTCAATCAACGTGCCACTGTGCACGACAAAGTATGTATCGGGTTTACAAAAATTTAAGTTAAACCAAGTTCATAATAAATTTAAATTATTTAATTTTGACGATTGAAATTTATGAGAAAAAAATATCAAATCAACATATCTCATTGAAACCAAACTCGTTAATTTTTCAATGACATATATCAGAAAAACTTTTTAAACGGACTTGAGATATGTTTAACTTTTATGTCGCCCGCATGGTGCGGTCGTTAGAGCGCCTGCCCTAGAGTCACGAAGTGAGGAGTCGAATCCCACTTTGGGATGTGGAGATCATATAAACAGAGGTCCCGTGTCGCGAAGGTGTTGACGCGAAGAAGCTCCCTTACTGCTCAATGACCGAGTGCCGAGTAAAGGACAAATTTGAAGCTCTCCACCTGCATGACGTGGCGTCTCCACATGAGTGAAAAAATTCTTGAGGAGAACGTTAAACAACATACAATCAATTTTTGAAAAGTATTGTATTCAAATCACTTACCCTGTACTCGATGGAGGTGGTCAGAAGGACACGAAGGAGCGTAAAAGCTTATAAAATCCACATGTATAATTGATACCAAATATTAATGTTTCAATCACACGAACCAGTCAGACCAATTCCTAAGCTGACTTACAAATGAATGGTTTTTGAAAATTATGGTACAAGTCATTTACCCATATCATACTGTTGATTATGTGCAGATACCCGATGGGCGTGGTCATAATGACACGAGGGAGCGTAGCTCCCGAGTTGTCATTATGACCACGCCCATCGGGTATCTGCACATAATCAACAGTATGATATGGGTAAATGACTTGTGTAATAATTAACAATTAATAATTAACAATTAAAAACGGGCATCAATACTTTAACTTTAGTTTTGAAAAAAAAAACCCTTCAGAAATCGCTTGATTTTTTAAAATTATTTTTTTAAGTGTCATGACCAGGGTGACGTTAGCTTAGTAGATTCCAATATCGTTCTTTTGATAACCAACAAAGGACATTCTCTATCCAGAGTTGTCGTTCCCGCTACGCTCCCACATACACCTCTGTCAACGCTTGTTTTACAAGATACTTGGAAAAATTGTAAATGATTAAAAATTGTATTAATAGTCGTTTATAATTATATTTCTCATCGGAAAACAATATTTTTTTTAATTTGTTACACCTTAAAAGGATTTTTTAATTAAGATTTTAATTTTTACTCCGCAAAATAGTTCCCTTAAAACTTTGAAAATAAGTCGTTTTGAGGGAATATATGTTTGAAATAAATGATGAATTATCATCTTTATCAATAATTACAACAATTAATTACTATTATAACTTCAAATTTTCACCATTTAAAATTTGTACAAGAATCTTGTACAACGAGCGTTGACAGAGGTGTAGTGAGCGTAGCGGAAGACAACTCTGGTTAGAGAATGCAACAAAGGAAACACGATACAAACATGAAGTAAAAACAAAATTGTACACTACTGTACTTAAATACAGTTTTCGATTGTGGATCTAGCCGATCAAAGATCTAATTTTCATTAAATTGAAATATACATCACCTCTAACAAACATTTCAATCAACGTGCCACTGTGCACGACAAAGTATGTGTCGGGTTTACAAAAATTTAAGTTAAACCAAGTTCATAATAAATTTAAATTATTTAATTTTGACGATTGAAATTTATGAGAAAAAAATATCAAATCAACATATCTCATTGAAACCAAACTCGTTAATTTTTCAATGACATATATCAGAAAAACTTTTTAAACGGACTTGAGATATGTTTAACTTTTATGTCGCCCGCATGGTGCGGTCGTTAGAGCGCCTGCCCTAGAGTCACGAAGTAAGGAGTCGAATCCCACTTTGGGATGTGGAGATCATATAAACAGAGGTCCCGTGTCGCGAAGGTGTTGACGCGAAGAAGCTCCCTTACTGCTCAATGACCGAGTGCCGAGTAAAGGACAAATTTGAAGCTCTCCACCTGCATGACGTGGCGTCTCCACATGAGTGAAAAAATTCTTGAGGAGAACGTTAAACAACATACAATCAATTTTTGAAAAGTATTGTATTCAAATCACTTACCCTGTACTCGATGGAGGTGGTCAGAAGGACACGAAGGAGCGTAAAAGCTTATAAAATCCACATGTATAATTGATACCAAATATTAATGTTTCAATCACACGAACCAGTCAGACCAATTCCTAAGCTGACTTACAAATGAATGGTTTTTGAAAATTATGGTACAAGTCATTTACCCATATCATACTGTTGATTATGTGCAGATACCCGATGGGCGTGGTCATAATGACAGCTCGGGAGCTACGCTCCCTCGTGTCATTATGACCACGCCCATCGGGTATCTGCACATAACCAACAGTATGATATAGGGTAACTACTACAAGCATGATTTTTGTTATTATAATTTATCAGACTCCGAGACTACCACATCTTGTTTCTTGTTTGATTATTTTACAGCATAAAAATTATAAGGACTAACTAAAAACTAGAAACAATGACCCTGGCGTCATGAATTTCACCATTTTCTAGGGAGCTTGATGCCTATTACAATCATGCATACAGCTTGATTGATTGATGTCGAAGAGTAAAGAAGTTAATTAAAGATTGCATTAATTTTTATTGATAGCCCCATCACTCAGGCCATGGAGGGATCATGAAATTCATAATTTTTCCCTATCTTAGTAGATAATATATGCTAAAATTGGTTTAAACTGTTCCAGACAAATTGAAAATGTTCAATCAGACAAAAACATTCTCTCCACAAACTGGTCCTTAAAGTGTATGTGTCTATTAACAACAGATCCAAAAAGAATTGATCGCGAAAATTAATAGTCGGAACTAGTTTATCCCTAGTACATCGCGAAATAAAGTTGTCGCAAATAAAAGTTGGTTTACAGTAAATAAAATTAAAAATTCAAATGGAAACATCCAAAGTAAATTCATTTTTTTAATTAAACAATGTTAACAAAACCTTAAATATACAGTAGTGGGATCTGAAACCCTAGTCTAAATGAAGCTCAAAACAGTTCAAACTTCATACAAATTGATCTGGCATCTTCCAAAATACAAATTATTTTGTGCATAGACTTATTTTTATGGAACTGCAGTCGGCAGTACTTCATAGCAAAAGCTTTTGATTTCAGTCTGAGGCCAACTACAAATACATGCACTAACAAGCAAATGTTAATTAAAAGACAATCAGAAGCCAGTAATGAGTTTCTTTTTAGCTTTAGTTTTTCTCTGACTATCTGGTTGACTTTGATTACTTGATTCCTGAGATTTCTGACTATCAGGTTGTCTTTGGGTGCTGGGTTCCTGAGATTTCTGACTATCCGGATGACTTTGGGTGCTGGATTCCTGAGATTTCTGATTATCCAATTGACTTGGAGCATTTGTTCCCTGAGATTTCTGGCTGCCTAACACTGGATTTTGTAATAAATCAAAAGTCTTAAGACTAGAATCAAACAAGTCCATAGAACAGTTCCAGTCAGACAGACTGGAGGACACACTGCCTATACCCGGGGAGATAAATTTAGATCCCTGAATTGGAGATTGATGCATCCGTAATGGAGTTGATCTAAATCCATCTGACTGAATAGAGGAAATAGACTTAACAGAACGTTTGCTACATGAACTTGATATAGAGGAATGTCTTCTTCTTTTACTAGGGGTTGGATGTAGCTGAGGTGATGAATACATTATGTCACCTCCTATTATCCCTCTAGGCACAGTCTCATTTTCACTTCTCCCTGATCTCTTATCTGTCCTAGGAGAATGAAACGATAACATTCTGGGTGGAGTGGAAAGGAATCCTTCTGACCTAAATGATATAGAACTAAGATTGGACAACCGGTCTGAGTGTTTCCTTTTCAATGGTGATGGTTGCGCCATGAATGGATAATCTCTTTCAACCTGACTGACAAACACGTCAGAAGTATCACTTTCTTGTAGATCACCTGAGTTTGTTCTCTCTGTTTTTATATTTGAATGAGCATGTTCTGCATTATGATTGATGCTCGACATTGAATCCTGTTCAGTAATTCTATTAACACCTCTGTCCTCCTCAGTTAACTTTGACCTGATAGGCAGGGAATCGTGGGCTTCCACACTTTCTTCTACATCAGACTGACTTTCCTGTGCAGCTGCTTGACTAGCTATCAAAGCATCTAATTCTTTGTTACCTGTAGCCCACATTGAAGCAGGGTTGACAGGAAGGGTAGTAGTGTCTCCCTCTTGTGTTGACTGCTGTTGTACTGATCTTTTTGAGGATTCTTTCCTGATTTTCCTTCTTTCCTTAATTTCCTCATCCTGTAAAGATATATATGCTAGAAAGTAACAGGTACAGTGTTTGATTTCATTACTGTAAATGTAATACTTTGGAATCATTTTAATTTGTGGGGGTCAATTTTTGTTGTTAAGCATTTGACCTGTTCGTGGGGACATAAATTTCCTGGGTTACTTGTAAATACAATGGTTCAAGGAATCAATATGATTACAAAATAAAGTTCAAAGGGATGTAAATTTGTGGGTAAGGCTGACCCAGGAACATTGGTCCCCCAACAAACAATGATGATTCTACAGTATATTTAGCTTGTGCAATATTAAATGGATATTGAATTGTGAAAAAGTTAGCAGAATTATGATTAAGAGTATCTCTTCTCTATTTGTATATGTGCAAGACATTTAGCATAGTCTTGAATTAGCTGAATTTGCTTTCTGCCAAAGCGCTTAAAAGAATACAAAGCCAAATGTAATATGTTTACTGTTGTTTTAGAGTTGATACAAATTGCAGAGCAAAATTACTATCACACATCATCATTTAACAGGGTGAATTAGAAATATACATACATGTACATGTAATGTTTTTTGTTGTTTTATAGATATATGTAAATAGACACTTATATAGCCCTCTGTAAGATTGCTACAGGTAAGTGTATTAATAATAACTAATTTCTTCAAAAATTCTTGACAGCTCTGCCAATATATAACAACGCGGGTATGTTAAGGAAGCACATAAGTCATTTCTCGGGAAATTTAGACCTTTTTTAAACAATAAAATGCTTTCTTTGTTTGTTACTACTGGAATTAACTGAAGCAGCTGTTGCAGAAAAAATGCATAACCCGCGTAAGCGGGTTATGTAAATTTTTTCTGCAATAGCTGCAACTGTTAATTCCAGTAATAACAAACAAAGAAAGACATTTTATTGTTTATATTTATATCTGTTTAAATAATAATTTAAAGTAGGATTGAAAAAATTAATTATTGTATTAATGATGCTAACATCTTTATATGTTTCATTGATGGAACAGCCACTGATCAAGAAATCTAAACAGGCAACATGCCTAATGTAGTTCATGCAGTGATTAAAGCAATGGGTTTTCTTAAGAAATAAAGGAGAAAATATTTAGTGGATGTAAATATATAGAAAATTAAGTTTTATATTTTATCAAAACTGCTGATAAACGTAAACTATTATTATCTATTGCATAAAGATAAAAGAGTGTCTAATGCAAAGACATGCGCCACCACCACGGCATCACGTGACTTCTATTAATAGCGAAATTTTCCTTAATGAAAAAGCTAACAGAACAACAATACCCTGGAGTTTACTAATTTTTGTGAGTAAATAATATTAGCAACCCGCGCTGATCACCGTGTGCCATTAAGAATTGAACAAAATTTCACATCACTTCATTTCAACATCTTTAAAATAACGTTTTCTTATCGTTATGTAAAACAAAACTTATATATTTGGAAAGAGGATAAATTAAACTTTTGATCTATGTGCATATTTTTATGTTTATTAATTCATAAAAGTGTTTTTTGAAGCGTTAAAGTCAATACACACCGGTAAACATCGAGAATGGCGAGTTTACAAGATCCGCGCGTGGCCTAATTATACGGGGTTCACGAGATCTAAAATGCGGCAGTCGAAATATTTATGAATATGCATGAAATTTTCCAACCAATCAGATCTAATGTCTCTCTTCAACATGGTAGTTGTAAGTAAACCGAACTCCAATAATTACCGAAGATACGACACCCCAAAGTTCATGCGACCCTGCCTGAAAATTTTTCGGTAAGTAGTTTACTTACATATATATTCTTAAAGTACACATTCTGAAGTTTGATATAAGTTTCAACCCTGTGCAATAACATTTAGCCAACCGCATTTTAGGTTAAAGGTCAATTTCATTCATAAATTCTCACGCGTCACCGGGCGCCATCTTGGAATTTTACAACTCGAAAATACTACGGCTTTCAAATACACGATTTACCTAAAAACTAAAGCATATTTGGCCCTACCATCATTGAATACTTATTAAACAGATTAGAAAGATGGTTTAAATAAGTTTATTTATTACTTTTGACGGGTGATTTCCACAATCAGTATAGTACAAAGAAAGAGTCGAACGAATTTCCTCGGATGTTCAAATTATCGTAATGTTTTCTTGATTGTTATATCATATAATCTTTTTTTCATACAAAAGGAATGCCTTATTTTTTCGATATAAATTATTTATATAAACTCTTTTTCATACAATATTTTTCAAACCAATATAATTTTGACTATTTGAATACATCAAATACATTGAATACATTTGAATACAGGTCATGCTCTGATCATGGTGAACAAGGAATCCCGTTTTTTCTAAAACTGTGAGACGAAATCTTCCCAGTCAAATATTAAATTATAGTCAATAAAGATGATTTATTTTTATTCAGAGGCATATAAAACCATGTCTCTGGTTTTATAGAAAATAACATAAGCTGACAGTATGAGAATTCTGATTGTAACACATGCAGTTTACACATATTTTGAAAATTATTATTAATGCACTTCCCTTAGGATGTACAAAGTCATATAGGTTAATCTTTTTTTTTCCCTCATTCTTGGAATTCTTTCTACCAAGATTCCATATCAGTGTTTAAATATTTTTTTATTATATTTTCAGATGTTGCCAATATATACACAGCTGGAGTTTTGGGACTGATAATCAGCTGATTTTTCAATCTTCCAAGATAACATGGATGTCACCATATTTGTGTTTTCCTAATAAAACTGATTTTTATTGAATATTGTCTTTTTCTGCATAAATGCTTTGAGATAGAAAAATAAAAACAGCAGAATCAGAAAGATCATAACTTTTTCAGTCAGAGTAGCAAGTTTTATAAAATTCTGCCAAGTAATAAATAAATTAAAAGGAAATAACTACTTTTTTGAAATGTGCCGGGTCCATCCACATGCGAGTTGACACCTATCGTTACTGTAGCAAGAAATTCTAGAAAACGACTGAAATTTTGCAACTTTAAACTCCCATAACTTTTGTTCTACTTAAGATATCTTTATGAAATAAAGTATTATGCAAGTTTTAATTACCTCTTTCCAATGACATAAAATTTGTGTACAATTTCCCAACATAAAAAATCAGCTTGGGTTGCTAATAATATAGTTGAAAAACATCTATTCTGCCTAAAAAGTGCTGCTAGAATCCCACTGTCCCGTCAGTAAAATAATAATTCCGCACATTCGCACGAAACCTTACCCAATGTTTTGAATTTTATACATATGAACCGAGATTTTTCGTAAAACCATGCTTAACTCGGGATTCTACAAGCATTTTCTATGTATTTTAGGAGGCAAACCTTCCATCTGTACTAATCTTATGTTTTGAAATATACAGCTTATTGTTGTTCTGTTGCATTTTTTTGGTCAAAAATCACAGAGGAAAGGCCGACCGGGATACGTATACAGCTGACTGTCTTTGAAAGAGAATATAATTATCGATGAAAATAAATTAGCATACCTGTTTAAGTAACTGATCTCTATATGAATTTCACAAAATATTCACGATATTTGCTTTTAAACTCCATTTTACGTATCTTTGTACATGCCGTCATAGCCAAATTCTCTTTATACGACATGATAAATTCCCAAGTTACTTGATGTACACATATGACATCATCGGTGGTAGATTTTAATCAAAATGACAGATGCATCATAACAAAATAAAAACATTTGATGTTTGTTAATGTTTACACGTTTCTATTCATTCATTTTCTAGAGTTAAATTACATCTCTAAATATGAATATTACGAAAACTTGTATTCTAAAATTGACTTCATCACGCCTACTATGACCTCATAATGTAGCAATGATTTAGTCGAGGTAGAATATTTCATATGCTTCCTTATTACCCCTGAATCTTGAATACGTGGAAATGTCACACTTCAAGGTGATTGTTTTGTATATATTAACTGTATCCATAGTGTACAGGTGCTACAGCTTATACCCACCCTGGTCAGGAGAAGTTGTTGAAATTTCTCCTCAAAATCCTCTTCTTCCTCCTCCTCAGTCCACTGGTGAAGAAGAATTTGACTCAGTGTGTCCTTATCCTTCCCATCATCCTCTTCACTGTCAGACTCTACTGCAGAATCATCAAGCTGCACTATGTTCTGTAGAAAATGAAAGTAGAAAATGAAAGTAAATATTCAAAGCAAGCAATGCTGATCACTTTTAATTTGAAATTGTAACTTTACTATACGTTTTATTCCATTCTTGTAAATGAGGTTTTAGGAATGGAAAATTTGTTGTGTCCTAAACTATATATGCATATACAGTGTATGAGAATTATTAAATCTATTGAAACATACATTAGGCTGCAAGTCAGCAATTTTTCTGGCGACATTAACTTCATGTAAACAGGAGTAACAGAGAGCCTGTTTATGCAGTGACAGATTAATACCACTGGTGTCCAACATACACAGGGAACACGAGATGTGACCTGGCTTACTCAGCGTGATCTCTAAAAACAAACACAAAGTCAACTTATCAACTTCAATAACATATGTGTTACATTAATCAAAACAAAGACTTTGAACTGATTTTGTCTTTAAAATATTCAACCTCCTAGTGACCTTTACAATAAGTAAGTTTTATTTATGTTATTCAAGTCCAATATATATACTTTTTGTGTTCCCCAACAGAATTTTAACTTGAAAAAAAAATTACCTGGTAAGCTAGGAAAAAATGTCAAAAAATACATTTTACAAATTTTACATTTTAATTCTTTCATCCAACTAAAACATGTCAACTGAATTTATACCTAAAAAACCTATCAAGTCCTAAAATAAACATGGGTATTATAATAACATGAGCTAGTACATCTTTAACAAAACAAGTTAATTAAATTGCAGACCTGAGAAGAAATCTGAGACATTGACATTCTTGATGGACTTTTTGCAGGTATCAACATAGCTATGTAAATCTTCTGTCCACTTTTTTCCTCTCTCAATTGTAAAATTATCCAAAGTTAGATCTCCAGACATTGGCCCGGCACAAAATGTTGGGTCTTTCATTTCATTGGTCAATTTAAACTCTTGAAAATAGAGTTCCCCTAGACTGTCAACCTAGAAATCAAATAAAAAATTTCAAAAATTCTCAACCACAGTATAAATATTGAATAGTACTTACATATTTGTATTTATTTCGCATAAAAATCAATATATATCAATACATGTATTATAAACCTGTAGCAAGAAAAATCCAGTGGAAGTTTTGACGAGCGAAATTCCGGTCAGTGACACATTAAACCTAAGGTCAGCAGCAAACTTGTGAAGTGGGTTACAAAGATCTGGCCATTCAGTAAAGTCTCTGCCAATAAGATTTTAAAACGTCATAAATTAAAACTTAATTCAATGTTTTCATCTACATCTTACTCTTTTCTTTATTGATTTATATGTAAATTGCACTGCACAAAAAACTCATCAAAGAATACATGTATTAAAAAAGAGTAGGATTATTCTTTTCACCCTATTTGAGAAAATTTCCGTGGAGATCCTATGGACTGTGGTAATGCTGAGAGACCATATCTGTATTGATACGCACAAACTTCGGCTGGAAACAGACTCCCCAGAGCAACTAAAACACTGTCAGTTTCCATGACAACAGAAGAGGTCACCTGTGGAAAATTTCTCAGCATATGATTCCACTGCAGCATCTGTTAAAATTTCAACCAAAGGAATATCAGATATTGTCTACGATGGTAGTCATTTCAGTTATGTTGAAGAGATTACAATTAATATCAAGCAAATTAGTTATTAAGTATAATGTGAGCCTACAGTTTTTTACCTTTGAACCTGACCTTTGAACATATGGCTTCAAAATGATCTATTATGCCATCACTTAGAAAATTTCAGGGCATTTACCTAATATTTGGCAATCTTTATATCATTTGTTATAGGAAAGTGGTACACAAAAAAATGATGACTTTTGCTTTTGATGACAATACAGTGCACAGTCTGCACTGAAACCTTTTGATAATACATGTAATATTGTGTCACTTTTTGATACTGTGTCAGCTTTTGATAAACTGTGTCAGCTTTTGATAAACTGAGTCAGTTTTGATATACTGTGTCAGCTTTTGATATACTGTGTCATCTTTTGATATACTGTGTCACCTTTTGATAGACTGTGTCACCTTTTGAGGTACTGTGTCAGCTTTTGATATACTGTGTCAGCTTTTGATATACATGTACTATGTCAGCTTTTGATATACATGTACCGTGTCAGCTTTTGATATACGGTGTCACCTTTTGATATACTGTGTCACCTTTTGTTGTCTGGTATTTATACCTATACAGGTCTACATGACTTATTAAATTAGGACGATCTTAAAATGAGTTCTGCTTGTTCTACTTACAGGGTGGCCAGGAAATCGATCGTCCACCAATAATAAGCTTTGGTCTGTAGCTACCAGATAGGAATGATGGGAGGAGGGGTGTTTCTCCACCAAACACAACCGCTCAGCAGGGTGTAGAAACTTACTGGGCAGTGCAAAAAGGTCAAGACTGGAGTCATACTGCCCCTGTATGATCATAATTAAAATCAAGTGATGATACAAGTATTGACAGCAACTCTGGGAATAAGGACTCTGTTAGACAATCATTAGTTACTAACTTTTTTCTGGAAGCATTTTAAAACAGAAATTTAAATGATTTGATAAAGTACCCTAATGTCAAACATTTGGATGGCTGTACAATCTGCCATAACAATGTGACGTGGGTTTGATCCAAAGACGGCCTGCCGCCAGGATTCAAAGGAAGGAAATCTGGTCTCCACATTCTGTCTGACAAGTTGTTTACTGTAATTTCAGTAACAGTAACAATGTAAGTTGTCATCACAGTGAACAGTAAAAGAATAAACTTTCAAAATCATAACCATTTTTTTCAACTGCAACTCTGCTTTGGTAATGCAAAACATAAAGCTTTAAATCTCCAAATGACATCTTTTTTAAAGTGAAGCAAATAATTTCTTCATTAGCCTATTTTATGACAATCATAAATATTGAGGTATATCTTATAAAATCAAATATCAACCTCAAGTCAATGCATTGCATTTCTGTTTGATATTCGTAGAGCCTGACCTTTGAGTTGGAGACCAGAGATAAAGGTTTCCTTTGTCTGTGGTCACTGCACACTCTCCAGGTATATACCCACTAAAGATCCAAAAAATACATTAATGTACATAAAATATGAAATTATTTGTTTTATATTAAATACCTACAGTACAGAGTGTGAAATTACTGCATGTCACATACATGTACCAGGATCATTCAAAATGTTTGTATACATAAAAACTTTGTGAAAATCACTTTGACATATTAATGGCATTCTCAATACTGAAATCGTACAGTTTATACCAGTAGCTTAATCAAATATATATTTGAATTGAAATTTAATAAAAGATGGATCTGGCAGAAGTGAGCATGAATTACAGTATTTCCATGTTCTAGTATACACTTACCTCAGATCAACTGAGGTCGGAATCTCTTCAGTAAAATGTTGTTTATCAACAGAACTCAGTGTACTGGAACCCGCTTCAGCTGATTCTGGACGTGAGAACAGTTCACAGACGCTCCTTCCTCTCACCACACAGAAGTCTAAACAACCAATAGGAAATCTTTAATCTATTTATACATATTGAAATGCCCTTTGGCATTAAATATATCTAATAAACGACAAATTAAGAAAATAAAATCAATACACTGATAATTACAAGTAATTGTACATTACTATTATGGTTCAAATGAATCAAACTACAACATAAATGACTCAGAATGCTTACCAAGATCTTTGCAGCATTTGGACTGAAGCTGTTGAATTTCATAGTCCACATTAATTCTGCTTTTCTGTGTAACTTTTAACTCAGGACTTGTGCACAGTTCAAGCAGAGCTGCAACCATATAAAAGTAATATGGCATTATGCTAGTTTCTCATCCATTATATATTAAAGAAACAGACTTGGAAACATTTTCATTAAAATTTTAAAGGAATGAAATCAGACCAATGGAAGTATAATTGTGATCAGCAGGACATATTAAAAGTTGACTTCCATCATTTGCCTGGCTACCAAAACGAGCCAAACACCCTCCTGTGTAACTAGAGTTATAGGTCTGGAACAGAGAGATAATACCAATCATAAATAGTTTAAACATGTTATCTAATATAAAGATTAAGATAATCAGCTAAATCAATCTCTCTTCTCCACTTTGATTCATGAGGCTTTAATTTAAGTTTAAATGTATATTTAACATATTTCTTGCTTAATTTTACCTACCATAACACAATGAATGTCTTTGACCTTTTCATACTGTTTTACAAGTTCATTTAACCTCTCAGGGACACCAACAGCTTTGGACTTTATCCTTTTGAGTTTATCGAATACTGTTGAATATGTTTGCCGCATCTTTGTATTTTGAGGCTACAATTTATTTGCAAATATTTTACAGAATAATACTCATTTTACACAAAAGGAAGTAAACTCCCACAATATTATTCAACAACATTGTAATTTTATATTTTCTACATGTTCACTGAATACCTTTATCAGATTTCCCCTCAGTGTTTTCAGTCTATTACAAAAGGCACTAACTTCATGGTAGTCAGTTTTGATTTCTTTGGTAACCCTGTCTTCAAACGGGTATGGAACTGAAATATAGAATAAGTAAAATGGCTAATCAATATCATTTTACTTAGAAACAATGTGCTTTTCATCTTATAATTTTTTTTTTACATTTATTGATCTAAAATGATTACCTTTCATAGGAGACAAATAGAGGGGCAAAGCTGGTCTTGAGGCAAAGTATGTCTTTGAATCAACAGGAACATACTGAGAGTGAAATTTTCTGTCCCTTACATTATCTACATCAATATTTCTGTTACTTCCCAATCCCTGAGAGATTTGTTTTTGGGTTTTCTCATGTTGATATTTCAATGGAAAACATTTTTGTGGGAAGAAATCCATTACTGAAATAAAAAAATGTCTAGTTTACAGCAAGCAATGTGAGCAGCATGAAGCGCTGCTCGCACTACTGTGAGTTCTAACACCTGGGTAAAGAGAAAATTTAGACTAAATACTTGCACATTGAATCCAAATGAATTTTATCTGCAGTAGCCATTACAGCCTTTGTGCATTGCATCTTGCCACAAACTCCCAGTCACAAGGAAAGTTAATTCACAACAACAAAAATTCATCGTGATTTAATGGATATTGCAGATAAATGTAGATTAAACGTTTTCTATTAAAATTATCACTGTCTACTGCAAGCATGTTTGTTCAATCTGATTGAAATTAGATGTTAGATCTGCTTGCATACTCAATATACTAATGATGTTATTAGTTAACAAGTATGTGAGCAGATCTAGACTAAAATCTTATTTTAATAAGATTGAGGTTTGTTAATGTTATTTGCACACAAGTCAACATTGTGTGATGTCAGAGTCTAGACATACCAAATCAATCGCATCATCTCGGGCCTTTCTGTCAGAGGTCGGAAAAACAACCTTGTTTTCCGCTAGTTGGAAAGGCCCGAGAAGTTGCGATTGATACCAAATCTCATGTGTGGTTTGAAAAAACTGAAAAGGTATCTGTGCTTAGCCTAATTGTCACACAGTTAATATATTACATTCACAGGCCTTTGGATCGCTTAAAAAAATTTTGTGTGTAAAAAAAAAAATAAAGGTACTGAACTCTTACACTGGGTACCTAATTTCGCTAATGAAATATTTTTTATTCTAATGCTCTAAAATTCTACTTTTTATTTAAATCTATTCATAGATAAACATTCTTCAATTCTACCAAAGCTCATTCCGAAATTCCTTACTTTTCTTGAGATATTCTGAAATCAATTTCAAAAATGACCTACTTTCTTTTACTCGACATTAGCTTGGGCCCCTGGTCATTCACATGTAAACAGACGGTGTTTGAAGTTCGGCGAATAGTTGCATAGTAATTACAAAATCTTTCAAAAATTTAAAGTTAATTTCTTACTCCAGATTGTAACGTAAAGTCCGTAATAATATTCCTTTCGCGAAAAATTATTTTGAAAACGACTACATCAACAACTACCACCATGTTGATTATGAATGTAAATGAATCCATGGAAGAACGAATTTTTCCCGGAATGCATTATATACCTTTCGATTTTCAAAACAATTAGACCGCTTAAATGTTGTTTGTGACTTAGTTACACCATATGATCAAATTAAAGAAAAACATTGTAAATCTTGAATGCAAATGAGCAAATATTCATTGAGTTTAGAATAAATTCCGGGGAAAATTTGTCCCGTCGTTCCCGCTTTACAACTAGTGAAGGCCCAAGCTGATGTCTAGTAAAAAAATTAATGTCAATTTGGGAATTGATTTCAGAATATCTCGAGAAGTTGAAGGGATTACGGAACGAACTTTGGTAGTAATGAAGACTGTTTATATTTGAATAGATATGGATAGAAAGTAAAATTGTAAAGCATTTGATTTAAAAGAATTTTATTGGCGAAAGTAGGTACCCCATGAAAAGAGTTCCATACCTTTATTTTTTTTTCAACACCTCAATTTTTTTTCAAAGCGATCTAAAGGCCTGTGATTACATTATATATTCTGAGAAGTTATTCACAGTTAAATCTTCAGGCCTAGGGGCCATAAAACTTAGATGAGCTCACTTTTGATCTTAGTCTCAGTTTTTGCTAAGGAATATATAGTGGAAAAGTGAGACTGAGATCAAAAGTGAGCTCGTCTAAGTTTTATGGCCCCCAGGCCTGGTTCGATTGAGTGAAAAAATGCTGTAATTTTCTAACTTACAACTATCATACAAATCGTATACTAATTTCCTCTAAAAAAGATCAAGTGCAGTAAGCAAAGATATTCTAAATGGACAAAGGGTGAGTAGGCCGTGCACCTGTCAGATGGCAGCAGGGACAACAATGTTATACAATTAAATGACACACATTTTCTGCCATATACTCAGTAGCTGGATAATATACATATACAAAAATACCTTGATGTTAATAACATTGTTAAGATACATCATCTTTTATTCATCCGCTATTTTTAGTGACACACATGAAGGAAAAAGATAAAATATCCATCCATCACGTTAATTTATAATCATGCTTTTGCTTTGTTGACATCGGATGAGGAAAAGGGGGAGTAAATAAAAAACAAAACTGGTGCTAATTTCCGGAAACGGAACCATAAAGTTATGATTCGAGTATAATCTATGTTTGATAAAGTTAAATTTTTCTACGATCATAAAAATAAATGTTCCTTCTGCCCTGAAGGAAATGATCCAATTCCTTCAGACATAACACGCAGCACAGTACACTTGTCTTACGTACAAGTTAACAATTTATCAACCTTTCCAAACCAAAAATGAAAGTAAAAATAAAAAGTAAGGAATTTAAATTTTTTTTGTAAATTGTATTTTCATTAGCAATATTTGATATCCATTGATATTTTCATTGAGCTAGCTTTATGAAATTTATCGTGCATTGTTTTTGGAAGAGCTGGCTCAAACCCAAAGCATAGGTGCTTGGGAATAGTTGTTTTAGTATCATCAACTGATCATGGATTTTTTTTTTATAAAAACCTTGTTTTAGCTTGAATTTATAATTTCTTAATTGTAAACTAATACTTTGTGAATATGTCATAGGAAAATATCTTGTTTTTAAAAAATCAATAAGCCTTGAGGTACGGGACACGGGGGTGTATCCCGTCAAGGGGTACAAGTCAAAACGGCACCTGGTGAAAACGGCACTTAGGAAATATGCAAAACGGCACTTGAGAGTAGTCAAAACGGCACTTTAGAAAAGTCAAAACGGCATTTTTTTTATTTTGAGAATTTGCTATTGTTTATACAGAAAATGGATCTTTATATCACATTTATGGTAATAAATGTGCATATTATTATTGGTAAAAATGTTTTTTTTTAAAAAATGACTAATTCATTTGAAAATTATTATACTTTTGTACAGTGGTTAGATTTTTTAAATGTACTTCTTCTTTAAATTACATGTATTATTTTTATTATATGTCTATTATTTTCTACAAAAGAGATCAAATCCAAATTATATTATGATCCTTTGAAATTTAAAAATTAATAGTATTGCAAATATGTATGTGTCACCCTGTTTTGGGGGGTGCCAGTCACAGCTGACTAATTAGAAGCCAGTTGAGTATGTTTACTTAGAATACACTTGTAGGAATAAGAAACAAAAGACCATTCACACCTCCCCTTCAATAATCTGCTGATCCTCAATTTGCAATCATATACAGTTACTATTGTGTATTCCTGACAATTTATCAAAGGGATTGTACACAAGTTAGAAAAACTTTAACATTCCGCTCTAAACTGTACATAAAATCTGAACAGCAATACAATATTTACTATTAAGTTTTTTACAATTTGAAACCTATACACAGAAGAACAAAATCATTTGTTGTTTTTTTTTAATAATTGAAGAATATCAATTTATTTATATTTAATATTAAATTGATTAAATATTAAGATGATACAATTTGATGTTGATATTGTTACACATAACAATTTCTACAGATGATAACATGATGCTGTTATTGTTTGTAATCTTGTCTTGAAAATAACGTTGTATTTAAAAACAATGCTGTTATTTCATTAATTAAAAAAAGGAGACTAAAAGATGAAGATACGGATATTTCAAGGAATAAAATGAGAAAAAAATCATTTCAAATTTGGTATTCAAATGTATGAATCTGTGGAGAAAAGTATGTTTATGCATAGGTTCATCCATAATTTAATCATATTTTTATCACTGAGATTTCATAAAAAAAAAACTTGTTACAGTGTATAAATGAATTGTTTCCTTGGAAAAAATGGACCCCCCAGAAAAAATTGTATAATATTATATATATACTCACACACAAATATATATCAATATATACTAGTATATCAAATTATCATTGCATATATACTTTTTTCTATAAGTGCCGTTTTGACCAAGTGCCGTTTTCACTAAGTGCCGTTTTGACCAAGTGCCGTTTTGCATAATCCAGGTGCCGTTTTCACCAGGTACCGTTTAAACCATAATTCCCGTCAAGCACCTATGAGTATGACTCAACATGCTCAAACTTCAAAGTAAAAAGTTTTCATTACATCAAAGTGAAACTTTTTTTATAAGAAAAATTATGATAAAATAGGTAAATTAAGCTATTTTGAAAAGCTCATCATGCAAAATAACTTAATCAAGCTACAAAGCTAAATATAAAAGAGATTTAAATTTTAACCTCAGCAATCGAGATGTCAAGGCACACCAGATCAAAATTTTTAGTCCCTACGATATCTAGCTGAAATTAAAAGAGATTTTGTTTAACTTTTGTTATTCTCTTCAGAGAAGTGAACAGGCTTTCGTGTACATCCACAGTGAATGTTGGCAAAATCTGTCCATGATCTCAGTCTTTCTAAGAGAATAAACTTTTGTGAGCTAGGTTTATATATATGCTTTGTTTAAATGTTGTTTTCTTTTTATTTTCATGCATCTGAAACATTTCCTTTTCTGTGTAGGGTAAGTAAAGAAAGGCTTATCATCCACTCTTCTCTGTAAATGAAGTGCATTCTAAAACCTGTTGAATCTAATTAATTTCGAACAAGCACAGCTTGTGCACATACTTTTTTAAAGTTGCTGTCAAAAAGGATGACTGCACTTAAGGAAACTTAGAAATCGCGACATAATAATTTTATTAATTTTTAAAATGGGCATTTCTCTTTCAATGGTAGAAATGGTCAATGTCTTAACTGCAACTTTGTGTAATTACGTTAATTAAAAGTTCATATTAACGAAGTTCGAAGTCGTTTTTATAGGTAAGGGGTCATCGGTTTTTCTGGAAAAAACATAGGATAATCAATATTTATTATTTCAATTTACAGGCTTAATACATAGTCAGAAAAATGTTTGTCCTTTGATCTCCTTTTTATGGTAGTTGTATATTTATATTTATTACCTCATGTTAAAAGGAGAATCCCAGCAAGTTAATCAGCTCTGTCCCATGTGTCGAAAAGAGAAAAAACTGTTTCTTCTGTGTTCACTTTCTCTATAGCATACTGGCCATTTTGACCACGTTGTTACCTGTTGAATATTATAATTAACCACGTGATTTCTATACCCAGGTAACTCTGTGAATACTAAAATTCCATCACGTGACGTGTAAGGAAACACGCATTCTGCTTGCCGATAGTGATTGTTCATATCTGTTTTAATCCATTCTCATCGAGCCACGGGATATTCTTTTTTCTCTTAGATATCTATAAGATTATTCTTACATTTATCTCATAAGCGTTTCATTTTACTATCCTGATATATTTTTGAATGCATGTCTCTACATGTTCGTAGTCTACAAGAAAAAAGAGATTTATTTATTATGTTTTGAACCATTGCTTAACATGAACATCCAAAGTAAGATCCAGTAAATAAAATTGAAATCATACCATCTTCAGCACGCTAATTTATTGGAGAAAGTAATTATAAAAGAAACTAAAAAAAAAACTTGAGTAATTGTAATTTTTTTCTTTCTTTTTGAAAAAATAAAAGAAAAAAAAAAGAAGTAGTCTTACTGTTATGATACTGTTTATCAGGACCTAAATATTATTGATTCTGTGCATTACCGACTGAGCTAGTCGGCACTTATGCTATCAACACGCGAATTGTTGATATCAGCCATTGCTGTTGATTATACATGATAATGGCTATTACCGGTCGATGTTATTTGTTATTAGTTTATATATACTTTATTTGAAAACTTAAAAAATAAGTGACAAATATGAGAGAGAGAGAGAGAGAGAGAGAGAGAGAATGCACCAAATATAGATACAGTAGCTATTCTAATTTTAGACCACTAGCTCATCACAATATTAGCTCCACCTCTTATGCATATTTATAAATCTTATCTTCAATCAAGAGCATGTAAAATTTCCCAATATTTGCAGAGAGGTGGGGTACGGTGAAACAACGAATTATTTCATTGCAACGCAGTTTATAACATTTATGACATTGCATTTCATTTGGAAATAGACCAAACTCTATAATAAATGACTTGAGACAAAAATAAAAACAAAAAGAAATGTAACAACAGAGATCGAAAAAGACCCCAAAACCGGCGTTAAGTGCAGTCATCCTTTCAATAGTTTTACATGTTGTAGTTGGACAGCGGTAGCCACATGGAGGTGGGTGGCTAATGACGAGAACTGTGGAATCTGTAGGATGGCATTTGATGGCTGCTGTCCCGATTGTAAATTACCAGGGGATGATTGTCCACTAGGTAAGTACAAGTAACAACAATAAAAATGGATTTTGTCTGATCCAAATTAACCATACTGAATTCATTTTCATCTGTAATTTTTTTTTTTCATGGTTTTTTGGAAAAAATTCAGATGATCAGATCAATATTTATTATTTCAGTTTGGGGGGAATGTTCTCATTGTTTTCATATACACTGCATTGTTAAATGGCTAAATTCCCAGCAAGTTAATCAGCTCTGTCCCATGTGTCGACAAGACTGGAAATTCAAAAGTGACACGGAGATGCCTGCTACCTGAGTGATTGGATACATTGTACGAGACTCCAGCTTTACTGTATGTTATTACAATGGTGCATCACAATTAATTTGTAAAACTTCAAGTATGATAGTATTCTGGAGATTTTAATGTACTCAGCAGATGTGTTCGAATTTATATTCTGGTTACGTTCATGTACAAAAAAATTAAACAATGTTGCAAAGAACACACGCATTGTTGCTACTTTTATCAATAAAATACTGTAACTGCATTTGAAAATCCCCCATTTTATTTCTTTTTATTAAATTTAAAGTACTTTAACAGGTATATACACTGTATTAAAATACATGTATACAAATTTTTATCATTACATAAGAATAAAACTCCATGTATCTTCAAGTAAAATAGTTAGTACATGTAATTCCAGTTGAGTATGGAATGTAAAACACCGTATTGTTAGATAGAAGACTGATTAGATTAAGGTATTCCAACTTCTTTTTTCTTTTCTATAATAATATTTATGTTGTAGCAGAAAAAGAGTAAAATGTGTTCCATTAAGAACAACAGACAAACATGAGCTGACTGTTTGTTATGCCAGATAAAAAGTGGGCATTCTCAGTCTTAGATTCCAGAAATCATGATGACCACTGTCCATGAAATTATGATCACACTATGTTATACTGAAACAAAGATATTTAACAGTTAACAGTTATCACTAGCATTTGTACATTACGAATGTCTTATAATCCACATACATGTAGTTTATAATAGCTATTAAGTTGAACTCTTCAACTTCAGTAGAATATCCTCCGATTTGTCAACAGACATTTTGCAGGATGATAACAAGGCTGTAAGAAAAAGAAATATTGTCCAGTTAGAACATTTTTCTTGAAATAGCTAAATATTGTACTTAATTAACCTCTTAACTGGTAATAAGCATTTTGCAGTAATAATAATGGTGAGGCCATTCTGAAAAAATAAGACATAAACACTATAAGATACAAACTTTCTAACTGCTCTTTTGCATCTCCTAAGTGGGACTCTTCAAACTTTGTTGTGGGCTGGAAATAATCATCTGGCACCCAGGGGGAGGGGGTAGAGACCAGCTGGCTGCTGCTGTTCTGTCTCTCTAGATAGACGGAAAAGTAAACTTAGTGAAGATAGAATTCAAAGTGCATGTGACTGAGTGACTACATGTAATACTATAACTATTATATATATCCATCTTTTTATTGTATTCTCTTATGACCATTATCTATATATCTGTGTGTGCAAGGGTGTGTCTTTATGGACTCTGTATTATTCATCTAATACATATATTTGGTTTGAGTATTGTGTACACTAGTCTAGACTCTAGATCTTATTATGCACCCGGATCGATAGATCCAGGGCGTATACTGTTTTTGTCCTGTCTGTTTGTCTGTCTGTCTGTCTGTCTGTTTGTTTGTTTGTCCCGAACTTTAACCTTCACCATAACTTTTGAACCATGAAAGCTAGAGACTTTATATTTGGTGTGCATACTCCACTAATTAAGTTCTTTCAAATGACAACAAGGTCAATGACCTTGTGACCTTGACTGTGGCCTATATGCTAAAAATAGCTTTTTTCTGCAAACTTTAACCTTCACCATAACTTTTGAACCATGAAAGATAGAGACTTCATATTTGGTATGCAAACTCCACTAATCAGGTTCTTCCAAATGACACCAAGGTCAATGACCTTGTGAGCTTGACTGTGACCTTAATGCTAAATATAGCTTTTTCCGAACTTTGTTGCCGCCGGGCGCATAGTGTTCACAAACACATCTTGTAATTTAATACTGAATTTATCTTGAATTACTCACTGTCCAATGCCTCCTCGATGTCACGGCACATAGAAAACACATCACTCCCAAGGCCAAGAATTCTCTCACCTACCACATCAAAATATTTAATTAAGGTCATTTTTACATACTGGGTACATTACTCAAAGTATATTTTAGAGAAAAACAATGTTTCCTGTTAATCAAACATTATTTAAACAGAATGTGGTATAAGGCATTCTATTCAAATAATACAAATTTAGAGCAGAGTGTAACAAACTAAATTTAATCCTGTAGGATACCCCTATTGCATGAATGTAAATATTGTTATTTATCCTGTGGGGAGCCCCTCAATTTGTAATTTTATCTACCTGAGAACTCGTGTTCGGGTAGTACCCGGGAAGTCACAGCCGAGATAAGACCTGTTTGGCTTGTTGTGTTGAAGTAGCCGGGGCGGGTACTCAAACTGCATCAGGGTCCTATTTCCTCGGGCTTTCGTCCCATTTCGTAATTAACAGGTCTTGGGCGGGGTACTACAGCTAATTACATTGACAATAGACTGTCGGCAGTCCAGGGTGTGAGGGAGAGGCTTGCAATGTGTAATGGTTTTGCAGTTACAGCGGCAAATGTGAGAAAGTGTATGACAAAGTACGGCAGCCCTGACGGACACCTCGGGACCAGCAATTTAAAGTTATGTGTTGGTATTGAATTAAGAATTCACCTGTTTGAAATAATATCAATTCAATCCAAAGTTATTCCAGACGGCATTGTGAAAGTTAAAAACATTCAAATATGTGATAATTGTGAAAATTATATTTAATTTAATTTGTGAACGAAAAACACGTTTACCAGAGGAAATTAAAAAGCCAGAACCCAAATCTTCTGCAAGGGAATTGTGAATAATTTACTACAGTAACTTTTTAAAGGACATTCTCCAGGAAGTGCAGCTGATAGACATTTCATTTCTATATTTTTTTAAATTTGTTTTTTTGTTGTAAAAATTTACTTTTGTTTTGTTTATTAAATTTTGTTAAAATTTCATTTTGTTTGTTTCCTTCATTTATTCAAGTTCTTAAAGTGTATAACCCACATCTCAACATAGAGCAAACACACGGACCTCCAAAAGCACAAAGTTGGGATTATAAGTGCCATTGAGGAGTATACATCCCATGGTGACTATCACAATACCAATACCTATTGATCATCCTTGTATCATAAACTTATTTGTCAATTGCTTGCCTTATTTAAGAAATTATTAGTACATAGATCATGCTTGTATATTGAATCAACTGGGAGACATTAACTCCATGTGTACAGGATAATGGTATATTTCTACATAAATAAGGGAAGTTGTTGATAGAAAATTATACTAAAATGATAGTGTGCAGCATGTTTGAAAATTACTTGGGTATATTGTACTGTGCCAAATAGTGCTATTTTATACATGCACTATATACTGTCATCTTATCTAAAACCTCCCTTGCAGCACATTATGATGACATATAATGCTTTTTATCATGGACTTTAAGGTACAACACTATGTCTAAGACAATTCCTTTGGTACATTGAACTGTGTCCTATAAGACTTACCATCTAGGACTTGAAGATAGAGCAGTATGTCTAAGACAATATCTTCTGTAATACTTACCATCTAGGACTTTAAGGTTGGGCAGCATGTCTAAGACATCCCTCCTGTACATTGGACTGTGACAGAGAGGGTTACTCAGGTCCCTCAGAGAGTCGTGAAGTCTCAATTCCTCCAGCTTGTCCAGGGCTGTCAAACATCTCAGACTGTTTATACTGAAATATCAAGAGTGTATTTCATGATGTGTCATATTCACACCTTGACAACTAAACTGCTGGGTGAGATTTTGAACCCATTTTGGTGCTAGTTGTATGTATGACATAATTGACCAGAATCTTGCTCTAGGGGGTCAATAAGGGATATACAAATGGCCCATGGGTCACAAAGCTCTCTTGAGTAACTTGGACTCTGCTATTCTTCACCAAATTCCCCCCTTGTAAAACAGATTTTGGCCCCAGTCTACTCAAGGATGTCATGATTTGGCCTACCTTAGAAGGCTTCCACATAAGTTCCAGCTTTTCTGGTCCAGTGGTTCTTGAGAAAAAGAGTTTTTAAAGATCCCACCCTATTTTTGCCTTTATTTTCTTGCCTTGTAATAGGACTTTGCCCTTTGTTTTAATAATTTCACTTCCTCTTCACCCAAGAGATTGTTAAAATTTCTGGTAAAAATAAAATTTTTACTAACTTTAGAATTTTTTCCCCTTTAAATCCATACATCATTATGCCCACTGTGAAATTTAACCTTAAATAAATTCGGAGTGAAATGGACAAGTTACCTATTTATAATTTTCCTTTGTAAAAGGTATCTATTTATACAATGGTAGATAATGACAACATACAAAATGTGAAATCATTATGGTTACTCAAGTTTAATAATCATTTGAAAACAAATTCCCTACCGAATCTACGTATGAGCTATCTAAATATTTTCCCAACCAAATCTACGTTTGGGCCATCTAAAGATCTCTAACCCTTGACAGAGGAAATTCGAATTAGAATAAAAACGATCATGACAAGGTTGTAATACATAAAAAATTAATCAGGTATTACTGCTAAATGGTCAAATAAAGGATAAAGAAATACACAAATTTTAAGGTTATATGATGATAATATGGGTGTACCTTCCTATTAAATTCCCTGCCAAATTAACAGACTGAAGGTTTTCCAGGGCTTGTAGACCTTCTGCAAGGAAAAGACTATGTGTAAAAAGTATGCAAAGATTTCCTAAGCGTAACCTCTATAGATCACTAAATTTTCGTGACACCTTATTTTTGAAGGAAAGTCACTGACTCTTTATTAGCAAGACAAAATATTAACAAATTGTGGTTAGTACTAGATATAATCTTTAGAAATATAAATTTACTTCATAATGAAATTTTTGTGAGCAAACTGAGCTGCTTTGCATAATCAGCATGATAATTATGCGAATATAAAGTTCTCACAAATAAAGTGATTTACAGTGTATATAAAATATTCAATAAGCAAATACTGTATACATGAATGTATAAGTATATTGTAACAGGAATGAAGAAAATGTTTGACTGGACCTGGGACCTAACCCCTGCATCACTAGTCTAAGATGCTCTACCTTGAGCTACCCAGGCAGATATCCACAGCCAATGCATGTGTACCTATTTATCCCATGTTTACCCCTTTATACCGTTGATATAGCTCATGTGATATCGTTTTCGTATCCCACAGTAGTGACGTCACAATGGGTTTTACGTTAGCTTAATGTGTAAAAAAGTTCTATATAAAAACAGTGTAAAACATTGATGTAGTGTTTAAAACAAAATGTAAATCATGGGATCAAAAAATCTCACATGATTTGTAGTTGCATGGATATGATTTTTATCAACTCGTTGTGTTATCCCCTCGCCAAGGATAAAACACACAACTCTTTAAAAATCATAGCCAACAAAATATTAACAATATTGTGGTTACACCTTATTTTTTTCTTCATAGAAATATAAATTTACAAAAGCTATATGGACTGTGGGAATTGGTTGTATAGCTCATTGGTTAGGGCACCTGTCTTAAAATGCAAGGGTCCTGGGTTCAATTCCAAGTCCACTCATATATTTTCTTTAGGCATTCCTCCTTTCCTACTACAATATATTATATGTGATGGATATAATCATGTCATAAACAGTCCAGTCCAATACGAAAATTCGTAATATTACAGAATATCGTAATATTATTCTTATATTACTATTTTTCGTAATAATGTAATATAGCATGTTGTGAGAGACTATATTGTAACAAAATTAAGCATTGAAAGAAACTGAATGATGTTAAGGAAAGTATGACGTCAGAAATACATTATGCCCCAATGGTACTAGTATCACGTGGTCATTTTGGTCAGTGACGTCTATCGAAAAGTATGAAAATGCAAGAAGAAAGTAACAATAGTGATGGGTGAGTGAAAATTTTGTATTATTATTCTTATAAGAAGCCAGGGATGGGAACAATTTTCCATAAAACTTCAATGTATCCTAAAACTTGTCATAGTTTTTTCGAATTCCCTATATTTTTCCCGAAGTCTACCCTAAAAATCAGCCTCATCTCCAACAACGAGAAGATATAACTTGTACAACTTTCACTAGGCTCTATGCATGCACTTGGATCAAATGCATCAAAACAAAGAAAATGCATGCATATCCACGATGATTTGATGAAACCAGAGACGTATAATCTCTCATGAAACATAACAAGCAGGTTGTATCAGAAAAAAGGGAAGTAACTCTTAGAAGAGTTAGAAATTGCTTATATTACAATTATATTATATGTGATGGATATAATCACTGATAAACAGTCCAATTAAATTGATTCATTAAAATAAGATAATAACCTAGGTTGGTAATCCGGTTTCCCGACAGGTTTAAAATGGTCAGGTTCCCTAGTCCTGCTAGCTTATTTAGTTTGCATAGATCATTTCTGGAAAGGTTAAGTCTCTCTAATTGTGAACATTCGCTTATGCAGCCGAGATCACTTAGGCCTGAAATAGAAAACTTTATGTTTATTATCAAAATATTTTTATTGCCAGATTTCATTGTATTTGTATCATTCTTTTTGTAGTGAAACTGATTAGTTGAACTTCTCGACTTTATATTTTACCACAGTCGCGGAGGTTGAGGGTATGGATACTCTCAATATCAAATTCCCCACTTCGAGTTTTCAATAGTGCCTTTGTTATCTTTCCATCTGAAATAATGACAATATTTTTATCATGAACGTTTCATTCAAAACGGGAAATTAAAACCTACATAAATAAAATAGTTTACCTTCCATGCTATCGCATGTCGTTGCGATTGTAAACAATGGATTCAGTAAGTCGTACTTCAAAGATTCCCCATTTGCTCCCTTTTCCTCTTTTATCCTAGTCCGAAAAATCTGACGTTTTCTTGGCTTTTTTACGATATAAAAATCGTAAAAAAGCCAGGAAAACGTCAGATTTTTCGGACTAGTTTTATCCAAAAGTCCGATTTCCACTACTGCTATCAGTCGTCAAGTTTGGATTCAATTTCAACTTTATAATTAGCATCCTTTTCGGACGCTGAAAACGATTCGCCTTGACGATTTTTATTTAGGCCCTATCATGCCTATGTAAAAAAAAAGATATGTAAGAGCATTTTTTTTTTTAATTTCAAAACAAAATTCCGTCCGTATTATTAATGTCATACAATCCCCCGCCCATTTTAATCCGTGTGATTGGAAAAATCTCGACAAACTATATCGATATGCATATTTAGGAAGGACTCTGGAAACTTTTTTTTTTTTATTTTAAATAACTTGAACTTTTAATTAAATAATTAATCTGACACTATCATAATGCATGGGGAAAATTTCCAATATTCATGAATATTATATGGCAATATATGTACTTCCGCAGGTAGACTTCAATTTTGCATCTTCAGTATTCTTTACAAAGTCAAGGCAGGGACCTATATACTAGTATATCTAGGTCCCTGGTCAAGGCCGGTTTTGTGATTTTGGATCTCTACACAAAACTTCATGGTCAGTTGACATTTTAACGATGTCAACTATTTGTTTCTGCATTTTAAAAACACATTTTAGATATACTCGTACATATGGCACGCCAAATTCACAAAAATGAACAAATCATAGTTTCACAATCGATAAACTAGGTTTATCGGTTGTAAACTATAGTTTAAGGACTGTAAACTATAGTTAACAACGTTAATCTATATTTTACATCTGTAAACTATAGTTAACGCGATAATCTATGTTTCACAACCGTAAACTATACTTAACACCGAAAACTATCATTTGCGATTGCAAAACAGAGATTATCTGATAAATACAGTTTCACGATTTGTAAACTATAGCTTACAAACCGTTAACTATAGTTAACGATCTGATAAATATAGTTTCACGATTTGTGAAACTATGATTAACAACTCTTAACTATAGTTTACGATTGTAAACTATAGTTTACAAATGTGAATCTATGTTTATCAACAAAATCTATTGTTAACGCTTATTAGATAAACTTAGATTAATTCGTAAACTATAGTTAACAACCGTTAAATATAGTTTTACAGATGAAAACTATACTTAACGAATCGTTAACTATAGTTTACGGTTTGTAAATTATAGTTTACAGTCGATAAACCTAGTTTATCAAATGTGAAACTAGGTTTATCTCATTTTTGTGAATTTGGCGTGCCATACGTACATGTACATGTATTTTACACACAAGAGATCAGTACCTCTACATTAAGCTGGTGAAAGTAAATTCTAAGTTTAATGTCACCTCCGCGCATAGGTTTCGAAGAAATTGACACTTTGAAAATTCGTCATTTACAATTTTGTTTTCACTCTGATTGTACACACAAGTACTCTGAAATTGAGATGCTTGAGTTTCTTATTGACAATATCGGTGAAGAACAGGCAACTGACATTACTTATTACTTTTTTACTGATTAAAAAATATACCTACCTATAATTCATAAACAAGTATAGGGCCATTAGGGGGTATATTTTTTTATTAAAAGAAAAATAAGTAAATAGTCAGGTGCTTGTTTGACGAAGTTAACGTTTGGAGACCAGGTCTCCAACAATCTGTTGGAATTTCCATGGTTATTGATTATGCCCCTTTTTAGCCCTTTATTGACAGACTTATAGACTTCTAGGGAATGACAAAGATGTCGGAAAACAATCGATTTTATAATTTGAAGAATCTCAATCATAAAGCATTTATGGATTTTTACAATAGTTAAAATTTTAAGGGAAATAATATAAAACTAATATTCATATGTTATATGATGATAAATTACTGTAACATTTTTAAAAATGTATATCAAGAGATAGAAATATCTGTTTTAACTGTTTACATGTTTCACCAGAGACTTGTTAAAGTAAGACAATTCCAAGTTTTTTTTTCTATGTTTAGCGTCCGCAGAATTAAAACCAAACAAGGATTAATTATATAAACAAATTTATATATCTCTCTCTCTTTAAAAAAAAAGTGGAATACTTTTTTTTATCTCAGTTTTAGGGGCCAGGAGGGGTATGAACAACAATTATAAGGAATGTTTTGTTGTGGAAACAGTGAAAGAATATGTTAGGAACACACTGTTAGTAATATTTTGAGTTGACATGCAGTTTAAACACATGGAGAATTAAATCGAGAAACGGTGCACTTTTTTGTGCGCAATAAATATATGTAAAGTTTTTTTCAATGGGTGGCACTGTAGCTCTCTGGTCTGCCGGAGAGCTACAGTTCTGCAGCTAACATGATGCAGATACATTCCTCAACGTTTTTTCTAAATTACGCTCAATCGTAACATCCGTCTCACTACGTACCTCAAATGCACGTATTCCCGTTAATAGCAATTTCATAATTTTAATAAGACCATTCCCTTTTCATCTTAACTCGAAAACAATCTCATTCAAACTCATATATATATCCCGGAAATTGTCTGAAGTTTTTTAACATTTCAGTATTTTTTTTATGTACATTTGTTCTGTTCTGCAAAGTATTCTTCCACAGGGTTGATTTTTAAAGCAGTCTTCAACTGCTAAATTTTGGCAGTTTAGGAATTTTTTTTAGTATTTATATTACGATAATAAACCAGTAGTTCAATTAAGTTACAATGTGAATTATCAAATAATGATTAGAAATTTAAAACTGTTCTTATGCTTTTGTGTTTTTCACCTTTTAATTTGGTTTGTGGTTTACCCCGGAAAGAAAGATATGTTCCGAATTTGGGTGGAAAACAAAAATTGGGGGGGGGGGGGGTTCGGGCTTCAACTACATTTATGACTCTGAAAATCGGGGGGGGGGAGACTTGTTCGCTTAGGTGAAGAAAACTTTTTTTTTACAAACAAACAAACAGAAGACGGATGTACCATCAGGCATAGCATAACTTCTTTAGAAAAGTTAAAAAAAAAGGAGGGGGGGTAAAATATTGAAAACCGGATACGAATTACTTTACGTAAGAGTTAATACTTTCATTTCACATCCGGGGAATTCCATTGGCGGCTATTTTCATTTCCAGATTTTCTGTCTCTTGCAGTGGTTAATTGTACAATGAATACCGTATTTACCAACCACAATGTATATCCCAAATATATATTTAATAAGAGTAATTATTCAACCAATAATTAGGTAAGGTGATTGGTTGTTAACAGTTTTTAGATTAGTTTGAATTTCCTCTAGTCATTGAGCGTTTTACGTCTAGGAAAGTGAACTGTAAAACGTGAAAACTTCAGGAAAGCTGTATATTATAATTCGTTATGAAAGTGATAAATATGTCAAACTTTCATTTGTAATCTTCATGTAGAAGTGTATCACATATGATTTTGAACAGGGACATATTAAGTATTCAATACTTATCTCTGATATATCCATCAGCATGTTTATATTCATGACATATTTTTTTTTTTCATATTTCTTGTAAAGCTAAGTAATATAGTATGTCCCACATATGATATCAAAGTTATTCTCTTATATAAAGACGTTTCATAATTTCAAAGTTTACTTCACGTGTCTGGACAGAGCAAATGCCAATTAAATGCATCATGCATGTCTGATTGTCATTGTTTACTGATTGCATTGCTGATGAGATGCTGTAATTAAAAATATTTTATAATGTCTTAACTTGAGACATAATTCTGCAATGTGGATTTATTGCCCTGTAACCCTTGTATTTGATTTAAAGAAAGATTTCTGACTTTTTAGATAGAAAGACATATATTTACAGTGGGAAACAGAATGCTAGAAGTCCAAAATGATGTCCAAGGACACTTTTTCTACAAGACTGTTTAACCACAACAGTTTATCGTCTTCCCCAGAGACTTCTGTTAAGTGTTAGGATAACATTTTATCTTGTGCGGCAACATTTATCTGTAAGCTGCTCAACAGATTGTAAAAGATGGAAGAAAGTCAAGATGTACAAGAACTATTCTTCACCAACCTGCAGCTTTTAGGTTTTAATGTGGAGAGAAAAGAGGCAGAAGTCAGAATACCTTTCAATAAGTAAGTGATAACAAAGTGTATACACTTTGTTTTTATCACTTAAGTAACACAATTCTCAAGGGCCCATTTTGTCTTTGGTACAGGCTCCTGCAGGGCTCTCACACCACTTTTTGGGACTGGGGCCGGGGCCATTCAAATTGGGAAAATTATCGTCATTTTGGTAAAAGTTGGATAACCAAAATTCATTTAAAAAATCCTCAAATTTTGCTTTTCTAGCATTTTGTCATCATGTTAACTCTGGTTTTGAATAAACAGTTAAACAGAGCAAACGTGGGTACGTAGGCTATTTATGAAAGTACATTTATTTAGCTTTGTCATTACTATCTTTGATTGTTGATATTGTGGTTATATGTCTTTCCGAGGGAGAGTCGCTAGTCACATAGTCCCGAATTTCCTCGATCGCATGGACAACTTTGCTTACCAATACAGTGCGAGACTGAAAATGCTGAAGCATGGGTATGTTTCTAGGTGCAGCTTACTAATGTTTAAATGAAATGTCTATTTTTTGAAACCAAAATGATGTTTTTTGTCGAAACTACATGATAAGATACTCTGCACTCATAATTATTACACATTTTTGTAAAAACAATAACCTGGTTCCCCGAACCAGTTTACGAATGCATTTGGCGCGAACTAATAAAATATTAGTACAGTTTCACTTTCATTTGCAAGTGTGTTTTGTTTAGTTTAATTTTTTGCGATTAAGTTTCATGGACTTTTATTTTTTAATTAATATTTTGCTATGGAAATTGGGAAATTTACACCTTTCTTTTGGGAAAAAAGGTACCTTTTTTGCATTGGGAACGGGGCCGAATATCGGCCCCAGATTTAGAGAATCGAGAGCCCTGTCCTGTGTTCCGTCAATTGAGAATTTTAGATAAAAAAAGTGGGAAAGTTTGGAAATATTGATATCTTATTGATGTATGATTCAGTATTCACATCTTCATGAATCTTTGTCATTTCAAAATTCAAGATTTAAATATAAATACTTCTTCAAAATTCAATTCAAATTTGGACCCACCTTTCATTAAGATGACGTGACCAAACTTTGTTGTATCAGAGTTTGTATATTGTTATACAATTTTTCTAGGAATTAAAATTTTTGTAAAAAATTATGAGAGATTCAGAAAAACTTCCTTCTACCCCTGAATTTGCTATATTTGTACTACATGTAAAGGAAATGTTTATTGTCAGAAATCAGTGTAACATAATCTCCTTAAAATCCCAATCTTCAGTATTTTCTTTTCTTTGAAGAAACATGTTTGACTTACCAAATCGCAGAGGGGCGGAGGAGGTATTGTACTTCTTATTCAGTCGACTGAACCCTGTCATGTGTAAAGAAGAATTTAGGTATTAAACATTGATTGTCAGACATAAAGGCTCAAATTTTATTTCATTTCCATTTGATGTTGATTAAATACACATGAAATATTTTTCTTAAACAGAGTTAATGTTTCTGCGGCATATTCTTCAAAGGTTCCATCAGGAATATATTTACACTGAAAAATGAATGTGTACACTGTGCTTTATTAAATTTGATGAGATAAGTCTTTTATGACAGGGGCTGTTGGCCAATAACAGATAAACAGCAGGAGCAGATGTTCAGACGAGGATGTAACAACTGGTTGAGCAACATAAACAAAGTACACCAACATAAATCTGTTAATAACTGAAATTATTATCTGTTGACCTGTGATATCTTTGATATGTATCCTGTTATATTTTATAATATTGATTTCTAATGTTTTGTTCTATAGGAGGAGCCAGAAGCCATGTTACCAAGGATTTCTCCCTCCTTGTTTCTGACACCAGGTGGAGCCAAATTCTATCAGCTCATCTATCGTTTCTCACGATACGTCATCTTACAAGTCAACGAAAAGGAGAATGGTAGGCACTCTCACAGATAAGTGTAATTATGGCTAAAAAGTTAAGCTGGAATGATGACAGTTGGACTTGTTTAAGGTTTACAAGTATGCTGCAAAGTTACACACAAGACTTTGCCTGTTATTTTTATCATAAGAGTTAAATAGTGATAAGGGTAGGCTGCCAAATACAGAATAACTTGGATGTAGTCAGCATTATGGGTGTTGCTAAGAGTGCTGTACTATAAGTACACATCTTTTGATAATCTGTGTTTTTGTTGAAGGAGCAAAAGAGAAGGAGAAGCAAAGGTATCCAACTCTAAGCCAGAAGAACAAAGAACTTGCAGAAAATATGGCAGATGTTTTGATTAGCTGTGTCATCAGGAAGAGGAACACTTTCCTGAATACAGCACAAGAAATAGTCTCCCTAAACAGGCAGTGGAAGGAGCAGTCCAAGTAAGAGCTTGTGATAGACCACAAGTAGATAATGGTAGATGTAGGGAGAACAGATATGGAGAATAATTTACTGGTGTGTATTGAGACTAAGAGCTTGTGATAGACCACAAGTAGATATGGTAGATGCAGGGAGAACAGATAGGGAGAATAATTTACTGGTGTGTATTGAGACTAAGAGCTTGTGATAGACCACAAGTAGATAGTGGTAGATGTAGGGAGAACAGATATGGAGAATAATTTACTGGTGTGTATTGAGACTAAGAGCTTGTGATAGACCACAATTAGATAATGGTAGATGTAGGGAGAACAGATAGGGAGAATAATTTACTGGTGTGTATTGAGACTAAGAGCTTGTGATAGACCACAAGTAGATAATGGTAGATGTAGGGAGAACAGATAGGGAGAATAATTTACTGGTGTGTATTGAGACTAAGAGCTTGTGATAGACCACAAGTAGATAGTGGTAGATGTAGGGAGAACAGATAGGGAAAATAATTTACTGGTGTGTATTGAGACTAAGAGCTTGTGATAGGCCACAAGTAGATAGTGGTAGATGTAGGGAGAACAGATAGGGAGAATAATTTACTGGTGTGTATTGAGACTAAGAGCTTGTGATAGACCACAAGTAGATAGTGGTAGATGTAGGGAGAACAGATAGGGAGAATAATTTACTGGTGTGTATTGAGACCAAGAGCTTGTGATAGACCACAAGTAGATAGTGGTAGATGTAGGGAGAACAGATAGGGAGATAATTTACTGGTATGTATTGAGATAATGTGATAGACCACAAGTAGGTGTGTATTAGGGAGAACAGATAGGGAGAATAATTTACTGGTGTGATAGCTTGTGATAGGCCACCTTGTGTACAAGTAGATGATAGGCCACAAGTAGATAGTGGTAGATGTAGGGAGAACAGATAGGGAGAATAATTTACTGGTGTGTATTGAGACTAAGAGCTTGTGATAGACCACAAGTAGATAGTGGTAGATGTAGGGAGAACAGATAGGGAGAATAATTTACTGGTGTGTATTGAGACCAAGAGCTTGTGATAGACCACAAGTAGATAGTGGTAGATGTAGGGAGAACAGATAGGGAGAATAATTTACTGGTGTGTATTGAGACCTTATAAGAGCAGTGTGTGATGAGAGTTTTCAAAAATCACATATGTAAGTCAGCTTAGATACTGGTTGGTGAAGAGTGTTTGGTTTCAAAGATGGGAGAACAGTCCATCGAATATAGGGTAAGTGAGATACTTTTAATTTACTGGTGTGTATTGAGAGACTGTCAAAGAGCTTGTGATAGACCACATTAGATGGGCCACGCAGTGGCGACATAAAAAGAACATATCTAGGCCCAAAAAGTTTGATGGTATGTATTGGAAAAAATAACGAGTTTGTGATTTACCACAGGGGTTATCAAAAAGTCGTAGCTGTAAAATTAGTACTATGTAGTCTGAGCTTACAATTTTTTTAAGGAACATAAAACAACAAAAAATAAAGAAATGTTGAAAATTTTAGCTTGATGCGTTCATTATTTCCCAAATTATTACAAAATAAAAACGGCATTATATCATCACTCGGCGCCGTCACCGTTCAGTTTCATGACGTCCTACAACGTCATTGATTTTCAATGTCTGCTTCTTTTAACTCATACACTTATTTTGATGAGGTTTCCTGGAGCTAAGTAAGGACTTCAATCCGTCTTGATTATATGACTTTACAATTATTATTAACAGCGGCTTTCAATGCATATAATGTTGCAACTGGATTCATAAAATGGGAGAGATCCTCACTTGAGTGTGCCAGCATATTTTGCTTTTTGGAGTTTAATATCTACAACACTTGATCAACGTCAGTTTTTGACTTGAATGATTTTTCACACCTTGACTACAAATTGACCTTATTTGTGCATTCCTTTTCTCTCTGACTCTATTTTGGCATTAAAAAACAAGTACTCTAGATGCGTATTATTTCTACATAGCCAGATTAAACATTTCCTAGGTCTATACCATTTTTTTTAGGGGCAAATCTTTGGTAGTCATTTTCAAGCAATATTTGTTTAGATACTCCATGTAAAATTTACCATAAAATTTTATGGACTTCCAGAATGAGATAAAAATTGCACATTTTATGGAGCAATAGTGTCCCAACATATACCTGAATTAATGGAAGTTTTGGATGACAAATATTTATATTACTGGTGTGTATGGACATACCATTGCTTACAAAAACTTTACTAATTTATTTAAAAATAAAATTGATGATTTGTGGTTTATTCTATAGATAGAAAAACTGATGCTAACTAGATATTTCAAAATTCATTGATGTACCTAAAGCGGTTTTAATTTTATGGCGCTAGTCCACGAACTTTTTGATACCCCCTCGTATGTTAGTTTGATATGATTTTTTTCTCGTAAATTACAATCGTCAAAATTACATATTATGAACTAGGTTTAACTTAAATTTTTGTAAACCTGATACAAACTTTGCCGTGCACAGTGGTACATTGATTGAAATGTTTGTTAGAGGCTATGTACATGTATATTTCAATTTAATGAAAATTAGATCTTTGATTGGCTAGATCCGCAACCGAAAAGGTTATCTAAGAACAGTAGTGTACACTTGTTTTTTTGTAAAGTATGTACCATGTTTCCTTTGTTGGTTATCAAAAGAACGATATAGATCTACTAAGTGGTAAAAAAAAATGATGTGAAGTTTTTTTTCTTCACTTTTAACTAAAGTTAACGTATTAATGGCCGTTTTTAACTGTTAACTGTTATTTATTACAAAATGCTGTATACAGTTGAAAATGTTTATTCTTTTTTACTCTCCTAAATTTGGTATCACATGCCCGTATGATTGTTTCATTTAAAAACCGTGCATGATCGTTTTATAAATAGTTCTTTTGTCCCGACTCGATGGGCGGAGTTATAGAAAAGTGTGGGTTATGTACAGAAAACCCACACTTTTAACAAAAGAAATCACACCTAACTATGGTACAATGAGACTAAGAGCTTGTGATAGGCCACAAGTAGATAGTGGTAGATGTAGGGAGAACAGATAGGGAGAATAATTTACTGGTGTGTATTGAGACTAAGAGCTTGTGATAGACCACAAGTAGATAGGGCTGTGGTAGATGTACAATATTTTTCAAAGCGATATGCAATATATTGGATTCTAAAACAAGTCCATCAGAAAAGGCTTATAAAACATTTTTATGTATAACTTTCATAACAATTAAGTGTTTTATTATCCATTTTAAACTTCTTGTCTCATTGACATTACAAATAACTCTTCAAATGAAAACTTTTAATGACAGTAAAATCAACATGTTCAAATAAAATTCTCTTTGTATTTTGTAACAATTATAAAAACTGTGTTATTTCCTTACAAATTATATAATTAAAAATAATTGAGCAGTTTTATTTCAAAAAACTGAAATATAATTTTTGGTGATTGAAATTCCCATCTTTTTAACAGAATTAGAAGAAAAACTGTTTGTCCGATACGTATTGGAAGTCATTTTTCGATACGATAGTTTTCTTGCATATCGATACGTATCGATATATTGATACAGCCCTAGTAGATAGTGGTAGATGTAGGGAGAACAGATAGGGAGAATAATTTACTGGTGTGTATTGAGACTAAGAGCTTGTGATAGGCCACAAGTAGATAGTGGTAGATGTAGGGAGAACAGATAGGGAAAATAATTTACTGGTGTGTATTGAGACTAAGAGCTTGTGATAGGCCACAAGTAGATAGTGGTAGATGTAGGGAGAACAGATAGGGAGAATAATTTACTGGTGTGTATTGAGACTAAGAGCTTGTGATAGACCACAAGTAGATAGTGGTAGATGTAGGGAGAACAGATAGGGAGAATAATTTACTGGTGTGTATTGAGACTAAGAGCTTGTGATAGGCCACAAGTAGATAGTGGTAGATGTAGGGAGAACAGATAGGGAGAATAATTTACTGGTGTGTATTGAGACTAAGAGCTTGTGATAGGCCACAAGTAGATAGTGGTAGATGTAGGGAGAACAGATAGGGAGAATAATTTACTGGTGTGTATTGAGACTAAGAGCTTATGATAGACCACAAGTAGATAATGGTAGATGTAGGGAGAACAGATAGGGAGAATAATTTACTGGTGTGTATTGAGACTAAGAGCTTGTGATAGGCCACAAGTAGATATAGATTTTAGTTTACTGTGTGTATTCAGAGCTTATGATAGACCACTAGTAGATAATGGTTTAGGGAGAACAGATAGGGAGTACTGGTGTGTATTCAGAGCTTGTGATAGGCCACAAGTAGATAGTGGTAGATGTAGGGAGAACAGATAGGTAGAATAATTTACTGGTGTGTATTGAGACTAAGAGCTTGTGATAGGCCACAGGTAGATTGTGGTACAAGCAGGGAGAATAGATAGGGAGAATAATTGACTGGTGTGTATTGAGACTGCTTACTATTATTTTATGCAGTGTAATGTAGGTCAAGTGGATGGTTTATTCTATACGATGTCTTGTTTTGTTTCATTCATACTTGTGTATTTCGGTACTTGGATCATAGTGTGGTTACTTGTATACATGTCCTAAGTTTTACTGAAATCAGACATAGCTGTATACAGTGTAGCATTTTTTGAGGGCAAAAAGATTTATTCATTTATAGGAATCATTTCAACACATTTTACTAATCAAAAACATTAACAGAGAATTGATTTGAGCAGAGATTTACTAACTTAATGATCATTATGACTATGTTTTATTGTATATTAAGATGAAGATTTCACTTTGATTCTATTACACTGTGTTGGGTAAAAATGCTATTTAGACTTTTAACAAATTAATTTATTATTAACTACAGTGACATGGTGAAGGAATATAGAAAGCTGAACAAAGAAATACGAGACACAGAGTTAAAGATCAGAGACGAGATACACAAATCCTCTCAGATGAGCGCTGCTAGGGGTAGGTCAGTATCAGCATTAAATATGTTTGACTTGATATTCAAAGATTGTCAGAGATGCCTGTGTAAGGGACTGGACAAAAAAATAGATAAAATGATGTCAGCAGTTTTCAGAGATACAGGAAATTGGTGATTGAATCTTAGATATTCTTTGATACACTGTTAATTTGTAGTGCGGTGCGATATTACTGGTTAACTGGTGTATCCCGATTTCGTTCTTCACAATATGTATCGCGGTATTTTTTTGTGAATACCTGTTCACATTCGATATGCTATAAATTGTTATAAGAAGAGTTATTTGCCCTTTTCAAGGTAAAATATGGCGGCAAGCGATGTGAAGTGTGATCAGAAACCAGAGACATGTCTCTGTCAGAAACGAAAAGACGACAACTGTTACATGAAACCTCTTCATGTTAAAGCTGAATCTGAATATTACAACTTGATTCTTCAAGTTGTGCCACAAAAAACTTAGCTTGCCACTTGCGCCGACATAACGCGCTCAGGCAATTGCAATATCAACCCGAGAATACATGTAATTTGAGCTTGTGTTTTCATTTAACATTGACGAAAATCAAAAATTATTTAAAATTTTCTATCATGATATATTGCAATACAAAATATAATATTGCAATATATCGCGATACGATTTTTCAGTCGCGATACCCAGCACTATTAATTTGACACAAAACCAGTCTGTTAGTCTAAGTCTTGTGTTTTTTTGAAATCTGTCAGTTTTGTCCTATTTGCTGATTATTTTGTAGCCCTCTTGCCAAGAAACAAAGATCAAAATCATATGAGCCAGATTTTGACCCCAAGTCAACAAAGAGGTCACAGAAGGTCAATGAGGTAGGAGGAATAAATCCTTATGTAGAACTCCTTTAAAAGCCTATCAAAATGAAAATTTCCAGATTGAAAATTGTTAATGAATGGTCATATTCTTATTTGTGTTTACAAAAGAAGCCACAATGCACTTTTTTCATCCTTATTATTTTATACAGGTGAGAGGTCTGTGGAAACAGTTGGATGGTTTTCTTGTCAGTGAGGCCTCAGAGAGGGAAGTGATAGAGTCAATAGTGGATACCTCCCTAACTAAATACAGGATAGACTCGGCCAACATCTCCATCAAAGTCCCAGACCTACTGCTGCGAGAGTGTGAGAAGGAAATTAGGCAGGTCAGAATCTTGTTTGATATGCTCCATATTATAAAAGAGACCATCAACAAATTTGTCTATCTGGTTGAAATCTTTATTCATCCGCTTGTTCAGTCTTTTGTATATTGATTTGAGTTTTAGACCAAATATGCTTAGTTGATATCAAAATTTTCTTTCAATGTAGAAGCCAGTATTAAAATTTTTATTACAGGTAAATACAGTTTACACATTTGCTTGGAAAACATTGTCTATCGCAATTAGTTGGATATTAACATTTTTCAGAGACATGTACCTTTACAGAAGTAAATGATAAGTCTTTTACACTTTTCCTGAATTTAATACAAGACCGATTTCAAGACAGTAAGACAATTTTGTTAATGTACGAATAATCTGTGGTATATATTAACATTATATATCACCTGTTTTATTTTGGAGGAATTAATCATTCACCTGCTTATAATTCAGTATAGTTTTTTGCCAGGATCTGTTCCAAATTTCAGATTAATAATAATCCACTGTATTTACCCATGTTTCAAAGCATGTTTTTGGGTAATACATTATTTGACCTTTTATTTCAACAAATTAAACAAATATTAAATCATTAAAATCTGTAATCTGTGGTTTTCCTTTCGAATATCAGATTGAGTTTTGATCATCATTGAAATGTTTTCAAATTATTTATACATGTATTTCTGTTGCTAGAAAAATACAGAATTTTTCTAGAGAACTTGTTTATAAGTTGGATAAAGAGTTTTTGACCAAAATTTAACTCCCAAAACTGAACTAATAAATGAGCAGTAAATATAGACAATTTGTTAATGTCCCCCAAAAAAAATATTACCTGTGCAAATATATATTAAAGAAAACAGCATTATCTTAAACACAGTTCTGAATTTATAAAGCCTGTTTTATTTTGGAGGAATTAACCATAATTTCACCAATTGTGAATCTTTTTTTATTATGTTCATGAAAAAAAATTGAGAGTTCAGAAAGAAATAAAATATTTGTTTGAATTGTTTCCTTGCAGGACATCTGTAAAATCACGACATGATCAACACTGATTGTAACATTGAGCTATAAAAATAATTAACACATCTGTAAATCACCAACTATGTTTAGTGATTAGTTATTTAATCACTTTTGACTTGTTTCATTAAAGTAAATCCTTAGAGAAAATTTGCAGTTATCACAAAATTATTTGACCTTTTATTAAAAATCAACAAATTAAACAAATATTAAAGCATTAAATTATTTTCATAAATTTTTGTTACTATCATAATAAAATGGTTTTCCATATTCATGTATTTCAAATGTTTTTTAACCCAGTCATGAATGTTATTGTAAAGTAAATAAAATTAAACTTTTGTCAATGTTTTTTCTCCCTGTAATTTTTATTATTCATTAAAAAATATGCTCACAATGATTGGTATAATATTAGAATAATATTTTTATCTGAAATTTTCCATTATAAGTTAAAAAATAAAGAGTTACATTTCATGAATCCAAAATTTAAGTTTTCTCCCAATTGAAAAATATTATGTCAACTTAATTAAATGAGCATGAATTATGGCATATAAAACAACAAAAATATATATCCAATAATTTATTAATCCTTTGATACCAATGTTTTCACTCCTGAGAAAAAAATACTTGTACACTTCTCGCAAATTTAATATGGGGCAATTTTAAAGAAAACAACATTATATCTTAAACACAATTCTGTCTAGGTGAATTAAAAACGGGGCAACATTGTTTACAAATGTTAAAGGGCAAAAATAAAACAGGGCAAAATAACCTTTTATATAGCAGTTACTCTTAAAAAGGGGGAGTAACTTTTGATTTACTTAGTTTTAAACTTTAATCCTTTAAATGTGAAAAAGAGTATTCTTGCCAATGATGTAGTGTAGCAAAAAATCTAAAATGTTTGTCCTGAATTATTTGATTTTCATTACTTTTCAAGACCCAAAACTGTGAGAAATTAGCATTACAAGTGTATTAATGTTAAATGAAAAATTTTTTTTTTTTTTGATGATTGAGAAAAATTTAAATGGATAAATAATTTATTTTTAGCAAAAAAAAAAAATTCATTTACACAAAAGGCAGTTTAATTCTCTTCGAACAGTTCCTCTGTTGTAAAGCATTTCATTACAACTGCTTTCATTTATTTTGTCAGCTGGTGTTCCAGATTTCACTACAGACATTGAAAAAATAACCACACTGGCCCACAAAAATCACAGTTTACTAGTGGCTAGTCAGGATCTACAGAAGGAGATTGAGGGAGTTCTACCAGAACTGAAGCGCTCGGTGGATCAGCTGAGGTCGGAGGTCGAACAGGGACTAACCACTACCCCCACACAACTTCGGACTTCAGTATGTTGTTAGAAAGTAATTACCACTGTGTATGACATACATAGGAATAGACTTTCTCATCTTGTGGTTTACTAAAGCACAAATTGTTTAAATACATGTTATTACTAATAAACAAAATTAATATATTTTTTTGTACTTGTACATGCATGTACATTAAATTCAATTTTATGTGATTCTTCCATCATATCAGTGTACTTTCACTTTAATATTCTTCATATTATACACCAAAACTAAGACTAATATTTTTTAAAAATCGGTTCTCAACTGTCACTTTTCCAAGGTATCTGATAAATGTAAGTTTGCCTCGGCAGGATATGAAGATGAAAACATGATGAACTTTTCATGCACTTTTGAACCAACTTCCCCCCTCTCTTCATTCCTGCTGTAATTGTGATAGTTGACAGGAGTGTACTTAATTTTGGAGGGGTTCTGAATACCTGTTAAAGGGCATTTCCCATACTTTTATTACATGTATGCTAAAATTTCAAAAAGATGTCTGTCTCGCATGATTCACTCAAAGATGGAATGATGGACCAAAGAACCAATTTTTTTATGTCTGAATTGTAACTACAAACTGTTACCTTGTACGCTGCATGCTTTGTTTTTGGTACTTTTCACAGTACTTGTAGCATCAAAGCTGACAGGATTGATTTAGTCAAGTGACAAAAATACATTCTGTTGGTGCTACATGTATTTGGTATGCATTTTATCTGTCTCCTTGGCTTTAAAACATTTACACTGTATGTAAAAATTTAGTACTTTTCAACCACCATGCCTTAATTCAATAAGCAGAAAATTATGAATACCCGTAAATTTTACGATTTTGGAGTTGAACTGTCAATAACAATGTTAAAAGATCAAGATTATTTTTTAAACATTCTATTTTAATCTCAATAAATTCTCTGTATGCTGTAATAAAGTTAAAGTAGATGTTATTCCCCTTTTCACAGCTATGAACATTTATGTAATTTTTATGCCCCTCTTCGAAGAAGGGAGGGCATTTTGAAGGGGGGCATGTCGCTTTGCTGCTGTCTGTCGGTCGGTCGGTCTGTCACTTTTCCATTTAGTTTCCGCTCATTTTCTTCACAACCGTTGCACATACTGAAATGAAATTTGGTATACAGATATATCTCATGAATATCTAGGTCAAGTCTCTGTTTTGGGTACTGTAATTGTGATTTTTGACAGAGTTATGCCCCTTGGACTTAAAAAAAATCCATTATTTGCAGTTTCCGCTCATTTTCTTTGCAACCGTTTGGCATACTGAAATGAAATTTGGTATACAGATATATCTCATGAATATCTAGGTCAAGTTCTGTTTTGGGTACGGTTGCACCATTTTTTACAGAGTTATGCCCCTTGGACTTAAAAAAAAATCCATTATTTGCAGTTTCCGCTTATTTTCTTTGCAATTGTTGCATGTACTGTAATGAAATTTGGTATACAGATATATCAAATTATTATCTAGGTCAAGTTTTGTTTTGGGTACGGTTGCACCATTTTTGACAGAGTTATGCCCCTTGGACTTAAAAAAAATTCCATTATTTGCAGTTCCTGCTCATTTTCTTTGCAACCGTTTCGCATACTGAAATGAAATTTGGTATACAGATATATCACATTAATATCTTGGCCAAGTTCTGTTTTGGGTACGATTGCACCATTTTTGACAGAGTTATGCCCCTTGGACTTGGAAAAATTCAAATTAGGGGGGAGGGGGGCATAAGTGTTTTACAAACATCTCTTGTTTTTTTGAAGTTTGAATAACGTTTTTTAAAGGTTTATTTTGTATGATAAATACAAGAATAGAGAGAAAGTACTATTCATTTTGTCATTTACTGACAACAAAAAGAGAATTCTTGCTTTCAAGAAAATGCCTATATTACAGTGAAGTATGGTAGCTTTCAAAACAATGAAATTTAATGCAGATGAAACCTTTTTATAGCACAAATCAACAGAATTTTTTTTCCCCACAAAATTTTTTGTTAAAAAGTTTTTGAAATTTTTGTTAGAGTGGTACATGTATGATTTTCTTTATTTTTTTTTAATTTCATTAAAATTTGATTCAAATTTTTTTTTAATTTCTTTAATTTTGTAAATCAATCATGTTCTTTTTATAGTTGTATACATGTAAATCAAGACATTAATTAGTTTAAAGTATTTCTTTAAAATTTTCAGTCCATGAATTAATTATAAATATTGAAGAAATAGCTCATTGCAGAAAATTTAATTTGAATGTTCAAATCAGGTGATTATTTTTTCCTGACTCTGTAGATACTTTTTGTGATTTTCCGACACTGGAGAGTTCTGTTGTAGGCAGTAGGACTAGGACTAATGGAGCCGACTCCTGAGGTATCATTTTCACCTGCTTCAACTGCACAGGGAAGGCAACCCACAGAAACCTCCGTAACACTCACACCACATGAAAGTAAGTACAGGAAAAACAAAGAAAAACTGTATGGCACAATTAATGGTAACTACTCATCCATCTTCAGCTTAGGATGAACCAGTTGTTATGAATTTTAATTTATAGCATCTTTAAATACCACCCCCCCCCCCTTCCCAAACTTTGGAGACTAAAAGTTGGGATAAAAATAACCATAATTCTAATACCACAGACTGTTTGCATGGTGAGCCATAAGTTCTCTACAACAGTTTATGACATATGGTTCTTGAGTCCAAGCCCAGGGTCTGGCAGTAAAAGTCATGTAAAAGAAATACAGCACACAACTGAGAGGTTTGTCTCCAGGACATCTACATTGCAACAAGATCCAAAATTGTGAAATTCATGTCCCCAAATGTGGGATTTAGGCCCCATTTTAGTATGAGTTTGTCATAAATTGGAAAGGCATACCTTTCAAATCTTTACTCTTAAATATTTAGGGTGCTATTATATAGGGCTTCTGAAACTTGTCTAATCTGAAATACTCTGGGAGACAAATTGTGTCCAAATTTTACAGTGAAATGGATTACACAGGTAAAGAATTAGACAGCTTTTATTACTGTGTGTACATGTATAACATGCAAGTATAAATACATGTAAATATTTATAAATATATTCTGGAATTGATGATTACAGATGCAACCCCAGAAGCAGTAGCCAGAATCTCTGAGGATATTTCTGTTAGAGTCAATCGAATCAAACTGTTCAGTGATAGCCCCAGGATTTCTCAGTCAGAGAGGACTGTGAGGTAAGTCTGACAGAAAAGCATACTGAATGAAATAAAATCATCATTTGATAGTAAAAGGTAAAAAAAAATAACAAGTACTGTACTTAAGTACAAAGAGAGAGAGAGAGTAAATATATATTTTAAAATTTGATGCGGCACGAATCTTTTAGAAAGAATACAGAAGAAGTTTTTCTTTTACATGTATATTATTTTTATGCCCCACTTCAAAGAAGGGAGGGCATATTGCTTTGCTGCTGTCTGTCGGTCCATTTAGTTTCCATTCATTTTCTTCACAATCGTTGCACATACTGAAATGAAATTTGGTATACAGATTAGTCAGATGAATATCTAGGTCAAGTTCTGTTTTGGGTATGATCGCTCCATAATTGACAGAGTTATGCCCCTTGGACTTAGAAAAATTCCATCTATTTGCAGTTTCCGTTCATTTTCTTTGGAGAGGTTGCACATATTGAAATGGAATTTAGTATACAGATTAGTCAGATGAATATCTAGTTCAAGTTCTGTTTTGGGTATGATCGCACCATTTTTGACAGAGTTATGCCTCTTGGACTTAGAAAAATTCCAATTTGTGGGGGAGGGGGGCATAAGTTTTTACAAACATCTCTTGTTTTTTTTATTAAAGTGATGTGAAGTTTGTATGTTTTCATGAACAGGTAGAATTGCTTTATTTAGTCTTGATTTTCCATGCAAACCTACAAAAATTGAATAAATTCTGGATTTTTGGAGAGAGTACATCTCCAAGATCCTCACTGCATCTTTCTTTCCAAAAAAAATGTAATCCTTGATTAGTTTTGACATGTTTTTTGTATACTTTTGATATTTCATGCTGAGTTGTTCCCAGAAGCCATTATATCTGGCTATTACATGTTTTCAATGGATTGATGAAATGCTTTGCCTACTCCAAATATTAATGACACAATTAAAACCCAACTAGGACAAGCAGAACATTCCGATATTAGAAACTACTTGTCTGTATTTTTAACTACATTTAATAAAACTAAAGCCCTGTCTTCAAGGTAAGTTTTTGCAAGTAATGTACCACACAGATAACAAAATATGGGTGAGATGTAAAATAATAAGGATTTGAGTTCATTAGATGATGTTGGAGAGTCTGAAAAAGGAGCCACTGCAATATGCTTTTATAAGTGGAAACATTCTTTTTTAGCACACTGTAAAGGCATGTCATGTTGATGGCTCTAGGGGGTAGTATGTTCTTTGTTGTTATTAATTGTAGAGGAGTATATGTACCGTATAGTAATTCCATACTGTCTATCACACTAACTAAATTGAATTTTGTTTTACTACTACTCTAGCTCTACGAAGCTTCCTAGAAAACTTGCAGTGAACCAAAAGAGTAGTACCACATGGCAAGTGGACAGGACAAAGCCCCGAGTGGTGGACGTGAGGGGTCAGTTACAGTCCACCCCCACCAAAGCCAGGAGGGAACAGAAAGTTAATGCTCACATAGGTACTATAATGTTACAAGTCTCTAAACTGTAAACCACCCCCACCAAATCCAGGAGGGAGCAGAAAGTTAATGCTCCTGTAGGTATTATAATGTTACAATTCTGTAAACTGTAAACCACCCCCACCAAATCCAGGAGGGAGAAGAAAGTTAATGCTCACATAGGTACTATAATGTTACAATTCTGTAAACTGTAAACCACCCCCACCAAAGCCAGGAGGGAGCAGAAAGTTAATGCTCACATAGGTACTATAATGTTACAATTCTGTAAACTGTAAACCACCCCCACCAAATCCAGGAGGGAGCAGAAAGTTAATGCTCACATAGGTACTATAATGTTACAATTCTGTAAACTGTAAACCACCCCCATCAAAGCCAGGAGGGAGAAGAAAGTTAATGCTCACATAGGTACTATAATGTTACAATTCTGTAAACTGTAAACCACCCCCATCAAAGCCAGAAGGGAGCAGAAAGTTAATGCTCACATAGGTACTATAATGTTACAATTCTGTAAACTGTAAACCACCCCCACCAAAGCCAGAAGGGAGCAGAAAGTTAATGCTCCTATAGGTACTATAATGTTACAATGCTATAAACTGTAAACCACCCCCACCAAAGCCAGGAGGGAGCAGAAAGTTAATGCTCCTTTAGGTACTATAATGTTACAATTCTGTAAACTGTAAAACCTGAAAAATGTTGGCATCTTTGATGTTGAGGCTTCTGTGCTGACCTTTAATCTTACATGAAAATCCCCACAATCACTCTATAGCTACCTCTTATTGGATTGTGATAATGTCTGTATATCAGTTTAGTTAAAGATTTCAAAAACATTTGTGTGTTCTAACAGACGCTGTCTTATCTGATTACTGGGATTACTCGCATCGGCCACACAATTCACCTTTATTGCTTAAGCATAAAATTAATCATATCTTTATTTTTTAGGCCTAAAAGCATTGGACTTGAAACAGGATCTGTCCCTGAATGAGAGTGATAGGCTTTCTGCTGATGTGTCAACTTTAGTGCAGAGGGAGCAATCAACTCTGATTACTTCAACATCAAGAAATTCTAGTGCACAATCAACACCTAGGAAAAATCATTCTCTCAATAATTTTAATAACAATGAGCCATTCTGTGATAAAACCCCAACAAACAAATATAGAACTGATGTTAAAGTGGAACAAGGTGGCAGCATGCACAGTGACATGAATAAGTCAGCGACTGATTTTTTAGTGGATGAGATATTTGGGGAAACTCCTAAGGGGTCCCCACTCCGTGTCCAGAAGTCGCCATCAGATTATCTGGTGGAGGAGGTCCTGTCCTCAGGTGTCCTCAACTCTCCGTTCATGGACCAGTCACAGGATATAGGTAAGTTAGTGATAACTATGTATTACTGAACTACACCACACAGGTAAGTTAGTGATAACTTTATGTATTACTGAACTACACCACACATGTAAGTTAGAGATAACTTTATGTATTACTGAACTACACCACACAGGTAAGTTGGAGATAACGTTATGTATTACTGAACTACACCACACATGTAAGTTAGAGATAACTTTATGTATTACTGAACTACACCATACAGGTAAGTTAGTGATAACTTTATGTATTACTGAACTACACCACACATGTAAGTTAGTGATAACTTTATGTATTATTGAACTACACCACACATGTAAGTTAGTGATAACTTTATGTATTACTGAACTACACCACACAGGTAAGTTAGTGATAACTATGTATTACTGAACTACACCACACATGTAAGTTAGTGATAACTTTATGTATTACTGAACTAAACCACACAGGTAAGTTAGTGATAACTTTATGTATTACTGAACTACACCACACATGTAAGTTAGTGATAACTTTATGTATTACTGAACTACACCACACAGGTAAGTTAGTGATAACTTTATATATTACTGAACTACACCACACATGTAAGTTAGTGATAACTTTATGTATTACTGAACTACACCACACAGGTAAGTTAGAGATAACTATGTATTACTGAACTACACCACACAGGTAAGTTAGAGATAACTTTATGTATTACTGAACTACACCACACAGGTAAGTTAGAGATAACTTTATGTATTACTGAACTACACCACACATGTAAGTTAGTGATAACTTTATGTATTACTGAACTACACCACATGGGTAAGTTAGTGATAACTTTATGTATTACTGAACTACACCACACAGGTAAGTTAGTGATAACTTTATGTATTACTGAACTACACCACACAGGTAAGTTAGTGATAACTTTATGTATTACTGAACTACACCACACAGGTAAGTTAGAGATAACTTTATGTATTACTGAACTACACCACACAGGTAAGTTAGTGATAACTATGTATTACTGAACTACACCACACAGGTAAGTTAGTGATAACTTTATGTATTACTGAACTACACCACACAGGTAAGTTAGAGATAACTTTATGTATTACTGAACTACACCACACAGGTAAGTTAGAGATAACTTTATGTATTACTGAACTACACCACACATGTAAGTTAGTGATAACTTTATGTATTACTGAACTACACCACATGGGTAAGTTAGTGATAACTTTATGTATTACTGAACTACACCACACAGGTAAGTTAGTGATAACTTTATGTATTACTGAACTACACCACACAGGTAAGTTAGAGATAACTTTATGTATTACTGAACTACACCACACAGGTAAGTTAGTGATAACTTTATATATTACTGAACTACACCACACAGGTAAGTTAGTGATAACTTTATGTATTACTGAACTACACCACACAGGTAAGTTAGTGATAACTTTATGTATTACTGAACTACACCACACAGGTAAGTTAGAGATAACTTTATGTATTACTGAACTACACCACACATGTAAGTTAGTGATAACTTTATGTATTACTGAACTACACCACACAGGTAAGTTAGTGATAACTTTATGTATTACTGAACTACACCACACAGGTAAGTTAGTGATAACTATGTATTACTGAACTACACCACACAGGTAAGTTAGTGATAACTTTATGTATTACTGAACTACACCACACATGTAAGTTAGTGATAAACTTTATGTATTACTGAACTACACCACACATGTAAGTTTGTGATAACTTTATGTATTACTGAACTACACCACACATGTAAGTTAGTGATAACTTTATGTATTACTGAACTACACCACACATGTAAGTTAGTGATAACTTTATGTATTACTGAACTACACCACACAGGTAAGTTAGTGATAACTATGTATTACTGAACTACACCACACATGTAAGTTTGTGATAACTTTATGTATTACTGAACTACACCACACAGGTAAGTTAGTGATAACTTTATGTATTACTGAACTACACCACACATGTAAGTTAGTGATAACTTTATGTATTACTGAACTACACCACACAGGTAAGTTAGTGATAACTTTATATATTACTGAACTACACCACACAGCTAAGTTAGTGATAACTTTATGTATTACTGAACTACACCACACAGGTAAGTTAGTGATAACTTTATGTATTACTGAACTACACCACACAGGCAAGTTAGTGATAACTTTATGTATTACTGAACTACACCACACAGGTAAGTTAGTGATAACTATGTATTACTGAACTACACCACACAGGTAAGTTAGTGATAACTTTATGTATTACTGAACTACACCACACAGGTAAGTTAGTGATAACTATGTATTACTGAACTACACCACACAGGTAAGTTAGTGATAACTTTATGTATTACTGAACTACACCACACAGGTAAGTTAGTGATAACTTTATGTATTACTGAACTACACCACACAGGTAAGTTAGTGATAACTTCATATATTACTGAACTACACCACACAGGTAAGTTAGTGATAACTTTATGTATTACTGAACTACACCACACATGTAAGTTACTGATAACTTTATGTACTTTGTATTACTGAACTACACCACACATGTAAGTTAGTGATAACTTTATGTATTACTGAACTACACCACACATGTAAGGTTGTGATAACTTTATGTATTACTGAACTACACCACACATGTAAGTTTGTGATAACTTTATGTACATTGTATTACTGAACTACACCACACATGTAAGTTAGTGATAACTTTATGTACTACTTGGGGGCGGACAAATAGATTTTTAAGGCACTTGTCCAAGGGCAAGTACATTGTCAAAATTCACTTGCCCTTCCTGAATTTTTGCTTGCCCTTCCATGCTGCATTTATAAATATTTCAAAAAGGAGGAAGACAAAAACTGAGAAGATCATACAAACCCTTTGCCCAGCTTCAAATCTATGGCTTACGTATTGATTTTATTTTTGACAAGTCACTTGCCCACGGGCTAGTAGCTGATAAAGTTTCACTTGCCCAACTCTAAAATCCACAAGCCCCGGGCGTTGGGCAATGGGATTTGTCATCCCCTGACTACTGAACTACACCACACATGTAAGTTAGTGATATCTCTCTAACTTATCACCAAATCACACCACATGGTCACGAAATACAGAAATACAAGGTTTGACACTAAAATTGAAGCATGGGAGTCAGAAGTACAGTCTCTGAAACATTCTAAATGAGCCAATGCTGAATTAGTGGGTGAACAGTAAAGCTAACCATCAGTTAAAGTGAAAAGACATTGAACGCCAAATCGTAATGCAAGCACAAAGTGTAAGGCAAAGAAACAAATGCAAGATGAACAATTTACGAGGGGTGATCAAAAAGTTCGCTAACTATCTCTATATTTCTCTATATATATACAAAACTACAGTTCAGATCAGAATGAAATTTGTCACACCTGTAGTCATGCAAATGTTCTTTAAATAGCATATGAAATGTAATGATTTTCTCCATCAATGTGTAATTGACGTCATTATCTAACCTACTACCACTCTTTTGCTGGGGAGTTGAGAAAGCTCTATCTCGCAAGATTTCTGGGGCACATGGCATTTTTAGCTCACCTGAGCTTTGCTCAAGTGAGCTTTTCTGATCACCCATTGTCCGTCGTCCGTCCGTCCGTCTAGCTGTCCGTCTGTCTGTCCGTCCGTCTGTTAACTTTTCACATTTTCAACTTCTTCTCAAGAACCACTGGGCCATTTTAACCAAACTTGGTACAAAGCATACTTGGGTGAAGGGAAATTTAAATTGTTAAATAAAGGGCCAGGTCCACTTCCAAAGGGAGATAATCAAGAAAATACAAAAATAGGGTGGGGTCATTAAAAAATCTTCTTCTTGAGAACCACTGGGCCAGAAGAACTGAAAATTATGTGGAAGCATCCTGAAGTAGTGTAGATTTTAAATTGTAAAAATCATGACCCCCGGGGGTAGGGCGGGGCCACAATAGGGAATCCAAGTTTTACATAGAAATATATAGGAAAAATCTTTAAAAATCTTCTTCTCAAGAACCAGTGGACCAGGAAAGCTGAAACTTTTGTGGAACCATCCTTGGGTAGTGTAGATTCTAATTTTAAAAATCATGACCCCTGGGGGTAGGGCGGGGCCACAATAGGGAATCAAAGTTTTACATAGAAATATATAGGAAAAATCTTAAAAAATCTTCTCAAGAACCAGTGGGCCAGGAAAACTGAAACTTATGTGGAAGCATCCTGAAGTAGTGTAGAATTTGAATTGTAAAAATCATGACCCCCGGGGGTAGGACGGGGCCACAATAGGGAATCCAAGTTTTACATAGAAATATATAGGAAAAATCTTTAAACTTCTTCTTCTGAAGAACCAGTGGGCCAGGAAAGCTCTAACTTAGTGAAAGCATCTTTGGGTAGTGTAGATTCTAATTTTAAAAATCATGACCCCTGGGGGTATGGCGGGGCCACAATGGGCAATCCAAGTTTTACATAGAAATACAATGTACAGTAAAACTCGTTTAGTACGAACATGGATATAGCGAATTCAGGGATATAGCGAAGTTTTTCTGGGTCCCCGGCAAAAATCTCAACAAATCCTTGTAAAATTTTACGGTTATAACAAACTCTGATATAAGGAATTTACGGATATAGCGAACTGATTTTGGGTCCCGTTGAAGTTAAATATAATGAAATTTACATCTTTTACAACGAACTTTTAGAGATCTCAAAATTTGATAAATTGAACTAACTTATTTTTGTTCATGGAATTGTATATATAATTCAATTCACAATAAAATCCTTAGTTATCGAAGGTATGTTTTGTAATATTTGCTTCCCTAACATATTTGGTAGTAATACTTGAAGGAAAACATGCATATTGCGATTTCACTTTATATGGTTTTACGAATTCGTTATACTGATATAACGAATTACGGATATAGCGAATTAAATTCACAGGTCCCTAGGACTTCGCTATAACCGAATTTTACTGTATATATAGAGGATATTCAATGTTTTGTAGTTGAATATGGAATTTATTTCACGAGTGGGACAGGATTTTTTATATTTTCACGAGTGCGAAGCACGAGTGAAAATATCAAAAAATCCTGTCTCACGAGTGAAATAAATTCCATATTCAACTACAAAACATTGAATTTTCTGTTTATTACATTTAAAAAAAAAACTTTGATTTTTCCTTTGCCTCTGTCTTTTTGTAATACAGTTACAGGCTACATGACGTCATAGTTGAGCGGTTGAGACGTCATAGCTAAGTGAGGTGAAAACACTGAAAACATGGATTTAGCAACATATTTTTGGTAATTTTGACAGTTTTATTCGCTATCAGAATGGTTTATTTATTTACAACTATCTTATATTTGGTCAAGGAAGATTTTTTGGCAACAATCTTCGTTATGGGAAGGGAAATCGAAGGTTTTCCCGCACTTCTGATATTCGTCACACTGTGACAGGATATCATTTTGATATCCTTTCACACTGTGACAGGATATCATTTTTATTCAATGAATAAATTACAGTATTTCACGGGTAAAAATGTAATAAAGGAAAAATCTTTAAAACAATCTTCTCAAGAACCAGTGGGCCAGGAAAGCTGAAACTTTTGTGGAAGCATCATCGGGAAGTGTAGATTCTAAATTGTAAAAATCATGACCCCTGGGGTTAGGGCGGGGCCACAATAGGGAATCCAAGTTTTACATAGAAATATATAGGAAAAATCTTTAAAAATCTTCTTCTGAAGAACCAGTGGGCCTTTGGGTAGTGTAGATTCTAATTGTTAAAAATCATGACCCGGGGGGGGGGGGGGGGGGGGGGGGGGGGGGGTAGGGAGGGGCCACATTAGGGAATCATAGTTTTATATAGAAATATATTGGAAAATTCTTCTTCTCAAGCACCAGTGGGCCAGGAAAGCTGAAACTTAGGTGGAAGCAATCTGGGGTAGTGTAGATTCTTAATTATTCAAATAAAGATGGGGTTTGGGAGGGGGTAGGGGGCCACAATAGATGTAAGAAGAGGGGAAATCTGGTAAAGAAGTGCATCACCAAAGTTACTCATGTGAGCGATGTGGCCCATGGGCCTCTTGTTTACAGTAGTGACAGCAGTGATAATCTAATGATTCGAACAATTTTATGCCGAAAGAACAATGCATTGCCAAGGATTGAACTCCAAATAGTAGATTGTCAAGTAAGGAAAATTTAGAATATTTTATTTTATCAGCTTTAAAATGGGATGATTTTCAAAACTCTGTTATAACAAAGTCACTGGGACCTATGAAATTACTTTGCTATCTCTGTAATTCATTATATCCGTATAAGGAATTTGTTAAATTTGTATAGTTGGGGATCCAAGAGAACTTTGCTATATCCGTGAATTCGCAATATCTGTTTTCGTACTAAGCGAGTTTTACTGTTTCAGGTCGTGACAGTTATCAATGCTTTAATTGCAATTCTGCCAGGGAGTCACAATCTGTTCTTCAATACCTCTAGGCCCTTGCACACATATTTTCCTTTAAAATTTCAATCCTTCTAACATGTCCAGTGACAACAAAGAAACACAGTTTGATACATTAGTGAATGCTGAATGGAAGGTGAATGCAAAGTGAACTAATGGTGAGCAATAACAACTCTTTGTGAACAATGAATGCGAGAAGTTGGGGAATGTTTAATGCAAAACTAAGAACGGTGAGCACAAGCTGAAGAGACCTTGAACAAATGCTGAACAAACAGTGACCAAATGAAAAAAACTGGAGATTGGAACAATTCAGCATGCTCGGGGACTGAACTTAAATCTCTTAAAAACTCCTGTTATTGTTCCCCCCCCCTCCTCCACCTTTACAAAGTTGCTTTGTGAAGCAATTAGGAGAGACAATACAGGAGTGATACCCCCCACTCCCTGATAATAATATCAAAATATGTAAAACTTCTCTGTTGAGTTCAATTACTAAATTATTTATGATTGTGCTTAACTCTCCATTTATAACTTGATAAGTTACTGGTAGTATATTATTGCATTATATTGGCATCAGCTGTCTCAGTTCTCCATTGTATCTCATATATTATTTGTGTATCAGTTCATGGTCCAGATATGTTGAAATATTGGATATTGCATTTGGTTCTGTAAAATGCACTCTGGTAGCTAGCTGTAGGCAATGAAAACAATATATTTCAAGAAAGTGTAGGGTAATCATAAAATTTTAATTTTGGGAACTTATTTTCAGGGATTTTCTCTGTCTCATTGGGCTAGCATTTGTAAATCTTATTATAGCTTTATTATTCTCATCTGCCGTGGAGCTAATCAGTGTACCACCACATACAATATTGTGTTCATTACTATTGATTTTCTCTCTGTAATGGCCTTAATTTGATCCTGTAGACAACATGCATACTCTCAGTGACCACATATACTTATATATTACATATCCTGTTTTCTTTTGAGGCCAAGAGACCCTGAAATTGTACTCTATTTTGTAGCCTACTTAGTCTGAAATGCAATGTTTATAATTTATTGAAATTTTATGTTTTAAATAATTCCTGAAATTTATTACACTTGATCTTTTCCCCCTAACAGATTGATAAATTTTATGGAAATGTTTAAATAATACAAGCTAGACACAAAATATCATATTAAAATGATTTATTGTTCATTTAAGTTATTCATGCAAATTAATAAAACATTGTTATAACAAATGTATGCAGAAAATAAACAGTAAGGATTTGTAACTAAATACAACTACTGATGTATAGAATCAGTTTTACTACTGTGTCCCATAAACATGATAAATGTAACTAATGTTACTTATTTGTTTTATTGAAAATTAGGGAGGGGAGATGAGTAGCTTAATTTGATTTATTTTATTTTTCTCTTTTTGAATCTTGCTAGAAAATAACCTTTAATAAGATATTTATTTTTTATGAGTCCTGACAAGTTTATTGTTCTAGTCATTTTTATGACCTTTTTATGATCTATGGTGTACAGAAATTATCATCAAATAAATTTAGAATAAAATTTTCCTAAGGTTAAGGTTGTTGATATGTTTACAATTCAGTTCAATTCAGTTAGTTTACATGTTAAAATACTATTGTGACCGTGCCAAGAATTTAAAGGAAAAGTTGAACCATCTGGAAGACATGAAAATGCTCTTGATATGCATCATATTGGATCTTGATTAAGCAACATTTGTAAGGGCACGCTCAGTGTGTGTTTTGAAGTGAGCTATAAATAGAAATCACAGCCAGCTTTGATTAGCATTTAGGGTGAAATGAATGACAACAGACAGCCCTATCGGGCAGGTGTAATTGTTGTGTTGTGATGAGAAAAGTCTAGAAATTGTTGACAAAATCGGTGTAAAAGTGTTAGCTGGATGTCTGGATTTATAAGGCTACTGAGGAATATAGTTTTATTAATGTCAGATCGGTCAACCATACTAAAAAGGTGAGATGTCAGCTGATATAGTAGTCTACTGTATTTATTTCCTCTGTCAATTGTTCTGTCATTCATGTTAAGGATTTGTTTAAGACTAGGTATTTGACATTTTTTTGTGTGGAAACACACACAATTTCACCGATTCTCTGAACTGTGGAAAATTCTTCAGCACAATCAAACCCTTGTTGCTATATTTCACACTTACAGTAATCCTTATTGCAGTGCATTTATATTTTCAGATGGGAAACATTTCACTGAAGGTGAATTGAAAAGTGATATTGGAGAAAGTAAAAAGATGCTTCATATTGAGAAATCAGTGGAGGATTTAGAGAGAGGTTTGAGTGAAATAAACTGTAGTGGTGACTTCACACGGACAGACAAATCGGCCCCTTATCTACAGCGGCCCCATTCACCTGTGGCTGAATTCTTAGATCACTTGGAGTTTGAACCTACTGAAAAAAGTCAGGGAATTTTAGAAAAACAAGTAGATGCATTATCTGATCTTGAGAGTTCAAGGTCATCTCAAGGATTAGAGGCATCAGACAAAGAAAATGTTGCCACCCCAGCAGCCTGCATTGCTTCAGTACCAGAATACCAGAACTCGGTCCTACCCTCCTTTGATGAAGAGGTTGATGTAGAGCTGAGACAGGAAGGAATACCTGTACCTATTACCCCCTCAGCGGGAATCCCTATCATCAGTAAGTGTCCTGCTAAAGGAAGGGTTCTGGCCCCGGAATCATGAAACATCTCAAGCTTAAGTCAAAGTTTTTATTTTATACTTTAAATTTAAATTTGAAAATAAATCTGTTTCATGACCCTGAGGCCTGATTACTCATCTTTTGTCTGTCTATCTGTTTGTCAACTTTTTACATTTTCAAATTCTTCTCAAGAACTACTGGACCATTTTTTAACCAATATTACTGTGGATTCTAAATTGTTAAAATGAAGTGCCAAGTCCCATTAGAAGGAGAGATAATCAAGAAAAGAAAGAAAAACTAGTTTTAATTGTAATGGGGACCATTACAGATGTTCCCCAAACGCTCCCCAACTCCCTTTTTGTGCCTAATTCGTGTAAGACATTATTGAAATTTGATCAGTATCGGGGGATTTCATCAAAGAATTATAAAAGTTACAATGATATCAACTATATGTCATTTAACGCATTGTATGCACAAGCACGGGCACGCACATGCAAGATGATAATGGCATGTTGTCTAAACCATTAAATTATCTATATTTCATGAGAATCAATTAGAAAATCTTTAAAATATACATGTTACTGTTTTTCAAATATATTGGTCATTTAGCATATTTTGTGCACGCATGTACATGCAAGCATTTTCATGCATTCAATTTTGATTGTACCATAATGTAGGAATCAATTTTACCTCTTCATATTCTAAATTTCATCCTGTTATGTTGAAAACTAAGAAAGTAGGCATTTAAAGTTTCAGCCAATCAGATTGCAGCACACGTGCATGTGCATGCTTTCATGATAAGTCTTATATATCATACTGTAGAACCTCATAATGTATGACCATGTTCAAAATTTCAAAGGATTTTGTCAAAAAACAAGAAAGATACTGAGACTTTAGTTTCAACCAATCAGAGCGAAGCGCACGTGCATGCGCGTGAGATCATGCTATTTTGACCCTGTCATCACGTCTGTACTACTAAAATATACTTATATTATGAGTTTCAAAGCCTGTCTATCAGGGGTTATCTGTACTAAAACCGCATGAGGTACATCTAAAATATACTTATATTATGAGTTTCAAAGCATATAATCAAAAAATAGAAAAGTCACGGCTATATCTATTATATTGGTCATTTTACGTGTTGCTCGTGCGTGCTCTTGCAAGCACGTGCGTGCAAAATGACCTTTGTTCCGCAAATCTACATAACATGCCTACTGACCCTAAAAAGGTTTCACCTAAGTCAGATGTGTAGTTTACAAGATCACTCGCGGACAAAATTTTCCCAGGAAGAAATAATAATAATAGTAAGAAACAGAGTAAAAACAATGTGTTCCCCAACTTCGTTTGGGGAACATAATTAAGTAAATCAGGTACTAAATATTTTTAAAAATGTAATATATAAACTCAGTATTTACACCTCTATATCAATTTATTTGATATCTTAAAACATTTTCTCATGATAGTTTAGATCTTCCTTAAATAACAAAAAGAAGAGAATGGGAAAGGATGTGAATACAACTTACAAGGATAAACTTTTAAGTTTTTTGATTTAAAAAAAGGACCTGTGAAGGTACTCTTCTTGAAAATAAGTTGTTGATTAATAAAGGAAGAGAACCCAGTACCTGATGTTTCTGACATTGTAGGAAATAATGAATTTAATAAGAAGCCCTAACAGTAAATCAGAACTTTCAATCCATCAAAAGATGGCATCAGCCTGGAAGATTAGTATTTTATTAGGTCCCTCTTGACTTGTCCAGGAACTGGCTTGTTTATTGATCTTAAATGAAGCTTCTTAGATTTTCAGACAGCAAAGCTATTTTGTTTTTTTCATCAGACTTCTCTCATTATGGTATGACATTAAATTATAAGTTCCTTGTAGAGATATTAGTTGATTAGACAGATTGACAAGGCCTAGCAGGAGACGTCAACATCCAAAGTGTGTGTCCTGTAGGCTAGAGGAATAGAAGTGTTTTGTAAAGAAAATCTAACAGATATAATCCTGATGAATAATAGAAGAATTCAATATTGCAGTTAGGTCCCTATGTATCAACCCTATGTAAATCTGTGTAGGTTTAATTCCAGGTCCACTCACTTATAATAGCCTCAGAATTCTAGAAGACATAAATAACCAAGCAAGGTTGCAGGGTTTGCTCGAAATTTGAATCTTTTATTTATTTGGGAGAGTATTCATCGCTCCTGTTTGGTCGGTACAGTAATTTTTCAACCCTGAAAGCTTTTACTGTACCCTTAAGATTATCTTTTTTCTGTCTGTGTTTGGTGTATCAGACTTTGGACAGGAAAAGAATGTTAAAAATTCCATTGTCTATTTGATCATAATTATTCATCAAGAATTTCAGTGAATGTTATTCTGTGAAAACATGAAGGTTATCATTTAACATCTTTCTGTTTTTCAGAAGATTCTATAAACTTCCAGGAAAGTCCCCTGTCAGAGGACATTAGGAAAATCTACAGGGAGGCCATGGGAGGGGAGGAGTCCAGCGTGGGAGGCTCAAATAAAGGTCAAGGTCACCCAGGTAAGGCAGGGAATCAGGTCATATTTAACTAAAATGTAACAAGGGCACCACAATGTGGAGCATCCGTTTGCAAAGAGCATATTTATAAATCGAGGCAGTATTTGACATCGATCCCAATGCAAACTACATCACTACTGTTTCACACAGCACTCACCCACAAACAAACACACACACATAATTGAATTACTATTTCCCCTCCAACGCCATGGTGAGGAGATAATTATAAGGTCAATCTCACCAAGGAAATGCATGAAATCAGATCATTTCTTAACAACTAAGCTTGCTATTGTGAATAGTATGCCACTTTGGCATTCGAGGTGTTATTGGGACAAGAGCAAAAAAAAACATCTGGAAGGTCATAGCACGTTGAACAGGAATAAGGAAAACTTAAATGTTCTAAATTAAAGAAAGAGAGATGTAAGTAAGTTGTTAGACATGAGTAAAACTTGCTCTAATTGTAACAGACCATTACAGATGTTCCCTAAACAATCCCCTACTCCCATTTGGTGCCTCATTCCCCATAAGCATTCAATGAGGCAAATTCCCTGTATTATAAAACTTTTACAGCTTGTAATGCATACTGGTACCCAGTATGTAGCAAAATAAGCCAAAGCTTATCAGATTTCAGTGCATGTACATGGTTTCAGTAATTTCCATACAGTGTCACATTATCTCATTGTTAATTATAATAAAACCATGGCTGCATTTTTGATTTTGAAGAATTCCACAGACTTTAGATTCTGAAACAATTGACATATCTCTGAATCAAGAATTTTGTCAGAATTGTATGATTATACATGTACATTAATACAATTTTGAGAAGGGCATTGTGCATTAAGAATCTCTTACACTTATTTTAACATACCCCCGGTATTGTAAACAATATTTTACCTGTGAACACATAAACAAATAAATAATTAATGTATGTCAAGGACTTTGCTGATTAGATGAAAAGGTAATTATTTTGCTAAACAAAGATACAAGAACGTAAGACATAACCATAGGTTCTAGTATTTATTTCTATTCTTAACCTCCTATGTATAGTGTCAACAATAGGTCATATCTACCCTTTACACAGCATAATGGTGCACATCACTAGTTATACAGGCCTGGTGTACCCCATTAGCTGGAGGAAACATTGATGTAATTGTTATCCCTCCGTGATATGAGAGAAACTATTGAGCTTTTATTGATGGAAGGGATGTTCACAAAGATAACCAAAGACAATGCAATAATACTCAGAATCATATTAAAGTTTTATCACTATCTTTGATGATTGCGTCAGGATATTTATTCGTCGTTAATGTCAGGAGGGTTTTCGTGGAAATGAAAAAAAAATCCAATATGTTATCTGCTTACTTTATCAGAGAGCTAACTATAGACAAATGAAATTTTTCATTAGGAGCGGGAATTGGAGCGAATTGTTGGTAAAGATTAATTTTCCTGATTATTTTTGCTCTTTCAGACATTTTTGATGAATTCCTCTGTACTGCAGACATGCATGGAGACTTGGACAGTGTTGAAATGCCTGTGTTTAGTCTGAACGATTCTGCAGAGGACATGGAGCCAGAAAACCAGTCCAGTGTGATCTCTCCTCCTGTAAACTCTGGGCAGAATGTATCAGGGGCCAAAGATGGTCAAAAACTAGTCAACAATAGATCTCCAAAGGTGTCCGACTTAAATGGAAACCCTGTCCACCACCATCTCTCTAGGGGTGTGGACCGCTTAATATTGGATAGACAGCTGAGTCGGACCTGGGAACAACTGGAACTGTCAATGGAGGTTCTGGACGACCTGATGGGGAAATCCCCGGAACATCAGTTCTCCCCCTTCCTTCAGTCCCCGCAGGAGGGATTTTTTGATCAGCCTAAGAAAACATCTTTTCCTGACTCTCCAGTGTGTCCTAAACCCAAAGACAATTCTTCTGAGGCTCTAGATACGTCAGACGACCTGGATGAATCCTTTGTTCCATTTAAGGATGGTTTTAGTCTGGAAGGGGGCACAACTCCAGCTAAAAAGAACACACAGATAAATTTAAACACTGATAAAGATGGTGGTGCAGGACCGAGCAGCACTGATGATTTATTGGCTAGATTTCAAAAACTTAAGCAGAAGACTTCACAGATTGTCTCAGATGGAACGTAACCTGCATTTTTAATGTCTAGTTGTGCATCAATGTACTAGTATTATATTAGAAAATTTTCACATGTATCCAAGTTTGAGTTGTATGAAATATGTTGCTCAAACTTATCCTAGTCTAGTTTAATTTATTGCAAAAAAAAATGGAGACTTTTTCTTTGGAGAGTTGCAACTGTATATTATTACTTTGATTATATTTGGTGAGTAAAACTTGCATTTAATCGCTGAAATATAAATGCCTGCTTTAATTCCCAAACAGACTGAGTTTCCCTGTGATAAATACATGTATGTCTGAATTTAAAGTAGGGAATTTTTTTTTCAAAATCAACTTTTTTTTCCATTTTGTTAAATACTACATGTATTACACAGGAAATATTTTTCTACATATTTATTTTCAGCCTCTTTAGGTGAATATATCTGTAATATTTGGTGTGTGTGTGTGTGTTTAAGTATAGTTTTCAGACATGGTTATGGTAGGAAAATTCAATTTTGATGTAATATTATGTGAAAAGCAAATACATGTACAATGAGTGTCAAAGTAGTTATTCATTATTGTTTTTTAACCTTTTAATTAGAGATGGCATTCAAATAATATTTTGTAACCAGTTAATTGTAAATATTTCTGACCCAGTATCAAGTTAATGGAACAGATTATGATAATACTATTCAAATTATATATCATTACAAAGCAATTTTTTTTTTTAAAGGGCAAATCTGATATTAAATTAGAATTCATTTGGTTAATTTTTCTTTAAAAAAGAATCATGTTGATGTAATCAACAACTTCCCTGCCTTTTCACAAGAATTTTCTTGGATGCCAAAGATGAATCACAGTAGAATTATTAAATTAAAAAAAATGTGGGAATGTTGAACCAATATCTTTTCACCACTGAAAGTGAATGAGGTGTACTTCTTAATTATTGACTCTCTTACACTATTATTTTTTATCTTTGGATAGTTTTAGGTGTATTTAAAAAATGCCTTCTATGTGTTTTCAAGGTGTTGAAAATTGCAAAGCTGTTGATTATAGTTTTCACAATTATAAGGGTGAATTTTGGGAGAACATGTTTTGAAAACAGTGGCATCTTGTGAAATGACAAATTGTTTGAATACAACATTGTACTTTTAAACACAGTGCCTAAGGTTTTATTTTCTAAAGAAGAGAAGGTACATATACTACAAAAAATATTAACTAACTGGTTATGAAAATTTTAACCAGTTACCATCTTTTCTACCGATTCGTTGGTTAACTGTTAGTTGTTGTCATCTCTACTTTTAATGCTTGTTATTCTCTTAGTACAATATAGTAAATTATTTTTTATGCAATGTAAAGAACTTAAAATGTGCACACAGATTATATACCAATAATTAAAATATTACAAAAGATTTTGTATCATTTGAGCTTTTAATGACCACTTTTTGTAAACAAAAGGTTGTTTTTTTTGGTCGGTTTGCAAAATAAATCTCAAATATAATCTGTAGAATGACAACATCTATGTGTATTTATTTGTTTGCATCCACAATTTTGTCTAGATGTTGATTTAGCCCTACTTTGGGTAATTAATTTATAGCATACTCTTCAAATTTCTTATTTTAATCAATGAAATGTTTTAAGGTTATCCGATCCTCAGGTTCTGAAAATCAGGTATTAAGTAATTGAAAATGCTCACAAAGATGTCTCTAATTCTCAAATTAAAATGTATTTACCCACGGTGTTTCTTTAAACTTCATCTTTAAATTTAATCATATTATATAGGGAAAATAAGTAAATCTGAAATAATTTTTCAGGAAATGCGATTTGAACTATTTACTGCATATTTTTTAATTGATAATTGATCAATAAATACATTTTAGGAATAAAAATCATAGGTATCCAGGCTTTTAAAGAAAGTTAATTGCATGAGTTTTACACTTATTTGGTACTTTACTTTCTCCTACTTACTTCCATCGGTTCATAATGCATAGTGTATGAAGTGTTTCCTTTCAAAGAAAACACCGTAAATCACTTCTAATTTCAAACCATGCTGATAAACATTGGTAACTAAGGCTAAATTTAAAGAATTTTGATTTTTTTTAAATATGCAAGTTTTACTTGATTTTATGAGGTACAAATGTCAACTTTTTTAATACCATTTGTTAAAACGTTAAAGAACATTGAATCATACGTAGAGGCATAAAATGAAAATTGTTGCATGAAAAAATTTCAATTTCAAGCTTTATTTTAAGACTTTTTGAATTTAATTATAAATTAAAGAGTTATCCTTCCTGGCTGAGGATCGTATATCCTTAAATAAATATATAAGATGAAACTTTTCTATGTGATTTGTCAAAAAATATGTATTATATGACTAAATCACTATGTTAAAGTATGTTTTGTAAAATGTTTAAATGTACATGACCTTGGAAAAAAGAAAGAAACATGGATATTTTACCTTGCATGTTGCAATCTAAATTTTAAAAACAAATTATTGTATGAATGAATTTTTTTTTTTTTGTCATTTGGGAAGGGGGTGGGGTTGTAAATTACTACCTTGTGGTAGCCACAATTTGATTTTGCAGGTTAAATACTGATTATGAAATTACAAAGTGTTTATACATGCATAAGAATTTTGCCAGTACATCAAATTTTGGCATACATGTATACCTAAATCCACTATTTCAATGTTCAGTTCATGTATATTAGAGTTGTTCTGTATTGATTTAATAATGAAACATTTTTCTCTACTGAAAAGGCTTAGTAATACACATGTTACACAAATTTCATACATAATACGATAGTTTTGGAAAATTATGTTGACTTTGACCTTTTCTTTCAAAATTATGGTACTAGATAATATGCAGAACCATGCTACTGTTGTGTTAACTTCTATAATGTGGTTGTATGAAATGTAAGACTGAAAAATAACAATCTGAAAGCAACTTAATCAATGTCACTTCTCAGCAATCCAGCCACACAAACTTAATGGTTTTCTGCTTTCATCTCAGTTTGAAAACATGAATTGTTGAGAATAAAATTCTTGATTAAAAACATTAAGTGATTGAAATTTTATCTTTTCCAGAGGAACTGAGAAATATGATGATGATATACCAAGATGACAGATCCATTGGTTTATGACAGAATAGACTTTGCATAATAACTCAGTAAAATATGTCTAGGTCACTTTGAAGTGTTAGAAATTACTGGGCACTATACATAAACATTTCATATTTGAAAAAAAGATGTTTGTTAAACACTGATGCCCCTGTATGGCAACATAGTGAAGATTAAACTTTTCTCATATGCAAATTTTATATATTGGTACCCAAAGTAGGGTCTCCTAACTGGCAATACAACTGTGAAATATGAAAGCCCTATCAACATCTGTTCCCAAGTTATGACCAAGTCATAAGTACAGAAATCTTCAAGATCAAGGTCAGAAGGTCAAGGTTATTTGTAGCCAATGAAAGGTCTTTCCAAAAGAATACATATGTGAAGTGTGGAAGCCCTAGCCCTGACCATTAAAAAATTATTGACAAGGTTAAAAAGATTTTAAAAGTTGGTCAAACTCCAAGATCAAGGTCAGAAGGTCAAGGTTATTGGTATTCAATAAAAGGTCTTGTCACAAGGATTACATATGTCAAGTATGAAAGCCCTAGTCCTTACCAATGAAAAGTTATTGCCAAGGTTAATATTTTTTCAAAAGTCCGGAAATTTCAAATGTCAAGGTTAAAAGGTCAAGATTATTGGTATCCAATAAAAGTTCTTGCCACAAAGAATACATATCTGAAGTATGGAAGCCCTAGCCCCAACTGTTAAAAAGTCATTGCCAAGGTAAATGTTTTTTCATAAGTCTGGAAATCTCAAATGTCAAGGTTATTGGTATCCAATAAAAGGGCTTGCCACAAAGAATACATATATGTAGAATGAGAGTCCTATCTTTATCCATTCAAAATTTATTGCCAAGGTTAAAGTTTTTGATAAGTATGGAAATCTCCAAGGTCAACGTCAAAAGGTCAAGGTAATTGGTATCCAATAAACAGTCTTGCCACAAAGAATACATATGTGAAGTATGGAAGCCCTAGCCCTAACCCATCAAAAGTAGGTCAAACTCCAAGGTCAGTAAAGGGTAAAAAGTCTTGGTATCAAATGAAAGGTCTTGTCACAAGGATTAAATAAATAAAGTATGCAAAACACTAGCTCCAGCCCTTTGAAAGATATGGGCAAGGTTTGTTTTTAAAAGTAGGTCAAACTCCAAGGTTAAAGGGTCAAATTGTTGATATCCAATGAAAGGCCTTCTTACAAAGATAACATATGTGAAGTATAGCTTTTACTGTTTAAAAGTTATGGCCAAGGTTTAGGTTTTTTCATAAGTACGGAAATCTCCAAGGTCAAAAGTTCAAGGTTGTTGGTATCCATTGAAAGGTCTTACCACAAAGAATACATATGTGAAGTATAAATGTCCTTGTTACCATTGTTCAAAAGATATGGCCAAAGTAAAAGTTTGGAATTTTTGTGTAAAGGGTCAAATTTGGTGGCACCCAAAGAGAGGTCTTGTCACAAGGAATACACATACTAAATATGAAAGTCATAGCTCCACTAAATCAAAAGTTATGGCCAAGGTTAAAGTTTTTGCGGACAGACAAACAGAGAGACAGGTAGACAGACTGACGGACACGACAAAAACTATATATCCCTGAAACTTTGTTTACAGGGGCATAAAAATGTGATTCTATGAAAAGTTTCTCTTTAAGTAATCTGAGAGAAATATCACATCTTATGTAACTGTAGAATGAAGTGTTAATATAATATAATGTTTTTGTCCCCCTCTTTCGCGAAAGCAATAGGACATTAAATCTCATTCGTCTGTCCTCCGTCACAAAAACTTTAACCTTGCCGATAACTTTTGATTGAGAGGAGGTATGGATTTCATATTTCATATGTGTATTCCTTGTGACAAGACCTTTCTTTGGGTACCAGCAAATTTGACCTTTACCTTGGAGTTTGACCCACTTTTACACTAAAATTCTTAACTTTTACTTTAGCCATAACTTTTGAACGGTAAGGACTAGGCCTTTCCTATTTCACATATGTATTCTTTGTGGCAAGGCCTTTCATTGGATACCAACAAGTTTTACCTTTGGACCTTGACCTTGGAGATTTCCGTACTTATGAAAAAACTTCAACCTTGGCCATAATCTTTGAACGGTAAGGGCTAGGACTTTCATGCTTCACATATGTAATCCTTGTGAGAAGACCTTGCATTGGATACCAAGAACTTTGACCTTGGAGTTTGACCTACTTTTAAAAACAAACTTTGACCATAACTTTTGAAGGGTTAGAGCTAGGACTTTCAAACTTCACATATTTAATCCTTGTGACAGGACATTTCATTTGATTTCAAGATCATTGACTAATTGACCTTGACCTTAGAGTTTGACGTACTTTTTTTAAAAATATGACCTTGGCCATAACTTTTGAACAGTAGATTATATTACTTTCGTATTTCACATATGTATTCTTTGTGGAAAGAACTTTCATTTGATTCAAACAACTTTGAGCTTCTGACCTTGACCTTGGAGATTTCCGTACTCACTAAAAAACTTTAACCTTGACCATAACTTTTGAACGATAAGGACTAGGGTTTTCATACTTGACATATTTAATCCTTGTGACAGGACCTTTCATTAGATATCAAGAACTTTGACTTTGACCTTGGAGTTTGACTTACTCTTAAAAAAAACTTTAACCTTGATCAACTTTTGAACGGTTAGGGCTAGGGCTTTCATACTTCACATATGTAATATTTGTGAGAAGACCTTTTTTCATAAACCAATAACTTTGACCCTTTGACATTGGAGTTTGACGTACATTTCAAGAACTTATCCCTGGTCATAACTTTTGAACAGGTGGTGTTAGGGCTTTCATATTTCACAATGGTATTTCTTGTGAGAAGACCCTACTTTGGGTTATAATATATTTAATTTGCATTTAAGAAAAGTTTAATCTTCGCTTTGTTGCCATACGGGTCATCAGTTTTTCACAAAAACGTCTTGTTCCTTATATTGAGAAGAGATAGGGCTTTCATATTTGACATGTGCATTACTTGTGACAAGATATTTCCGAGGGTGCTATGATTTCTGACCCCTTGACCTTCACGATTGACCCTATTTTTTTTTTTAAATCAACTTCAGTGATAATTTTTGAATGACATTTGATAGAGCGTTCATATTTGACACCGAAAGCGGGGGACCACAATTCTTTGTTCTAATTGTCAAGAGATTTATTTAAAAAGATTCATTTTAATGATTTTGATATAAAGATTTTTTTTGCATTTATACTCTTTTTACATATGTACGTGTCGAGGCACATACACTGAAGCTAAAATATCAGAGGTTTTTAATAATGAACAACAAAACTTATTTGCTCCAACTGTAGCAATCAATATCGTCTCTCTTTTACATTAAACATTACTTCTGTTAACAATGTGATCTGGGTAGAACAAGTCTTCAGCAGATGATGCAGCTTAGCTCTTGGAGAGATCAATTGAACAGTTTCACAATCGTTAAATCCCATTTTAGCGGCAGACAGACAGTAAATCTAGGTTATAGAAGTCCCATTCAGATACAAATGTTGTGAAGATTGGTACGTAATATTGTTTGTGACACTCCTTTATAATGGTGCAGATGTTAGGAGCAGCTTTGATGTTAAAATATGGTGGTTGAACCATTTAAACCTGGTCTGTATAGGTTTATAGGCTGAAAATGTTGATAATCAGATAAAATTAAACTATTATTCTGGAAAATAACTGGCATATCCGAAGAGCCCGCTTTTATAAAATCTATATCTATTATATATATATATATATATATAAAATGCTTAGTGATGAGGAATCAGGCCTGTAGTAAGGGTTTCGAAAGTTGTCAATGGGGGCCAAACCAACTCCCCCCTTTTTTTTTGGTTTACACACTCCAATGACTAAATATGCATCAAACGACAAAGTCTGGTGATTCCAAACTTCTAATTATTTTAAAGATTTCGATATGGTCTTAAAAATTTAGGTCACTGTGACCTTCATTTTGGCAACATACTCCAAGAACAAGGAGGCATCATTTTTCAAAGGTTGATTATTCTAGACCAATTACATCTTTGCTAGGCAAGTGTCTGATTGGATCGAACACTTGCATAGCGAAGATGGACTATTTAGAATTTGAAATATTCAAATAATAGCATTGAGGTTTAAAAAGTTCGTCACGGTGACACTTTTCGGACTCAGGATACATAATCTGACAAAGTCTAATAATTCTTAGCCAATTAGTATCTAAATTGTTTTTATCCTACAAATACCACTTACATTGACCTAATAAAGGAACATGATACTGTAACCCAATAAACCAATTAGCTATAGTTGGTCCTGACAGAGCCTCATGCATCATTTCAACTCACTTAAAGCATTGTGTTGTTTTAGCGTCTTAGTTTCAATTCAACTATAGAGATGTACCTAAATCATTTGAGAAAAGCTCGTTTTGAAGGTTTGATGTAAAAGTATATTGCAGGATAGACAAATTACATGGATATTGTCATGAAATATAAACAATATTTGGGCTAGGGGAAAATACATTGTAGATTTGGAAAAATTTTAACAATAGGCCCAAAGGACTCTTCTGATAAATTGCACAACCTATCATTTCCATTTGAAGCCTGTAGGTATCCTGAATATTTATATATTAGGACAATTCCCAGTTATGCTTGGACTTTCAGTAAGGGGTGGCATTCTCGACGTTACATAATTAGCTTCTGAAAGAACTTTATTCGGTAATAACCAATATTTGCCCCCAAAATCAAACTTTGATGGAGATATATTTAATTAAGTTCTTAAATAGGGGAGTATATGCTGACTTCAAAGCACTGAATATTTTCATAAGTAATGACGGCATATGTACGTAATGACGTCACAAACATGACATAAATTTCAGGTTTTTATTAATTTTACAGAAAAATGTACATATTTCGTCGATATTTTGAGTAAAAGTCACCGAGCGCATGTGTCTTCAGGATCAATATTTTGATATAATGTGTAGAATGATAATATCAATGAAATATGTCAATATTGTTCCTGAACAAACTTGCGCTCTATAAATTTTAAAGCTAAAATTGTTGAAATTTTGTCCATTTTGTCCTCTTTCTGAAAAAGGATATGAAATCGGACTAGTTTGTGACGTCATAAAAACAAAAATTGTGAATACACTGCTTTGACACTATAATATTTTCTGTTAATTTATATTTCTCATACAATTTATTGAATTCAGCACATTTCAGGAAGTTTTCAAAATTTGACTTTTGTGGGGGCAAATATATGTAATATACCGCATATAGTTCTTTACACAGCTTTCCTTCACTGTTGAAATATACATAGGATAGAAATTCGGCCAGTATCAACTATAGTGTAGCAAATAGCCAATTAAAAGTTCTCACATGGCACAGAGGCGGGACTTAAGTACCCAACAACAACAATTTAAAGTCCCTGATATTATTAATTTCTTAACTAATGAGAATCTATTCACCATTTGACAGATGTTAATTGTTACTGAAAGTCCAAGCTTATCTGAGATCTGTACTACAGCCTTGAAATTCTAAAAGTAGGTCATCATGATTTACATTTTACATGTAGTTAAAACACTCTGATAACCCAAGTTGAATCAACTGTGGTGATTAATGAAGCCTCTTTTTATCTTCAATATTATACAATTATACCCTTTTGATGAGGTCAATCCTTAGATATATAGACCTTAGAGAAAGCATATTGACCAAGCACGAAGTATGAGGTCAATACTTTCTCTAAAGTCTATATATCTAGGGATTGTACCGAATCAGAAGGCTACAATTTCTTTTATCAGTTGATAAGAAATGTCTTATAATACTCAGTGCCATCTCATATAAGGCATTGTTATGTCATTTGCATTATGTTGTCACAGTAGTGAATAACAGTTGCAGTATCTGTTTATAAAGACTATGTGACATCAACACTATTGTTGCTTCACAGAAAAACATTTCCAATTTTAGAAACAGCAGGTTTATAAATTTTTAAAATAGAAACATCCCGTCTGTAACACTTTTTATACTTGATCATGTGATCTAGTCTGAGCCAATCAGATAGCTGGCAACAATAGAGAAAAATAATAATCAGCTATAGCCATGAGAATATGAGATTCCAAAAGTAGGTCACATACTCCAAGACCCCAAAATGCCTCAAATGACAAAATTTTGTGATTTCATGACTTATTTCAAATATTAAGATATTGCCTTGAAATTCCATGAGTAGTTCACAGTAACCTACTTTGCAGCTGATGTTCTCAGAAGACTTGAGATGCATCAACTGACAAAGTCTGCTGGTAAAGGCAGACAAACATGTGTCCAGAAACTAACAACAAAATTCCTTTTAATATTGCAGTTAACATTTATTGTGTAAATATAGATTAACAGTGTGTATATAATCATATAAATAAAAATGAAATCCTAATAACCAAAACCAATGCAATCCTTGGCCAGGATTTAACTTAAATAGTTAAGGATCAAAAAAATTATCTCACTTGGCTTAAAACTAAGAAAGAGCTAAGACACTTCATTGTTATTACTCAAAATAATGATGACAAACATCTATAATGTTGCCTACAACTTATGACTGGAAGACAAGCATAAAATAAAGTGATACTGAGTGTATAATGGCAAGTAATGGTTTCTGATAGTTTTGATTTTGGCTTTTATTTGCAATCTTTTTTATTTCAACAAAGAACACATCCTGTAATATCATGTGAGAGATGAAATGTAAGACACCCGATTTAAGGAGGCAGAATATTGCAATCTGAACACAAAGAAAAAAGGACTGTATTTCACTTTGTCATAATTCTCTTGTTGATATTGAAGTTTTTATGCTTTGCCAAAATGATTATCATCATTTATATTCATGTATCAGTTATAAAATTTCTAAATAATTCTGGACGGATTTAGAGTAGATTTATTAAAGCTGTAGCTCAAGAGATAAAATTCTTCAGCATACACTGTTTATAAGTTACTAAATATAGATTTTGTTAGGAATGTAAATACTGAAAGATAAAATTTTTATATTTAAAAACAAAGTATACTAAAACCTAGTCTACCCTAAAAACCATTAATAATATTCCATCACAGAAATTTAACATAAAAAGGAATGGACGGCAGTTTAGATTCACATAAACATGTCCACAAAATTGTGTTATATCACGAACATATTGAAACAAAGGAATGCTTTGTAAAGTATTGCACATTCAACTTAAAGTCAACAACATATACTCGTTCTAGCAGAAAAGTTTTCCCTCTTTTGTCAAAAACTGAACTTACTTTTTTGGGAAAAAATTTTTTTTAAAAATTGTGCAAAAAGGCTTTCCTTCTTGATTTTGTTGTAAAATGCTATAAAAAAATGAATATGTTTTTCCCTGATTACCAAAGAAATATATTTTTAAAATAGATATTAAATACATGATTCTTCTTAAATGTTCTGATTTAAAAGTAAGTGATAAAGAAGGACTGGTAATGGAGTACAGTTTTGGGACTCTACTTGCGAGGGGATTTGGCCTGTGAAGGATAGGCTGCCATGACAGCAGGAGACACACTGTTAAAAGAGAAGTCACTGGCTACAGATGTATCCGGGGATCCATCATTATTATAGTTGTAATTCCCTCCTCGAGGAGTTGTGATGCTGCGTAGTGTTTCCTCAAAATATCCGCCTGCTGCCAGCATACTCTGAGCTTGGGTCTGAGAGCGAGCAATTATCTCATTAATTGCTTCCATACGGGATTTTGAAGGCCTGAAAAAAAAATAAAATCATTGATATTCTCCAATATTTATCACATTCAAGACATCATTTTTCATACAATGTTAAAGACAACAAAAGAATTTAAATTTTATTAAACTCTTATACACCACATAAATGCAGTCATATTATCTTGAAGGTGATTATCCCCCTTGACATAATCAAGAAAACATGAACATTCAAGAGCTACAATACAGGTTTTACTGACTTTTCAGCCGAGGACTGGTCTCTCCTCCTCGAGGACATGAACTGTTTCCTCAATCTCCGGCAGTCCTCCTCGAGGGCCTGCAGTGAGGACTTGGTAATGGTATGTACCGCCCTCTCTGTGCTCAGGTCTGTCTCCAGGTCTCGCACCTGCTTTTTGTATTTTTTGATGAGTTTAAGGTCCTGTTCTCGCTGATTTTCTCGTTCCTTGGCTCCTTCAAAGTGCTGCTGCATCTTAAGACTCATATCCTGGATCACTTTAGACATGTCCTGCCACATGGATTTGTCTGCGTCTGTGGCTTCCTCTGCCTTCTTTGTCAGGAAGTTCTTTAGCCGCTTCACCTCATCTTCCTGCTCCTGGTATCTATAATAACATACATTTGACAGGTTACCTTGATGATTGCTTTGCTTTTAAGAGTTGTTTGTCAGTGCTCTTTCAGTTTTTGTTATTGTTTGTTTTGTTAACAGTCTCGACTTTTACCATCTTCCACAAAGGTAAGAATTTTATTTATTTCACAAGAGGACAGGATTTAGCTTCTTTTATCTGATGGCAGAATTTAATTTTTCTTACTTGGAGGTCAGAAATGAACCATCTTTAAGTAGAAACTATTATTAACTTACCTAGACATCAGCTAGGACTGTATCTACCCCTCCACTAACTTACCCGGAGGCCAGCTAGGACTGTATCTCCTCCTCCACCTTTAAGTTGCCTCTACTTTTCTCAGTTTTAACTTACCTGGAGGCCAGCCTGAACTGTATCTCCTCCTCCACTTTTAACTTACCTGGAGGCCAGCTAGGACTGTATCTCCTCCTCCACTTTTAACTTACCTGGAGGCCAGCTAGGACTGTATCTCCTCCTCCACTCTTAATTTACCCGGAGGCCAGCTAGGACTGTATCTCCTCCTCCACTTTTAAATCACCTGGAGGCCAGCTAGGACTGTATCTCCTCCTCCACTTTTAATTTACCTGAAGGCCAGCTTGGACTGTATCTCCTACTCCACTTTTAACTTACCTGGAGGCCAGCTAGGACTGTATCTCCTACTCCACTTTTAACTCACCTGGAGGCCAGCTAGGACTGTATCTCCTCCTCCACTTTTAATTTACCTGAAGGCCAGCTTGGACTGTATCTCCTACTCCACTTTTAACTTACCTGGAGGCCAGCTTGGACTGTATCTCCTACTCCACTTTTAACTCACCTGGAGGCCAGCTAGGACTGTATCTCCTCCTCCACTTTTAATTTACCTGAAGGCCAGCTTGGACTGTATCTCCTACTCCACTTTTAACTTACCTGGAGGCCAGCTAGGACTGTATCTCCTCCTCCACTTTTAACTTACCTGGAGGCCAGCTTGGACTGTATCTCCTCCTCCACTTTTAAGTTGTCCTCTACTTTTCTCAGTTTTGAGGACCTCTCCCTGATCTGGTCCTCCAAATTCAAAATGTCCTCCTGCAGCTTTAATGAATTTTATTACCAATCAGGAATTCAGAATATCAGATTACCTTTTTCTTGAAAATGCAGAATTTCATTGAAACAACATCTATTTTAACAGTTTTAGAAGAAGCTCAATTTATGAGAAGCTTTATATATTTAACTAAATAATATTTAAGTCCATGTCAAACCCAACACTTCAGATGTACATAAAATGTAAAATATAATCAGGCCAAATCTATGATTCTAACCTTAAGGTTCTCTTTGTTTTTGTTCTGAATTGTCTCCCTTGCCTTTTCCAGATCAAAGGTTAATTGCTGGTTCTGCTTTGATAACTGCTCTTTCTCCATGTCCATTAGGTCTCTGTGAGATAAGCACAAAATCAATTACTTTACTTAACACTTATGCATGTATATTTTACATTTCACAGTTTATTTCCCTAAACATTTATAAATAATTTTTGTTTGTAATATGTCATTGAAATAGATTTGGAAAAGTAACTCTTGAGAATATAAGTATTAGTAACAAGATCCTTACTTTGAAATCACGGTTTTACTGCACTAGGAATGCATACATTTTTCACATATGATCACATGATTTATTGCACACTGATTATTTAAAGCTTTACAGCCTTAACTTACAGCTGTTGTTTGAACTCCTGAGTGGACTTCTTCAGTTTTCCACCCAGCTGCTGCTTCTGACCATCAATAATCTGTCTCAGCTTCCCTATCTCAGTCTGCAGGAAAGAAACAAAAGTTTAAATCACATAACAAATTTAAAGTAAATCAATGCAATATAATATTGTCCCATATAAATTTCCCTAATTACCTATACATGAAGTATTTAGTAGATAATGTAATTAATGGCTTTAAGAAACATGAATATAATAACAAGGGCATCGCAAAGCTGAGCATCCCTCACAAAAGAGCATATTGAATCTATAAATCAAGAAAGAATTCACTTCAATCTAGATCCAATTTAGTTTATGTCACTTTCATTATGCCCACAAGGATAAAATAACCAACCCACATACTGATACATTACTACCGGTATATCCCCTCCAATTTCAATGCAAGGGTATACTGTTAATGTATTATATTTGGCATGTACGATGTTTGGCAGAAATTCATTTTTCAACGTTAGCTTAGATTTGATTTAGTGCCCTCTGAATGTGCTAGATATAATTGTATAATATACAAGACATTTAAAGATGTATTTGATTTAGGGGGCTCTGCTTTTTGCCAAAATCTCAAAATAGAATACACCACTAAAAGTAACATGTTTACCATAATAAAACTCTTCTCAGATGGTGAGCTGACTGATATACATGTATCCAGATTAACAAGACTTAACTGTAGATTACCCACTTCATTTGAACACACACCTGCAATACCTCCACCTGTTCCTGTTTGGCCTTCAGTGAGGACTGCTGAGTGGCAGACACTGCCTCTAATTCCTGGATCCTCTCCTCCAGTTCTAGTCCTCGGTCCTTCTCGGTCCTCAGCTCCTTCTCTAGTTTGACCAGACTGGTCTGACACTGGTTCAGCTTGTCCTCAGTCATAAACTGACACAAATAAATAAGCACGGCTAATTATGATTGCACATTTAATGTAAACATAAAAATCCTAATGATCACTACTTACGTTTTTGCTAATTATACTGACATTTGACTTCTGCTGAATGAAATGTATCACATTATTGAATTCTAATTTAATCTTCTATGAAAAATAAGAACAGTTGATGAATTATTTCTCCTCTCTGTTGGTTACCTACCCTCTCCCTGCGGCTGTCATTAAGCTGGGTTTGTAGACTCTCTGACTTCTTGTCAGCAACCCTGTAACATGATGTCTCTTCCTGAAGTTTGGCCTTGGTTTCCTCCAGGGAGTGTTCTAGCATACGATTGGTCATCTGGAGTTTGTCCCGCATCTCAACGGCTGAAGCCAGACTGCTTTCCATTGCCTGCAGTTTAGACTGGGTCTGATAAAAAAAAGATACAGTAATAATCACAGAAAGCAGGAGAGCTAGACATGAAGACAGATGGACACAGTGATTCCTTCTTTTAAAAAAAACCCCACTTATTACTGACCTTTTTAAAAAAACTTTAAAAAAAAAGTTACATGTGAAACATTCTCCTTAAGACAGGCTGTATCCCCTTCTTTTTTTTTTTTAAATTTCACATATTGTAATCAAAACTTCTGTTTCTCTGTTTTGTTTTTGAACACGATTCGTAAAAGGAATGTGTATGTGATCGCTACTCTGCAGACCCCTATAAATAGGGCTGTGTCTGTTCAGTGAAATTTTGAGTAGAACGTATCTACAACACAGAATTACCGTAATACTTCATCTAATGCAGGAAAGAAAGATACCAAATAAGTTTACAGTTATAGCTGTAAAGGTCAGTGCAGTATACAAACAACACAAATAACCCTGCAAAAAAATATAAACAAAGGTAAGGCAAAACGAACACGTAATTCTACTGTGACAATAAAGCACTGAGAGAGGTACCCTAGTTTTTAATGCTATTGAAAATGGTGTATGCCTATTTACAAGTCGTCTTCAGCTTTAACACAGAATTACCAATGAAACAGCATGTATCAGCGATTTGACTTACTGTATGACAATGCAAAAATCAAGCAATAAGTAATTTTACTTTGCCTGAGAGAGGCTCTACATGAATTTCAATGTTGGTTTCCTCTAACTGCTTGCTCTTTAATACCAAAAATAGATTTTCTTCAAGACATGACACCCTTCCTGTTTACACTCCCTCATTACTCCCCCCTTTCTCCTGAGACTCTGTATAAAGCCTTCTCCCCTTGTTTGTTATTTACCTGCTGTAGATTCTCTTTGAGGTATGCCTTCTCCCCTTCGTGATGAGACTTGAGGTCTGAGATAGATTTTTCCAGTTCCTGTATCTGCCGAGTGGAGGACATTTTCTCCTCCTTCAGTTGGTCAGTCAGCCTGGTTTTCTCCACCTGGAGTTTGGCCTGGATTTCCTGGAATACATGTAAAATATGATCAGAACACTAACTGACTTATTCAAAAACAAATTTTTGTAGGATATGATTTGTAAAACATTTGACTATTTCCTAACTTAAAGAAATTGAATGAATAAAGATTGCAAAATGAGAAACTTTTAAGTCTTGACCCTTATATTCTGGTTCTACCATAGTGATGGCCAGTTGTTTATGCAGTGTGAATTAGATAGAAATCTGAACCCTCTCTCACCTGCATCCTGTTAATGGTGCTCTGTTGAGACTCCATCTCTCGCTGATGATTCTGTAACAACTGCTTCACAGAGCTACAGTCAAATGTCAGCTTCTCAACCTGCTGTTCTAGCTCATGCTTTTGTCTGTAAAAGAAACATTCATTATCATATTTGTAATTTTTCTAAATAAAGCTAAGATTTTATTAAACTTAATTTTGGGCAATTCTCACATCTCAAAAAGAGAAAAAATATGATATGTGTATTAGTCCTTTTCAGATGTCTTACTTTGAGAGTTCTTCAAGCTCATGCAGGGCTCTTCCAAAAGTCACAAGCTGGGCATCCTTCTGTTTGATCTCCTCATTTAAGATATTGATGGAATCTCTATATTAAAAAAGTCTCTTATTCACAAAATTTTCTGTGTATTTTCAAATACAATCCTTAAATAAAAACTATATTCTTCGAGAAAAGTGTGTTACCTGCAAAGAATTAAAGACAATTTTGGTAATTTAAATGCTACTGTTATAATTTAAAATGCCAGAAAATTTACAGGCATACATTGTAAGCAAACAAAACCTCAATTTACACCTGCCAAGAAAACTTACTTGGCTTTATCTAGGTCACTGTGACTGAAAACTTACTTGGACTTTGTCCCGCGTCTCAACGGCTAAAAACTTGCTTGGCTTTATCTAGGTCACTGAGACTAAAGATTTATTTGGCTTTATTAGGTCATTAAAGATTTACTTGGCTTTATCTAGGTCACTGAGACTGAAGATTTACTTGGCTTTATTAGGTCATTGAGACTGAAGATTTACTTGGCTTTATCTAGGTCACTGAGACTGAAGATTTACTTGGCTTTATTAGGTCACTGAGACTGAAGATTTACTTGGCTTTATCTAGGTCACTGAGACTAAAGATTTATTTGGCTTTATCTAGGTCACTGTGACTGAAGACTTACTTGGCTTTCTCTAGGTCACTGAGACTGAAGATTTACTTGGCTTTATTAGGTCATTGAGACTGAAAACTTACCTGGCTTTATCTACGTCACTGGGATTGAAGACTTACATTCCTTTATCTAGGTCACTGTGACTGAAGACATACTTGGCTTTATCTAGGTCACTGTGACTGAAGACTTACTTGGCTTTTTCTAGGTCACTGTGACTGAAGACTTACTTGGCTTTTTCTAGGTCACTGTGATTGAAGACTTATTTGGCTATCTAGGTCACTGTGACTGAGTACTTACTTGGCTTTATCTAGGTCACTGTGACTGAAGACTTACTTGGCTTTATCTAGGTCACTGGGATTGAAGACTTACTTGGCTTTATCTAGGTCACTGTGACTGAGTGCTTACTTGGCTTTATCTAGGTCACTCTCTGTTGAGGTCCTCTCCTGTTCCAGGTTTAGTTTTTGTTGTGAGAACTCCTCTCTCAGGTTCTCTACTGTCTTATCACACTTCTGCTGAAGGTTCTGAATTTTCTCATCCTTCTCTGCCAATCTCCTACACATGCTATCATACTCTACAACAGTTAAACAATTAACCTCAATATCAAATTCATTCATTAATATTTCAAATTTTCTCTCTTATTTTTATTTGCCCTTAGAACTGATAATAGTTTAATGGTAACAGTTGGTTTGAAAAGAAAATTGAAACCAATATATAGAAGGAAATTAAAGGTTCTAAAACATACCTTGGTAAAATGCCCCTTTGTCTTGTTTCATACTCTCAATAGTTTCATCTCGAGCTGACAACTGAGCTTTGGCTGTTTCAAACTCCAGTGTAATGACACGAAGCTGTTCTTTTAATTCCTCACACTCCCTCTGATATTTCTGTAAGTCTGCCTGTTATTTATAGAAAAAAAAATCTGCTTTAACTATAACTGTAAACATTGTTACTACTACACAGCATTTCAATTTTCCATCCATATACATCTGATATACACAACTCAATCATATCAATCATAAAAAGCATCACTTTACTTTTATTGTACTCTTCAGTTACATGTACAAGCACTCTAAAAAGCAAGAAAATACCATTATTAGCAAAATATTACAATCGTTATTAGAATGTATGTAACATGCACTAGTCTAACAGGGAAAGGGATGTGTCAAATTTGAGGGAATGCTAGAAAGAAATTCAAACTAAAATTGTGAGATGCTATTGACAAGGCAGACTTACAAACAAGACTGAAAGACTAATTCTGTGGTTGACCATTCATTGCATTCAGGTTCAAACATAAATGCAATCTATTAAAGGCATTATAGATTCGGTTTAACTTTGTCAGTATTATTTAATAACAGTCCAAGCAAGTTAATTTTATTTTCTCCAAGACACTTTATAAGATTTGATTTTTTTAAAAATTTTTTTTTTCTTTTGTAAATGTGAGTACCATATAAGAGATATAATGCATCTTCACTTCATCTGATGCTCAGTGTTTTAATAATTCACTACAATCTGCCAGTATGAAATACATGTAATACTAAATTATCTATTTTCATTATTTGCCTATCATAAAAATGAGCATAATCAGTATAGTGCCTGTTTATAGTAAAGCTTTCATTACAATATTTGCTAGACTTTTCAGCAATTAGAAGTGCTCATTAAGTGATCACCACAAACATCCATCACCACAACATCAGAAATCCTGTGTACAGTGCATTACAAAAGCTAAGGTCAAATAATTTGACAGCCACACAGTTATAACACATGAAGACAAACTTTGAGCTGTGCTGTAGCCTGTTTTTCAACATTGAGACTATTGAGGACTTTCTCATTTTCTGAGGATAATAAATCCAGTCTGTGGTTGGTTGACTTCAGTTCCTCCTTATCATTCCGCAAGGAAAATTTCATTTCCTCCTCTAACTGAAATCCCAACATCAACTCAATCAATTTTCTTTTCTATTTCCCAAGATTCATGCTACCAAGAATTTGCTTTGGAAATTTGCAAATGTGAAAAATTCTAAATCTAAATACGTTTTCAAAAGCCTAGATTATCATATGTACTACCCAACAAAATGGTGAGTTGACATTAGAACCAAAAGAAATTCAAGGAAATAAGAAGCAATTCATTTCATAAAAGATCATGTCGCAACTCTTCTAATTTCTCTTTATAAATATTTGTTGAATGCTACTTATGACTTTCATTCTACACTCCTATGATATTACCTAGTAACAAAGTATCCTATGACATTCTGATATCTCTGGTTTTTACCTTATGTATAACATCAGACACCTCTTTCCTGTATTTCTCACTGTGTGATTTCTCCCATGTTTTTTCTCTCTCTTCAGATTCCCTCTGCCTCTGGATTTTACTTCTCTCCCTTGCCAACAACTGATTTACTTCTCTCAAAGAGCTAGCCTCCTTAATCTGCAATAAAATCATGCATATCATTTGCTTGAGAGAGGAAAATGAAAACTTAAAGCTGAAATAAAATGTTTATTGTGGTAACAGATATGAAATTCTCCTCTTACAGGGAACAGATTTTAGCATTAAGATTTAGAGAAGGGTCAAACACAATATTTGCTGACCTTGTTGGCCAGTTCCCTGGTCAAGCGGGCGATATCTTCCCGGTTACACTGGTTCTCACCGCTCAGTAACTCAACACGTCTTTGTAGGAATTCAGCCTCCATGTTCTGACGGCTTCAAAAATGCATAATGTTCATCAGGTATTTATTCCAAATTACATTGTATAAATGTCATGAAAATCATCAACTATAAACTTTTAGCAATGCATTAACTCAGAAATCAAAAATATGTCCTATGTATTAAAACCTCGTATAACTTAGCCTAGTGTGATTATTCTGTGCTGTAAATCACTCTACACTGTGAGGTTTGTTAGAATCTACTTACAACAGCTTGTCTTGTAGCATATCCAGCTCTCCGTTCTTAGCATCCAGCAGTGTTCTAACAGAATCCAGCTCCCCAGCCATCTGTCAAAAGCAGTGACATTCAAAACCCAACAGACAATCAACATTGTTTTTAAATAATTTCTAAGAAGTTGCTTCTTTGATTATCAATGATTAATAAAAGTAATTATTTATAGACCTTCCTGAGTTCGGGTGGGATGTCGGTGTAGTGAGTCTGGTAGTTGTTGTGTTGGCGCTGTGCGTCCACCTCGAATGTCTGTACTATCTCCTGTAGCTTGTTCTCCAGTTTGACAACATCCTCCTCATTCTGTGTCTTCTCCTGAATCAAGGCATCATGCTCCTCCGCTATTTCCTGTAGATAAAATATATAAAATCAATGACAGGAGTAGAGATCTTACACCACAAATCACAGCCCTTATTGTACTTTTAATCCTTTTTCATTTGCATGAACTCTATTATTTTTGCATAATTACCTGATACCCTTTGCTCAAGAAAATTGAATGATCATATGCAAAATAACCAAAATTTGTGAAAACTGAAAAGTGTTTCTTCCTTTAATAAAAATAAAGTGTTGCATAAATTTTAATATGATATACAATTCTAAATCGTTTGGTTGATATAAACACTGCATCAATGGAATGGTTTCTGATGATGAAAGGTTAGGTAATGCAAGAAAAAATTGATACATGTAACAGGATCAATGTTTGCTTCTTTGAATAGCTTACCTCAAGATGTTGTTCGAGCTCACCCTTCTGAGCTGACATGTGTAGGAGCTTGGCCTGCTCTGAGCTCAGCTCTTGTTGAAGCCTTTGAGCCTCTGACTGAGCATCAATGACATTCTGTGTTAGTTCCTCACTAGCTTTGGCTGCCTCCTGTAAAATAATACAGTTTATTGTAAGGACTGAAGTCCAGAATATCTTCTGTTTCATTACAGACAAGTGACACTACTGACTATGAGCTGTTCCTGGAGCTTCTCTCTCTCCTCCTCCAGCTGTTTGATTTGGAGCTCTAGCCCTGTCCTCTCTCTGGTCTGACCACTCGTTCTGGACATTTCCTCTTGAAGCACCTCACACCTGCTTTTTTCTCTGTTGACTTCTGCCTGCAGTGTCTTGTTCTACAATACAGAGACATTTACAGTAAAGCCTGTATAATCTTACTGAGTGTTTTACTGTATTATCTGGGTGTTCCTTCTGCTATCTACAGACAGATCTACGGACCTGAGCCTGGAGTAGTGTGACTTCCTGAGACATGGATTCTAGCATCTCCTTCAGTGAGTTGGAGTGAGATTGTGAGTCTGACTCAGTTCCTCCTAAGGTGTCCAGCATTGAGGTCTTTTGTTCCAACTGATCTTTTAGACTCTGCACCTGATAAGTTTTTAAAATGAATTTTGAGAACTTAAAAAATTTTCCTTCATGAGTAAAACTTATCTTAATTTATAGGAATTTAGGTTCACTCTCTTCTTTTTTGAATGGATGAGTATTTTCTATCTCCAAGATTAATTAATCTGGACTTTAAACAATACAATTCTCTCAGTAAAAGTTTTTAATCCTATTCTATCCTATAGTTACCTGAGACTGTAAGTTTGCCATGGATGCCTGTTCACTGTACATGGTATGGCGTGTGTGTTGTAACTCACTCTCCAGTGTTTGTAACTCGTGTGACGACCGCTTCAACTGGACGTCTTTTTGTTGTAGTTCTTCTTGTAAGGACTGAACAAACTGCAGTAACAAATAAAATAAACAACTGTTCGCATGGATAGTTACCCCAAACAAGTCAGAAAATCTACATACACCTTACACAACACTTTTGTAATTATACCTTGTTATCCGCTAAGTCTCCTGCCTTGCCCTCTTTCTGACTAGTTTTTAACACATTCAGCTCCTTTTGACAATTTGCTAGATCAGTATCACTGCGTTTCTTTTCATCATTTAGAAAATTGTTTTTCTCTTTCAGAAGTCTTACATCTGCCTGGAGGTTTTGATTCTGGAAGAAAAGCATTCGATTCAGGTAAATGTTTAAAGCATGACTAACATTGTAAACAAATGAGCATCGCAGTTGAAAAAAGCTAGGGAAGATGATTGCCATATTAATTATCCTATGAAATACAATGAGTATGTGTCTACCTCTGCGGTGAGTTTGTCTATCCTCTGCTGCCTGCGCTCGATGGCGTCTGTATTGTTGAGGCGACTGTGAGCCAGATCTGCCTCGGTCTGGGCATCCTCCAGCGCCTTCTCTTTGGCCTCTAACTGAACTCGCAGGGTCTTCAACTCACCCTCTAAAACTTGATTATTTGTCTGAAGGTGGTGTATTTTGTTTTCTAGATTTGTTATCTCTATATTCAGTGCATCTATCTGACCTAAAATGAGAGGACAATGGGAAATGTAAAACAATGTAAATCGTGTAGGTTCTTCAACCAACACTACTTCAGTTCGGGGGGTGGGCAATTTACTTAACCTGGCCTGGGGGCCATAAAACTTGGATGAGCTTACTTTTGATCTCAGTCTCACTTTTTACACCGAAGGAATTTATAGTGGAAAAGTGAGACAGAGAGCAGTATTGAGCTTGTCCAAGTTTTATGGGCCGCAGACCTGGTGTATGTGGGACACAGAATATTCCCAGTTGGAAGCAAGTTAATGTTCCATGCACTTTCTGGCTCTTTGTTAGCATCTGAAATGACTTACTGTCTCTGCCATTGCTGTTGTGGGAGCCTACAGAACCAGTGACATTGGCTTTCAGAATCTCGTTTTCCCCTCTCAGGGCCTCCAGCAGGTCTTCTGTTGTTTTCAGACGAGCAAAAGAATCATGTCTCTCCTTGACTAGGGTGTTCAGTTGTCTGAAATGTTTATACATCTTTTAAAAGATATATACAGTTGTATTACATAAACTTTTAAAACCATCAGATTCTTCAAGCATTTGAATTCTTTCTTTCTAAGTACAATAAAACCAACTTATATAAAAGTGCCAGGAAATAAACAATTTTTATTTATTACATGTATAAACATAATTTGTTATATCTGATAAACTTTCAATGCATTTTAAAATACATGGAATAAAATCATTATAAGTGTGTTAGTTATAACCATCTTTTTACTTCAAAAAGAAACATTTCAGATCTTGTCATTTCACTCTTTCACGTGCAGCTTATCTCAAGTTTTATGTTATCGAAGTTCTTATACTAACTCTTTGTATGTTGTTTCGAATGTGGCTAGCTGTGTCTGTGAGTCTCGTAAGTCCTCCTCCACCTGTTGTAGCCTTGACTCATAATGACTCTTCAGGTCTCGCAGTTGCTGTAATGCAGTAAGAAACATTTAATTGTCTGCTAAAGTACAAAATAACCAATGCGTAGAGAATTCTTTATCCAGGACTAATTAAATCTAAAGAAAAACAAGGTTTGTTTACATTTCTTGTGATGGATATGGATCCATTTTAAAGCTATAATGATTCAGTTCAAATCAATATAGATCTCAATTTTATAAAACATAATTAAATCAAAGTAAATATGTCTACATGATCTACATACATTTTCCACTGATATATTTTAAATTTACAATAATATCTGAATTATGAATAACTAATTAAAATGAAAGTGTCATGAATTTAAATTTCCTTTATTCTAAATACACATCACTAAAAACAATTTTCAAGATTGACTATGGAACATTTTGAATTTCATGCACTAAAATACATTTATATATTATACTTTGATTATAGATACATCAAAACTCCACAAGCATGCACTGTTAACTAGCTACACCATAAAAAAAGTATTACATGTACCACAAACAGGGAATGAAACTACATATATACAAGCAACCTCTGCTAGCACACTATAATACGGTAAGTACTTATATGGCATACTGGGAAGGAATACACACTATGTAGAAATTACAGATCCTGTAAGAGGAAAAAAGGAGATTGTAATTTTATTTGGACCTCTTTCTTTTATGGAAACAAAGTGCATTCAATCAATATATAAAATACAAGCTAGGAAGCAAAAGTATATTTATGTATAAAGAGAGAACACCAAGAGATGTTAAACACAGTGTGAATTAGTATCAAGTAAGGTTAATTGTACCACTGTCAAGTTACAGGTATATGTAATGCTGTAAGAAAAAGGGCACACTTGTTTATTTCACCTTCAAACCAGCAGTTAAATCATTGTCTGGGAGTTTTAAATCTTGAAGAATGAATTGTAAATGGCGCAATTGCTGATATGTTGTCTCCCTTGTACTCCAGAGGTGACATATGACCTCTTTTTCCTGACCAATGGTAAGACCAGACTGTTGTTCCACTTGTCCCATGACATACTTATAATCTGGTGTCTGATTGGTGCAAAAGAAAAATACACAAAAATACATGCATATATTGTGCTAAAGATATAACTAAAAATTACAATATTCAGTTCAACATTCCCTAATTTTATTCATTGCCTTCAGATTTAGATCTGGTGGTTGTACTAGCTCAGTTACCTTAAAATTTCTAATACATGTATTTTCAAATGAAATTTTATTCAAATAGGAAAATAAAACCTAACATCAAAATGGTAAATCAAAACCTAGTTTTTTTTGTAAAAAATGTCATGTAAGTTAAGTTTTCAGCACTTTTACTCAATCATCTGAAGAAAAACAAAAAAACCAGCTCCCAAAAATCTAGTGGTTGTGGTGGTGGTGGGAGGGGGGGGGGCTAAATGCTAAATCCTAGCTAGTACATAATAAAGAGACAATGTTGTTACCAATTTTTGGGGAACGTGAGAAAGAACAAATTAAACATATACATATGTGGCTTATAATTTAACCATTTTACAAGGACAAATCATTTTAAATATTTTTTTAATTTCATTATGAAAGCATGTTAGCTTTGAGCAGGGTAAAATCAAAAATTAATTTATACAATAATACTTAATCAAAAAGAACATTCCTTTTTCGAAAATCTTTGAATTAATACAATATTCAATTCAAATGATGTTGAACCACCTCTTAAAATCTTGATAATATAATATCTGTAAAGAACTATATGCGGTATAATGCATATATTTGCCCCCACAAAAGTCAAATTTTGAAAACTTCCAGAAATGTGCTGAATTCAATAAATTGTATGAGAAATATAAATTAACAGAAAATATAGTGTCAAAGCAGTGTATTCACAATTTTTGTTTTTATGACATCACAAACTAGTCCGATTTTATATCCTTTTTCAGAAAGAGGACAAAATGGACAAAATTTCAACAATTTTAGCTTTAAAATTTATAGAGCGCAAGTTTGTTCAGGAACAATATTGACATATTTCATTGATATTATCATTCTACACATTATATCAAAATATTGATCCTGAACACACATGCGCTCGGTGACTTTTACTCAAAATATCGACGAAATATGTACATTTTTCTGTACAGTTCATAAAAAACTGAAATTTACGTCATGTTTTTGACATCATTACCTACATATGGCATCATTACTTATGAAAATATTCAGTGCTTTGAAGTCAGCAAATACTCCCCTGTTTAAGAACTTAATTAAATATATCTCCATCAAAGTTTGATTTGGGGGGCAAACATTGGTTATTACCGAATAAAATTCTTTATTAACTGATGGGCCTAATAGCTGAAATATCTAAAACTACACATAAAAAAATTAAAATGAAAGACTTTTGACAACAAAGAGACACTTCCACTGGTAGATATACATGGTCAGCAAACCTTTTTATTTTCGTATCGTTGATTACTGTGTACACTGTAGGGAATGTCATACTCCTCACTTTTAGCTGAGGTCAGAGCTGACTCGTCAAATGGAAGAGCTAATCGGAGTTTCTCTACCTCTTCCCTAGTGTCCTTGACTTTGTTCTCAAGGTTACGGTTTTTGTCCTTCTCTCGTTGCAGCTGTCTGTTGAGTCCTTTCTCCACAGCCTGAATACAAACAGAAGAGTGATATACTCACAATTTTATCAGAACTCTTGCTATATGTGTATTTGTAAATTGATAAATCACTAGTGGAATATCAATATAATAAAGATTAAGATCTACGCTTAACTTAGATATATGCACAGAAAACAAAAAGAAAAAAAAATTCTACTACAAAAACTACATTGAAAATTCTTTCTTAAAATTAATCACCTTTACTGATTTTCAAAAAGAATGAAATAATCAGAAAGGTTTATCAGACTATTTATTATATACACGCTATCACGTGATGTCGTGATCCGACTTTCCGGATCACTACACTGTGGTTTTCAGAATCCATATCACCACTCTCTGAAACTGGTGACGTAGTACGCAGAAACATGACGTTATTTTTCTTGCGCTTTAAAAAGTCCCTTGTTATTATGCTTTGTTTAATGGATAAATGTTGTACAGTTGATCTCTAAGGTTTTCTTTTGCCATATTTTGCTAGTTATGAGGGGGTATGTAATAAATTTATCATTATAACAGTAACTTAATCCGAAGAGCCGTATCACGTCTCGTTGACAGGCACGGATCATCAGATCAAACTCGACGCTTCGCATCTCGTTAGATCTGAAGATCCGCGCCTGTCAACTCGACGTGATACGACCCTTCGGATCAAGTTACTGTTATAATAATATATATATATATTGTGTTTCTTGTAAGAATCATTCTGTCAGATTCTGTGCTTACCTGTAGCCTGGCATTCTCTGTCAGTAGTTTGTCCTCTACCTCCGACAGATTGTTAGCTCTGTCTGCCCGCTCCTGATGGAGCCGCTCCTCTGTGATCCGCAGACGCTTCTCCAAAGACTTGATCTAGTGCAAAAAGGTCACAGAAGCAGAAGATAGGGTAGGAAGATGAAAGTACAGATCCACAGCAGGGTAGAGGAAGGCAAAGTTTATTGGATAGGAAGAAGTGCAGGAAATGGTGCAAAAAAAGAAAAATAATCAAATTTTAGCACTATATAATTATTTACAATGTTGCAAAGTAAAATACATTTCAAAAAGTATGCATCTACAATAAAATCTCAATCAAAATATGAACATGATTACACCTTAAAGTTAAGTAAAATACAAATATACACAAGGCCTTAAAAAGGTATTTGAAGACCCTTACTTTTTACCCTACAAAAAATTAAATTACAAGGTTATACAATCATAGGAGATTTATAAGTTGTAGTGTAATACAGGTGGATTTCAAAAACACACACACAATACAGATCATTTCTTGTTCAGCTCTATTGAAAGTATTCATTTTTTTATTTCAAAAAATGAAGGAAAAAAATCTTGCTTGACAAGATATCAATTAATCTATGCTTTACTGAATCAGTTCACATTCTTATCAAAGAAATTGGATTTTAGACTGTCAGAAAATAACTGGAAACATAAAGTTCCTGGTAAATTATACATGAAGTTTTTATCTATCTTATTCAAGAATCAACCTAAAAATATTCCACTCCCTTCTAGTCAATAACGAATTGTAGGAAAAGGAAAGTAAGCAGTAGTTTGGTCAACCAAGTTAATTTCTTTATAAAAATATTTTTGACAGTACCTAACCTTTTCAAACACTATTGAACCCCTCCCCTCAGCAAACACTTCATGAATCTAAATGAATCAGTACCAGTGTTATAGTGAATACCTCTCCTCCCTCAGTTTATGTTCAACTTGGTACTAACATATTTATGACCCTCCCCCCCCTTCAGCCCCACCCCATTAATCTTAGCTAATCTGAGAAAGTACTAACCTGTTTATCAGACATCCCTCCATTTTCAACGTAAGTCAGAACTAACTGTTTATCAGACACTGTTCCACCCCTCCCTTGTCAGTCTATATCAGTACTAACCTGTTTATCAGACACTGTTCCACCCCCTCCCTTGTCAGTCTATATCAGTACTAACCTGTTTATCAGACACTGTTCCACCCCCTGCCTTGTCAGTCTATATCAGTACTAACCTGTTTATCAGACACTGTTCCACTCCCTCCCTTGTCAGTCTATATCAGTACTAACCTGTTTATCAGACACTGTTAAACACCCCCTCCCTTGTCAGTCTCTATCAGTACTAACCTGTTTCTCAGACACTGTTATACACCCCCTCCCTTGTCAGTCTCTATCAGTACTAACCTGTTTATCAGACACTGTTATACACCCCCTCCCTTGTCAGTCTATATCAGTACTAACCTGTTTATCAGACACTGTTCCACACCCTCCCTTGTCAGTCTATATCAGTACTAACTTGTTTATCACACACTGTTCCACCCCCTCCCTTGTCAGTCTATATCAGTACTAACCTGTTTATCAGACAAGATTCCATACCCTCCCTTGTCAGTCTATATCAGTACTAACCTGTTTATCACACACTGTTCCACCCCCTGCCTTGTCAGTCTATATCAGTACTTAACTGTTTATCAGACAAGATTCCATACCCTCCCTTGTCAGTCTATATCAGTACTAACCTGTTTATCAGACACTGTTCCACCCCTCCCTTGTCAGTCTATATCAGTATACTAACCTGTTTATCAGACACTGTCCCGCCACCTCCTTTGTCAAGTTGCTGTTGAAAGAGATTCTTCATTTCTGTCAGACGTAACATTTGCTGACTCAGCTCTTTGCTCCTGACTTCCTCTTCATGGAGATGATTTTCACTTTGTTCTAGAAGGGCTTTTACTCTTCCAACCTCCTCCTACAGAAGAAGAAAATTAAAGATGACTTCTAGTCTTGAAAAATTGGACTTCATTGAGCTTACATTAAATACTGCATACTCTTTACCCAAGGTACCGATACTCTATTAGTTAAGTACGAGTCACAGTTGTACAAGGGCAAAAAGTATATATTTCAGAAGAAGATATTATGCAGACATCTCTTTGCTTTTCAGCTCTGTATTAGAAACTATGCTTAAAGATAGTGCATTATACCCTTTTGGGTCAAAGGGAGGTAAATATGTATTAGACAAGAATTTTAATTGGAGATTAGCTTTGACCTTTGAGACAAAGCCATTGCTGACTTTTTAAATAGCATGAGTTAAAAGTGAATAAATTCTCTACCAAAAGGGTCAATTTAATAAACTAAGTCTTATAAGATCTAGTGCTTATTATTTTTACTTACTTTTAGGGTCAAGACTTCCATTTTATAAGCTTGCAGTGTTTTAGATTTTTCTGCACTTAGTTGAACCTGGTTGGATGCTTTCTCTGCTGCTTCCAAATGTTTCTCAAATTTTGACACCTGTAACAGATATAAATCCATCTTATCTTTGTTATAGTTTGTCTCTTGCTAATTTACACTTTTTTTTGCACATTTAAGTGATAAAGCCAGCATTTTTACCTCCTCCTTAAGTTCGGTATTTTCTTGGTACAGACTCTGGATCTGTGACTGTAGATGGGTGTACTCCTCTGACATCTCCAGCTTAGCCTTTCTCTCTGCCTCTGTCTGCTGTTGTTGTAACGTTAACTGAACATTCCTTACCTCCTCTCTATAGCCTACAAGTTCACCTTCAAGATTGTCCACTGTGCCTGAAATTTATTGAAAGATTTTAAAATAATAGTCATGCTATTAAATTTTGATTTGATTTCTCCCAAGTGTATTACTATATGATACTCAAGAAAAAAAAATGGAATATATGTCAACCATAGCCATAACATGTGACAACTTAAAACATTGAAGTACTTCTTCCTTTTAAACAAGACATAACGTTACACTGTGGTTACCTTGTGCCCTGTTGAGCCTCTCTTTCAGGACTTTGTTCTCTGTGTGGAGTGTGGAGACCTCCATTTGTAACTTTCTAGTCTGACTCTCCAACACTTCCTGTGTCAATAAAGCAGAGGTGACTTTACCAGAGTTCTCACAAAGAATAATTTTAACTACAAAATGAATTAGGTCTAAACTCCAACTCAAGTGAAACTTCTCACTAGAACTTGTAAAATGATATCTAATACCCAGGGGTGTCTTAAGTAAGGAAATCTCTGAGCATTATTATATGAATTATGGGTACATGAGAAAATGATATATTCAAACCTTTTCCATGAGCCAGCTGCGGGCCTCTGGGGTCATACTTCTGGGGCTCACAGAGGGGAGACTCCGCTTCCTAGGAGACTAATTTAAAAATAAATATATATCATATTAAATATATATTTCTCTTACAGTTTACAGACATTTAGCAATGTGACAACATACTGGGTATTTACTGAATGGTACTGAAAAGATAGATGAATAATGTTGTTCACATGAAGTAAAATGATTTGATTAACCATATTAAATAATTACCTTTTTTATATTTTGAATATGAAACATTTCAATGTATTGAAAATAAACATTCATAACAGATAATTCAACTAAATTCAAAACCAACATAAACTGAACATTCAAATAAAAATTGAAAAATGACACAAAAAAGAAAAAAAAACTTTTTCTAATTTGAAGATTGAAGATGCAGGAGAACGAGGAAAGTTTTCTGAACTGAATTTACCATTTTCTTTAATTGCACTGTGACTTTTTCAGAAACAAAGACTATATAAGCAACAAGGTCTAAAAATGATACCCCCTCCCCTTACACAATAAGTAGCAATAATCGCAAAGTCCAGAAAATCCCAAAATATCTGTCCACTCAGAAGATAAAATAGGAAATGCACTAACACTAAAAAAAAACAAGGTTATATGGAGTCTGTACTTATAGTCACATACTAATAAAAGAATAATTCCAATCTTCATTTTATCTATTGATTTCCTGTGTTTTGATTGGAGTGAAATTTAAAATTTTTACACAAACAAATTCCAATCAGCACAACATACATGTGACACTACTAGGAATCGTATTAAACTATAAAGCAGTTATTTTGGGTCTGTTCTGGCTATATAATGAATACAAGAAACTTTAAATTTAATTAGGGCTTAAACAAAACTGGCAACATACTAGACTGCCTAACTGATGGACGCCCTGAAAATGTTTTGTCACTGTCCGGTGAGTGTGAATTTTAAAAATCGCTGTCTCAACGTTATACGTAGAAATTGTCTTTATTGTATCGTTTTTAAGAAAAGGTTCAAACTCTTGCCCTATTGAGCATCAAATTCATATTTACTTTCTATAGTTCCTCAATATTTGAATAAACAAGTGCAAATTGAAGGCGTCTCGGTCTGCAACTTTCGCTATGAGAGTTGTTGTTTATGTCAACATGGTCATGGTCAAAGACGAACTATTCTGAAGTAAACCGTAATTACGATATTTGTTGACTTAAACAACATTCGATTAGTTGTATATAAGGACGATTGAGTTAATTGACAATTTTAAGTTGAATATCGAAATTCATCTCGATTAATCCTAAACGGTAAAATGTATTCCAAACGCCGTCCAAAATACGGATTGTATGGAGTTTTTCAAAGAGAAATCAATTTAAATATTTTTAAAAATTCGATATTGGAATTAAAAATTAAATTATGAAAATTTATTCGATGTGTAAACTCTTGAATTTTACTCAAATAACCTTAACATAAAAGTCTTGACACATTAAAGTTTGTGTCATGGGCAAGATCTTTACACATGAAATTTTTGAGAACCTACCAAGTTTATCCATAATAAAATAGATTGACCAAATAAATTACTTGATCCAACATTACAAATCCAGCATTTAAGTGACTGAAATCTCAACACAACAGGGATGTATAGAAGTTTTAACAAAACTGAAGTGTAATTTAAAATAAAAAAAACACAGCACAACACACACGTGTCAATCACTGGATTCATTTCTACTACAAACTGTACTTATTGGGATAACTGTGCAGTAACTATTGGGATCAAGTGTCATGTGATAAAAGCACAAAGCACAGCTTGCACCTTACCCCTGATTTGAACTTTGGTGGTGGTTTAATTGAGTATATCAAGACATTGTCTTTATTGGACTTTTTAAGGGTGACATATTTTTGAACCTGAAACACACAGTATTGATCGAAGTCAAAGTAGATGCACAATGAATACTGAAATCTCCAAGATAGTACATGTAACAATTTGCATACAACAAAACCAATTAGTGTTCTTCTTCCTATAGTGTGAGAATGTATGAGGACTTGAGTTAATTTGATTTTTGCTTTGATATTTCATCTACTTGTAACTAATCTGATTTACACAATGACCTTAAATCAAGGTCATAGTAACAGGTTGATGGGGACATATGGCGAGTGTGGATATTTATTTTGTTATAATTTAGATTCTAATGTCCCTGCATGTGACATTTGGTGCGAAAGATATGACATCACATGATGCTGTATGTAAGTTACATTTCCAAAAAGAAGCCTGAACAGTGCTGAAGGTAAATGAAGAACATTTCGTTTACTATTTATCTTCAATATTTATCCATTAAATCAGGGCATGTTTAATTTTAGTTGAACTTTTGCTGCTATTCTCATGAGAATGTATCTTTAACAAGTGATGCATTGTGGGTCCAAATTACTGCGTCAAAAAATTCTATCGAAAGAATGTGCAGCAGTCAAAATTAATCTCTTCGCTATATACAGGTGTATGCTTTAAGAGTGCAGTGAAATGGCAAAGATTCATGTGGTATATTAAATGTATATACCTGAAATATAAAGGAACTTAACAAAGTAATATAAAAAAAACTATCTGGCAAAAACAGTAAATGGAATAATAAAAATTCATAAATAATGAAAATGAAAACATTAAATAAATAACTAGTTGATATCAGTATCAAAAATCAACAATCATTTAAAATCCTGCATAAGGATACCAAATTGATAAAGAAAACAATCATGCGGTACATCAAATGAAAAAAAAACTGGAAGTCCTGCTTAGAAATGTCGCAATGAGAAAAAATTGTGCCATTCATCAAAAAAGAACAGAAGTTACAGCACTAGTTCTTCTCTGGCATCTCAGCAGGTAACCAAACACTCCATACCATACCTGTCGATTATCATCAGTGAAATAGTCCTCCCCTGAAGTGCTGGAGAATGTATAGAGAAGCTGCTGAAGGGTCTTGTATTCACAGTCTGCACCACTCAAGGACTGCCTCACAAACTCTGGGTTTCTGCTGTACAACAGCTTCAGGAAGTCCCGTATGGAGGTCACTCTTCTTGGTGGGAGGTACAAAAGCTCCTCTGACTCTTCCTGGACATCTCTCCCATCATCAGACAGGGCCTGGAAGCTGGGATTGTGTGTAATCTGTATGCTGTCTATGTGAGGGAAGGAGCCAACAGACGATTCACACTCCCTGGAGGAGTCAGTCATGTAAGAGTCCATGTCTTCAAGGTACAGTGGGCTGTCCTTGAATCTGACATCTTTGTTTACAACTGAATTTGGATACCTCAACCCATATATCTCAGCACCAGGCTCTGCATTAATATCTTTTGCAGAAAATTCAGGCTTTGAAGCATTAAATGGAGCAAAACCTACACTTGGCACAGTAAGCCTTTCCTTACTTTGTTGTGGACTTCTATTGTACAATTGCATATTGCTTCCCATTTCATATATTCTGTCATCATCATTTGACAGTAACTGCGAATTCTTTGAGGCATAGTCCTCTTGATCATAAAAGGAGATAAGCTCTTCTTCATAGTCATCCAGAAGACTGCTGGATCCTCCTGAGCTTCTGTAATGGCTGGTGTCTGTGTGGGAGGTGTACCCTGAGCTAGCTGGGGCTAACACATCTAGCTCTTCCATACTAGAGTCACTGGTATATGACTTGGTATAGACAGAGCTTGGATTGAGAAATTCAATAACATCATCCATATCTTGTGTGTTCTCTCTCCCGGTAGTACTGGTAAAGCAAAATCTTCTGGAATCACTCTTGTGCTGGTAAATACTTTCTCTGGTTTTTTTCATTGATTCCTCTGTGAAGTGGGCATTGATGTCATTCTCTGTATGGACACTGGTATCTGCCCCACTCTCATATCCTTTATCAACAGAATCACTGCGATTGTGTCTTCTTACTGTTCCCGATGTTACCTTTTCCCTAATGTCTTTTTCAATCTTTCTCTTCAACACTTCAGATGGTAAAGATGGATCCACATGTTTTTGTCCCTGTAGTCTAGTTAAAGATATTTTTCCACCAAGTATCTTTTTGTTTTGACATTTTCCATTATCATCCTCCACTTTTTGTTGAATTCTAAGAATGTTCTTAGGAGTTGACTTTTCCAAGTCTATGACTCCAGCACCATGCAGAGAAATAAGTGTCTGAAGATCCCCTTCTAATAAGTTGCCCTTTTTCAAAGATTGTATTATAACTGCAGACAACAAACTTTGTTTCTCAAGAAGAGAAGATTGTTCATCAAGTTTTTGCTGTAGCATTGTTTTAATTTCCTCTATGTCTGCATTAACAAGAGGAGGTTTGTCTGTGTTTTCTGTGAAAACATTTGGGTCAATTTTCTCTTCTTGGTTTTGTGTCCCTTCTAATAAAGTGCTATGACATTCAGAATCTTTTGTATTAAGTTTATCAGTTACCTCAGGAGAGGAAGCTTTCTCCTCCAGATCCCCTGATTTGTTTTCACTTTGTATTTCACCATCTGAACTAATTTCACTGGCCTCTCCCTCTGTATCAGAATGAATTTTAAGACTTTCGAGCACTAACACGGGAGAATTAAAATCCACCTCTCCATAACCCTCTTTCTGAATTTCCCCCAGTGATCTCCTTCTGGTTTTGTCCATAACTGGTCTCTTTATGAGGGAAGAGGCTGAGAGGATTCTCTCTGGCTCCTTAGAATCAGTCCATTTCTTCTGATTTTCTGACATCAGGAGCAGTTTTGAAGGTGCAGTAAAACTTATTTCTCCATAACCCACAGATTTATCTGCTTCTTTAAGGGGCTGCTTTTGTTCAGAATTCTTCAACAAACTTGAAGGAGTTGTATATGATGGTGATTCTTTGTTTTTCTTGCTACTGATCTGTCCTTTTTCAATCATTTTATCCTCTTTCTCTTTGACTACTCTTTCTCCTTTTCCTTGTTTGACATCTGACAAGGACTTGCACTGTCTTCGTAAAGAGGACTCCAAAGCCAACTTAGAAGGAGTCATTCTTTGATGCTTCCTGAAATCTACCTCTGATTTCCTCTGTCTAGTCACTTCAATGTTAGCCTCATCTTCCTCTACTTCTGGTATGACGAGTTTTGAGAGATTGGAAAAGCTGAAGGCACCATATCCAGGTGTTCTATGGCTGTACTCTGCTGTTTCTTTCTCATGGTGACTCCTTTTGCCTACTGAATCCTTGAAATCATAGACACCACTTGACAAACCCCCTATGTCTGACACTGTCTTCCTTTTTGGATAATCCATCTCGGACCTATCATTCTTCCAAGTGTCATTTAGAATGAGAGAATAATGTGGAGTGTTCAGCTCTGCTGCAGCTTTCTGTTTCAGCATCAGTTTAAGCAAATCCCCTGGTGGCACAAATCCTGCCTTTAAACTGTCTCTGCGAGAATATGTTGATTTCAACTGTTTCTTTGATGGATTCAGTACACAAGCATCACTGCTTTCAAACTTTGTTCCAGTGTCACTGTAATACTTTTGAACTGCCAGTTTGTAAACCTTTTTTCTTGTCTTAGGATCCTGCCATTCAGTACATGATGGATCAATGTACTTTAGCAGTGCACTGGGAACTTCATACGGTATTTCATATGAGGTTTCTTGATCTGGCCCCTTGCTTGCCACCCAGTTCCCTTCTTTTTCCTCAACAGACTCCTTATCCAGAACCTCTGTAACAGTAATCATGTC